TCCAACCTGCCGCATACTGTATCAGTAAACCTGTTTCTCCACCCATCGTTGTGTCTCTCCATTGATTTACTGCTGAGCCATAATGTAACAGAACCATGCTGATTACAGGAATCATGTAAGTGGCATCAATTACAAAGAGAAACTCATTTTAGTCTACCTAAATATCTCTCTGTCACTAAGTTGAACAATAGATATTGTGAAGTATTTACATGCTTTATTTTAATAAATAATTTTATTTTAGTTTTTTTACTCACATTCATGTTCTATCACTTTCCTCTTGTTTCCTCATCCCTTTTGTTATTAATCAATGCATGAGCTCAGTGGTTACCATCCTCAGTTGGACATTAGGAAGGAAACTATACACTGGAGAAGTTTTTTTTTTTTTTGATGGGAGAGGGCACACCTAGTGCTAGTCAGGACTTACTCCTGACTCTGTGGGATCACTCACAGTAGACTTGGGAGAACCATATGTGGTGCCTGGGCTCAAACCTGGTCTGACAAGGCAAGCGCCCTACCCACTTGTACTATCTACTCTGGCCCAAAACACTGGTGAATTTTTACACAGTTTTTGTCTTTATGTTAGAGCATGATGCAAGACAGAAAGGAAGCTGCTTGCCCCTGTCTAGCAGGAATATCTCTTTGAAGCACAGCACACAGTAAGATCTGTCAAGCTCATTTTAGCAAAGAGTGGGCATTTTCCTTATTTAATGCCCAGTGTAAAACATGCCCTCTTATGGTTTTTATGTTTCTTTTACTTGTTAAATCTACTCTCCAAGACATGATTTTTAGTGTTCAAATGAGGGGTAAAGTTATTGAGGCATTAGTACTAGTATCTATCTTGGCATATGTTGGTTTGTTTAGTATGGTGTATGAGCACCTTTACAGTATTATCCTCTGTCCACATTTCCTTGTGATATACTGTTTAGAATATATGAAACTTGGTCTTTCCTTGTATTAAAAGGTGATAAGTACAATATAAGGAACAAGAGTGAGACTAAATTTTCTGCCCCTGTGTTCACCCCTAACTATCAGGCATTGAAATTAAGAGCTTCTTCCAGCACTAAACTGACTGCACTTCTTATGGGTCAATTAAGCTTATTTTCTCCAACTTAAAAAAAGTAATTTATCAGAGCTGGAGTGATAGCACAGCAGGTAGGGCCTTTGTCTTGCATGCAGCCAACCGGGTTCGATTCCCAGCATCCCATATGGTCCCCCGAGCACAGCCAGGAGTAATTCCTGAGTGCAGAGCCAGGAGTAACCCCTGTGCACCACCAGGTGTGACCGAAAAAGAAAAAAAAAGGTAATTTATATTTTAAAAAGATTTTTCCAGTTATTTGTAAGGTTTAAGAAATAGGTATTGAGAAATGCCTATTTAAGAAATAGGCAATAGTAGAAACAGTAAAAATCAGGAAGTTATTGTAATAGTTCAGAATCTACTAGGTAATATTCTATACATTAAAAATATGTTAATGATTTCGACTAGCAAAGATGTGAGAAGTAATTAAAATTTGGATTACTTTAGAAACCCAGCCAATAGTGAAGAGTTAATAAATAAAGAATTCCTGTTAGGTATTTGGCCAGAGTAAATGAATTGATGGCAGTACTATTCTAAGATAAGGAGACTAATGAAGAAGCCTACTTCTTCATGAAGTATCCTACTGGAGCTATTAATTTCAGCTAATAGCTCTACTTTGGCCATGTTAAAATATTCATAATGAAAATAGTTTTAAATAAATATATATATAATTGGTGTGTATATATGTGTATACCCCTAATCCCAGAATGCATGTCATTTCTATGGAAAGACATTCAGAAAGCAATTGGTGGGGTTGGAGATGTGAAACTATTGAGCAAGGCCCTGGGTTCAACACTTATCACTATATACCTGCTGACAGCACCTTAAGGAGTCACTGTGATGACTCAAGCTTCACCTGGAGTAACCTTAGTTCCATAGAACCATGAGTGTGACTCCATACTAAGTAAATAGATATCTATTAAATCTCTAAATAAATAGAGAAAGGTAACTGGTGTTACCAGTCTAGAGCATAGTTGGTCTTTGAAGTTGCATATCACCAATATGTACCTTGCACATAAATTTGGTAAACTGAAGAAGTCACTTAGGGCATGTGTACAGATAAAGCTGAGTACTTAGGAAAGAGCCTAAAATTCTGGCAGAAAAAGTGAAAATACAAATGAGACAGAAAAAATGAGTGAGTGCAGTGCTGTTGAATTCTAAAGAGTTTTAAGAAAGAGGATGTAGTGGTGGTGAGTGTGGTATGATAATGGATACATTTGAAGGGGTGTGAGGTTGTATTACTCAAATATGTAGACCAGCTCTGCCTCAGGAGAAAAAAAAGCAGTCAGATTACTTTGGTTACTTTTTATAGATCAGTTATAGTGAGTATAGTGATTTGGCCTATACTACTGGAATTGGAACTGGTTTCACTAGAATGTTTGGTATGGAAGTGTGATTAGAGTATGATCAGAAGAGAATAAGAAGTGTGGATGTAAGATCGTGACTGTTGACAATTCTTTTGAGGAATTTTGCTGTAAAAGTAAATAGAAAAATAAGACACTTAACTATAATAAAGAAGTTGCTTTTGCTGTAGTGCGTGGTTTGATTTATTTATTTTTTCTTTTTGGGTCACACCTAGCCGATGCACAGGGGTTACTCCTGGCTCATGCACTCAGGAATTACTCCTGGCGTTGCTCAGGGGATCATATGAGATACTGGGAATCGAACCGGGTCCGTCGCCTGCAAGTCAAACGCCCTACCCACTGTACTATCTCTCTAGCCCCGCATGGTTTAATTTTTTTAATGCATGTGATAAGAAAAGAAACTAATGTGTTTTAAAATAAAAATGATCTTGGTAAAAGAAGAAAACAGTGATGCAGGAAAGGAAAAGTATAACAGTATAAGAGGATAGTAGTAAGAGCATACTAATTATTAGATAATAGAATAACTTCTTTTATTATAGATATGAAGACTGAATTTGCATGTTTTTATGTAAATAGATGGGTAGGATTGATGTTGAAGGTGTGTGTGGGTGTGTGGGTATTAGGGTGGGGGATTGTTAGTATTCTTAATGGGTGATAAGTCAATTTTATTGGGAAGGTTTATAGTCAAAATTTAAAATAAGTTTATCAGCATTTATTCTTGAGGTGATTTTTTTCTAATAATTTTTATCTTTTCTAGTTTGCATGTATACAAAGTAGAGAATTAGGGATTTTCCTAAGTTATTATAAGGGAGGGGCAGAGGAATCGAACCCGGGTCGGCCATGTGGGCTGCGTGCAAGGCAAACGCCCTACCGCTGTGCTATCACTCCAGCTACCGAGAGTATCTCACCCGCACGGCAGAGCCTGGCAAGCCCCCCCTGACGCATTCGATATGCCAAACACAGTAACAACAAAGTCTCCAATGGAGACGTCACTGGGCCCGCTCGAGCAAATCGACAAACAACGGGAGGGCCTCGAGCAATTATAAGGGAAAGAGATATAAGAGAATCAAGAATCTTTGTAAGAGAGTAGCTATGAGACTGGTCTTGGAAATCAAATCTGACTTAGGGCATGAGGGAGTATGACAAATATTGTAGAAAGGGATTGATGGCCTGAAGAAGTTGATAGAATTGTAAGATACAGAATAGCTTTCATCAATTACTCTGAAAGTACAGGAGGAAACAAAAGGAGATCTTATTTATTTTTATTTCATTTTTTGCCTTTTGTAAAACAACAATAATAGCAATGACCAAATTTTATTGGTCATTTAAAGTACATTCAGGGGCTGGAGCAGTAGCACAGCGGGTAGGGCATTTGCCTTGCACGCAGCCTACCTGAGTTTGATTCTCAGCATCCCATATGGTCCCCTGAGCACCGCCAGGAATAATTCCTGAGTGCAGAGCCAGGAATAACCCCTGTGCATTGGTGGGTGAGACCCAAAAAGCAAAAAAAAAAAAAAGTACATTCATATGACTCATTATTTAATGCATATAACAACACAGTAAAAAGATTATTGTTATTCCTAATTTGTAGACAGGGAAACTGAGCTACAAGGAGATCAAGAATTATACCCAATATCATTAATAAGCTATACAAGTATAAAACTCTATACTTGTTTGGAGCACAGACTTACATGTTAAAAGATTTTTTCAAGGTATCAAATCTAGTAAATTGTAATTCTTGTAGAGTACATGTTCTTTGACTCTTTCTCAGTGGCTTCCTCTAACACTAGTAAATAGTATGGTCCTTCTCTTTAAGAAACCATGGGTCTAGCGGCCTGAGCTACTGCTGGTAAGGCACAGTACAGCTGGTAAGGTGCTTGCCTTGCATACATCTGACCTGGGCTCAATCCCCAGCATTCCATATTGTTCTCTGTGCACCACCAGAAGTGATTTCTTTGAGCAGAGCCAGGCACAAAGCCTAAGAACCTCCAGGTATGGTTCAGAAAAGAAAAGAAAAAAAAAACAGGAAAAATAGGTCTAGTTTGGGAAATGAGCTGTAAGTAATATTTTAGATAAAAATATGAAACTATGAATCAAGCGTGGCAGAGTTAAGTCTAAGCCAACTGGAATACATACCTTAACAACGTTAATATTTAAGTCTTTAGTTGGACTCTGCACAGTTGGAGATCTTTGGTTCCATTTGTGACATCTTTGAATTTCATCAGTCAAAGTGACTGCAGTTTTTCATGAAAACCGTAAAGTTGGGTCAGAAAGTGGGCAAAGTAGATAAGGATCATTTGAGCTGTCTCATTAGTTGATAGATATCCTTTCAGACAAAATAATTTCTTAAATATGAGTGTATATGATTAAGTAATACTACTGATAGTGTTATGTTCTCAAGGAAAATATGTCAGAGTAAGCTGGAATGGCTAATAAAGACTTTAGAGGAATAATATGTGCTATTAACTAGTACTCTCTGGTTGGTTTCCTTATAGTAAGTATCAAGGAAAATCCTTTTGGATAAATACTGATATTTACTTTTCCTCTTTCTAGTCTCAGCTGTTCCAGTTTTGGGAATGACAGATTCAGGCTTGGATCAACAAAAAGCTGATCTCTTTGTGGAGAATTTCTTTGAGAAGTATGTAGCCTAAATTTATCCCTTTTGCAACTAGCAGATAAATAAATTTTCTAAACACTAGAATATCCCTTCTATATTGTCGCAAAGTTTCTTTTATCTTGTAATCTGAAGCAAAAGCCTTAATCTGTACTTGAAAGGAGAAATAATTAATGATTAATTAAAATGATTTATATCTTTTTATTTTTCCCTCAATAGCATACTAATTGTTTTCTCTGCTTCTGCATTGCAGGACACACAGAAATAGAACAAATAATTATGTTTTGAATCAGTGAGTAAACTTTCTATATAAACTATTGATAGAAAGTCTTTAATATTGAGACAAATCTTTTTCTTATGGCATAAATTAAGATTTAGGGCTGTTCTCTACATTCTATGAAAACTTTTTTGCTTTGAACACCTGGTGGTGTTCAGGGGTGCTCCCAATAACGCACAGGGATCATGTGGTGCCCAGGATCAAACCCAGGCCTCCTGTACTCCAGCCCAGTGGGCCATCCCTCTGACCCCCAAACATTTTTTATTAATCAGTCTTTCATCAAGTATTTATTGGACACCATGCTATGTGCTGGATCAGGATAGCATTACAATAGGCTTCTGTTAAGTCACTTGAAAATGAAGTGAGGAGTGAGAGCAATAATACAGTGGGTAGGGTGCTTACCTTGCACACAGCTGACCCCTGTTTGATCCCCAGTATCCCATATGGTCTCCAGAGCCCCATCAGGAATGATCCCTGAGCAGAGCCAGGACTAAGCCCTGAGCATGTCCCAAAAAACAAAAGTAAGAAGGGAAAAAGAAAACGAAGTAAATGTGCATTAATTGAAATATAGATGTGCTCATGCTTCATTTTTTGGCAGAAAATGAGAAGCTACAGAAAAAAATTGTAAAGCAAAATTTACTTTTGCCTTACAATTCAAAAATTGTAAAGAAAAATTTACTTTTGCTTTACAATTCAAAAGTTGAGAAAATTCTTAATCTTTTCAATTCATCTCTTGAGTGGTAGGACTACATGTAAATTCTTTTGTCTTAGAATTTTTCTACAAATAACATATATCATATGTCATTAAAGATGGTTTAAAATAGAACATATATAAAATCAGTATTTTTTATGCTATAGAAAATCAATTACAGAAATTGTGACCCCGATTAACAATGAATTTGATGAAGTTGTTCCAAGTTCAAACCCAAACTCTCAAACTGAAGAAGAAACCAACTTATATACTTGTGAAGACTACATTGAAATCTTCTCACCTATTAACCCTTTAGTAATATATCCAGCACTTCAAGCAGAGAGCCAAGGTAAAACATCCTAATTTTTGGTTTTTTTGGTTTTATAAAACATTTCTACTAATATATACATTTTCCTTTCAGTGAGTTTCATTTTATTAAAAGTTTCATTTCTCTCTTTAAAAAGGTCTACCTGCATATTATAATTCTGAGTTTTGTTACAGTAGGGAAATATTTTATCTTTCATAATATTAAACTTTTTGTAAATTAAATTTTTTGGAGGTGGGGGTTTAGGTCTACTGGGATTCGAAATAGTACTCAATAGTATTCAAAGCATGATGCTAAATGATTTTAATTTCTGTGTACAATCTGATAACATAGAAATTGCATAACACTAAATTAGCAGTTGCTGTATTTTATTTTCCAAAAATATGCTAAAAACTTTCAGTATGTCCTAACCTTAATTCAAAGTCATGTCACTGTCCTCCCGTTGTTCATCGATTTGCTCAAGCGGGCACAGTAACGTCTCCATTGGAGACTTAGTTGTTACTGTGTTTGGCACATCAAATACATCACGGGTAGCTTGCCAGGCTCTGCCGTGTGGGCACCATAACTCTCGGTAGCTTGCCGGGCTCTCCGAGAGGGGCGGAGGAATCGAACTCGGGCCGGCCATGTTGGCTGCGTGCAAGGCAAAAGCCCTACCACTGTGCTATCACTCCAGCCCTAATTCAAAGTAGAAATTGAATAGCTGAACTATTACTTCAAGAAAGTCACTTTTATCATATAAATTTATCATGAACACCCACATCCAAAAGAACAAAAGCAACCGGTGCTGGTGTGGACGTGGCGAGAAAGGGACCCTCCTTCACTGCTGGTGGGAATGCCGACTGGTCCAACCCTTTTGGAAAACAGTATGGACGATTCCAAAAAAATTAGAATTTGAGCTCCCATTTGACCCAGCAATACCACTCCTGGGAATATATCCCAGAGAGGCAAAAAAGTATAGTCGAAGTGACATCTGCACTTGTTTGTTCATTGCAGCACTCTTTACAATAGCTTGCCAGGCTCTCCGAGAGGGGCGGAGGAATCGAACTCAGATCGGCCAGGCTGGCTGCGTGCAAGGCAAACGCCCTACCGCTGTGCTATCATTGCTTTAAGTAACATGGTTAAAATTTTTGTTAATATTTATAGTTGTGATGTACAAAAATATTATATCTTCACCGCCACTTAAGTGCTCAAGGCCCTCTACCACTGTCTTCATGTCACTTCTAGTCAACATCCTCTTCCTACATCCTCAATCTCCAGTGCTTGGTAATCTAAGTTTTATAATCCAGTGCCAAGTGTTTTTAGTTTAATATTGTCAATTCCTTATTTTGTTTCTTTATATACCACAGATGAGTGAGATCATTCAGTATCTGTCTTTCACCCTCTGACTCAGTTTGTTTGACATGATATTCTTTCATCTACATTACAGTGAACTTCAAATTTCACCTTTTCTTATATTTTCATAGTACTCTACTATATGTACAGATAGTAGCTTCCTTAACCATTCATCTGTTGTTGAACATTTGTGCTGCTATAAGCAAAACGTGCTTGTTGATTTTCAAATTATTGTTTTTGTGTTCGGGCAGGGACGCCAAGTGGAATTGCTGGGTCCTGTGGGAACTACTCTTTTTGGATCAATCCTTATGCTGTTTTCCATAGAAGAAATTTGCTGATACTCCCACTAACAATAAATCAGTGTTCCTTTTTCATCCCATCAATGATGGTTGTTCCAGTCTTTGTTTTTTGTTTTGTTTTGTTTTTAAATACACATATGTGATACTGTAGTGAGGTGGTATCTCATTTTGATTTGCACTTCTCTGGATTTTGCAATCAGTTTTCCAAGTTTCAAAAATATCTCCTAGGAAATTGAAACATTATTGGGATTTGTTAAATTTTTTACCTTAGATCTTATGTACTAGTTAATCTTAGCTACTTTTCATTGTTGTTGTTTTTGTTTTTGAACCCCACTCTATTATGATTGCAGGGCCTAGATGGGATGCCGGGGACCCAACTGGGTAGGTCTGTGCAAGGGTACTTGGTAGGGTACTTGCCCTACCAACTGTGCTATCACTCCAGACCCTAGTTTTGGTTAGCTTTTAGTTGTTTTCCAAGAAAATGGCTTTTCTTGATTTTTTCTCAAGATTTTAAAAGTGGAGTTCATTAAAATTTATGATTTTCCCCTATACTTTCTGAACATTTTCTTTATGTTGCTCCTTGATAATTACACATTTGTGATCATTATGAAGGAGTTCTTCCATTAACTTTTTTGGGGTTTTTGTTTGTTTGTTTGTTTTGCTGTCACGCCCAGCAGTGCTCGGGTCTTACTTCTGGCTCTGTGCTCAGAGATCAGCCCCTGCTGGAGCTTCCATTAACTTTTGACTAGATTTTTATTTATATTTGAAAGCCATTGACTATATTTTTATCAGACACCTTAGTGTACTTTCTTTCAGTTTAGTTATATTGTTTGGTCTAGGCAGAAAAATATATTTTCTTTTTTAAAATAAAAATGTTATTTAAAAAATTTTTTTTAAAAAATTGAATCATGGTGAGATACATGGTTACAAAGTTTCTATGATTCAGTTTTAATAATACAATGTTCCAACACCAGTCTCTTTACCAGTGTGCATTTCCCATCACCAAAGTCCCCAGTTTCCACCCCCTTCCCAGCCTCTTTCCACAGCAGATACTCTTTTTTAATCTACCAAGATTAAACCTGCCTTTTTTTAATATATCTATAGATTTTTCTGCATTTTTCATAATTAATTATTCAAAATTTATATCCTATAGTCATGTAACACTCCTCTATAACAGATGCGATTAACTTCCTCATCTGCATTGAAACATAGCTGTAATAAAGTAAAAACATGAGCATGTGCTATATAAATTTAAGAACATAAGTAACATTTTTGTATGTAATATTATAAAGCACACTGTGGTGTGATACTGCCCTCAAGTGGCCTCATCATAAAAATGTTGAGAAAAAGAATCCCTCATAACCCCAAGGGTTCCTAGAGATACTAGGTAGGCCTTGAGGAAAGGAAGATGGCCAGAAATGTTTGGAAGTCGAAGTTAGAGATGGGGGTATTAACTATTTCTGTGTAGGTTTTTACTATTACTATTTCCTCAATCATAATTCAAAATTAATGTACTATCAGCCATTTTTTGATGATTTTATATAAATCCTGCTAAGACAGACTAATTAGCTAATATTCCTTGGTACATAAAATAAATATGCTGAATATGTCATGGAATATTCTTGGCCATGAAATTATTGGGAACATAATTGGTTCATATCAACAACTCCTAGGAGTCTGGCTTATAGAACAATTTCTCCTTTGGCATGCTGTAAGTCTATGCATTTATTTTTTGACTTTTTGGGTCACACCTGGCAATGCACAGGAGTTATTCCTGACTCTGCACTCAGGAATTACCCCGGTGGTGCTCAGGGGACCATATGGGATGCTGGGAATCGAACCCAGGTTGGCTGCGTGCAAGGTAAACGCCCTACCTGCTGTGCTATTGCTCCAGCCCCTGTAAGTTTATGTATTAAGTGTGTGCAATAATTATGGGTCATGAGAGATATCATTCTGTGCTATCCCTCAATCATGTCATTCTAAAATTGCTAAGTGACACACTGATACCTAGGTTAAGAAATTCTTGCTGGAGAAGTCGGAGAGATAATATAGTGCCTTGCACACAGCTGACCCAGGTTCAATCCCTGGCACCCTAATATGGTTCCCTGAACTATACTAAGGAGTGATCTCTGTGCATAGAGCCAGGAGTAAGCCCAGGAGTAGCTCTGGGTATTACACCCTTTTTTTTAAAGGATCAGAAAGAAAACAAAATGAAATTCTTGCTGGGCCACAGATCACTCAATAGACTGAACATATGCTGTACATGTGGGAAGCCCTGGTTAGATTCCCAGAACCAATGGTTCTCTATCACAAAGAGTAACCCCGGAGTTCAGAACCTGGAGTAGCCCCTAAGCAAGTTGGGTGTGGCCCCAAATAAAAAACAGAACAATGGAAAATAAATTTTTGCTTCTTTTTCAAAGTAGCTTTTGTTTGGGGGAGCTTTAAGCAAAGCTCCAAGTAGTTCCTTGTATAAGCAGCAATTTCCTTTTTATTTTTCACTTTTAGACAGAGCTTATTGAAAAACAGTCAGGTTTTTTTTTGTACCAGCCCAATAAAAAAAGGACAATCATAAGTCTTTTAGGCCACTTGCTTATTACTAAGTATATTAAATGTAATAAATTATTGAGCTCTTAGCTATAAATTGGTACTATTCTGTATGTTTTATGCACAGTAAATGAAGAAATAAATAACTTAAGATATTTGAAAAAAACCAATTTTATCTATTGGTTATCTACACTAACTCTTTAGATCCCTTTGTATAACAAGATTTTTCTTATTTACTCAGATGTACTTATTTTCAGATTTGTCTACTAATGAAGAGATCATTTCTGTAGATAATTTAATGACCTATGATAGTCAGCTGACAACTTCAGACACTCTACTGAGTGGTCAGAAATTATGTTTGGCTGAAAAGCCCCATATAGACTTCAAAGGACAAAGCACAGAAGCAGATTATTCCAGGTACTTAGTCACACACTAGTATAAATATTTTTAAGAGGAGAAAAAATTCTTTGTATGCTCACAAGTCTAGATGTAATCAATGATAATGTTTTATCATTGCATTAACTCACTTCTAATATTAATTATATATTTTGATTACCAGCATTTAATATCTTTATTAGTGAATACTAATGAACTTTTTTTTTTATTAAGTGAATGTTTCTCTTTTCAAGAAGATTTGGAAAGCTTTATGAAGGACGATTTTTTCATGGATGAAGAAAACTTTGGTCAAGAATGTCTAGAAAACATAGTATGTTCTTTCCTTCACTTTCCTTCAGTAATATTTTAATAAAAGTAAAGTACTCATCACTGATTTTAACATAAACCATTGTAGCACTGTCCTCCCATTGTTCATCGATTTGCTTGAGTGAGCACCAGTAACGAATCTATTGTGGGACTTGTTGTTACTGTGTTTTGGCATATCAAATACGTCAGGGGTAGCTTGCCAGACTCTGCTGTGCGGGCGGGATACTCTTGGTAGCTTGCCAGGCTCTCCAAGAGGGGCAGAGGAATCGAACTTGGGTTGGCCCCGGTTGGCCGCATGCAAGGCAAATGCCCTACCCTCTGTGCTATTACTCCAGCCCAACATAAACCATATTTAGATATAAAAAACTTTATTATTATTAAATTCATATCAATTAAGGAATTAAATTTACTTCTAGGATAGTGATTCTAAAGTTTTGCTACACATTGGAATTACTTGGAGAGTTGTAATAAAACACTGATGCCTGGATTCTATCCAAATACATCCTGACTTAATTCTTCTGGTGTGCAACCCAAGTATAAGGGAATTTAAAACCCCTCTCAATAATTTTATTCAATATACTATACCTGAGATATAGAACATCATGTCTTAGTTTAAAAATTGGAGACTAGAAATGTTTATTTATGAGTTATATACAGAACAGATGGTACTTGAACTATAAAAGAAGTCATCTCATTGAAAGAGTAAGAAAAGAGATGATCTGAAACTCCATTTTAAGTTTGCCAATCCTTAAGGAAAGATAGATTTTTTGCACATATAAGGTCAATTTTTTAAAAGTCTTATCATATAGTTCCAATAGGTACAAAATTGTTAATGATATTACTATGTCAATTGTTTTAGCAGTTGAAAAAACAGATCCCTTTCTGTAAGTTTCATAAGCTCAAATATCTAGCTTTATATAAATTAGATGCATTTACAAAGTTAACTTGAAATTTTTTAAGACATTTGAAAAAATCTGTTCCATTCTGTCTACCCTTTTCATTTCCCACCATTCATTATCTCTCATCTGCTGTGTTTATGAGTTTTTAATTTAGAATTTTTAATTTGCTGTCAGTTCAGAAGAAGGTATTTCTGCACTGAAAGATATTGTATAGAACTAATATAATCAGTCATCACTCAATGAACCTTACTTAAAGAGAATATTGCTTATAATGTAAAATATTTTGTGTTGATATACTTCTGATTTTCAAAGACTGGAGCGATAGCACAGCGGGTAGGGCGTTCGCCTTACAAGCGGCCAACATGGCCGACCCGAGTTCGATTCCTCCGCCCCTCTCGGAGAGCCTGGCAAGCTACCGAGAGTATTCGATATGCCAGACACAGTAACAACAAAGTCTCCAATGGAGACGTTACTGGGCCCGCTCGAGCAAATCGACGATCAACGGGAGGGCCTTTACCTTACCTTTACCTTTTCAAAGATATGTGTAGTTTTTAATTTTTTTGAGTAGGATTGAGCTAAAATTTTAGTACCTTGATTTATTAAATTTAGAAATACTTAGAAGACTTCGCTAAAATCTTTTATTTGTATATTATTTCAGCCATCAGTATTGCCTGAGAATAAAACCTTAGTATCTTCAAGTCTCAGTCAAGAAGCTGATATGTCAGCCTTCTCAGAAGTGAAGGAATCATTAAACTTCATGCCAGAAGGAGTAAATTATGTAGATAAAAATAAAAAGCTTTCCCAAAAAGGTAAGAATTGATTTAAAATTATATATTTATAAAAATTACTTAATATTTGTTGTAAAACTTTAACACAGCACAGCGGTAGGGTGTTTGCCTTGCAAGCGGCCAACATGGCCGACCCGAGTTCGATTCCTCCACCCCTCTCGGAGAGCCTGGCAAGCTACTGAGAGTATCTCGCCCTCACAGCAAAGCCTGGCAAGCTACTCGTGACGTATTCGATATGCCAAACACAGTAACAATTGTCACAATGGAGACGTTACTGGGCCCGCTCGAGCAAATCCGCTCGAGCAAATCGATGAACAACGGGAGGGCCAAGACAGTGACAGTAAAACTTTATATTCTTGAGGGTTATGAAATTTTCTCAGAAGTAGAACAAATGCTTACATATGTGAAACCCTAGATTTGCTTGTTAGCGCCCTCAAAAAATCATATGGTAAAGTTATTATTCCTTAAACTTTTTCTGAACTTCCAGATTTTTAAGCAATCCTCATTGATTTATTGTGATTTATAATACTACTAATAGTAGTTTTATGAATACATCATTTCAAACTTACACCCACCACTAGGGTACTCACTTCCATCCCCTAAGGTCCTAAAATTTCCTCCTGTTTCATTCTCAGACTCCCACATCTTAAGGTAAGTTCTGAGGAACACTTTCCAGTGAGATTGCCTTTGGTCATCTGTGTGTGTATTGAAGTTCCACATGTGAAAGAGATCATTCTTGTCTATACTTTTCCTTCTGACTTATTTCTGGTTCAACCAGAAGTCATAATACATTCTAGCTTCAACCCTCTTGGTAAATTGCACAATTTTGTTCTTTTTACAACTGCATGGTATTCCATTATGTATGTATACCACAACTTTTTTTTTTTATCTGTTTATCTGTATTTGAGCATTTGGATTGTTTCCACATCTTGGCCATGGTACTAAGTGCTGAAATGAGTGTGTGTGTGTGTGTGTGTGTGTGTGTGTGTGTGTGTGTGTGTATATATATGTATATATATATATATCCTTTCAAATACTTTTTTTTGTCTGGGGAGCAGATGCCAAGAATTGGTATGGCTATTTTATATCAAAGTTTCATTTTTACTTTTTTGGAGAAATCTCTTCTATTACTTTCTATACAGGTTGAATGAGTCAACATGACCACCAATGGTGAACGAGTGTTCCTTTCTCTCCACAACCTCACCAACACTGTTTCTAGACTTTTTGATATGTGCTATTCTGACTGGCATGAGATAATATCTCATTGTTGCTTTGATTTATATTTCCCTCATCATAAGTCATGATGAACAATTTTTCATATGTCTGCTAGTTATCCTTATGTAGTCTTTGAGGAAATGTCTGTTCATCTCTTCTCCCCATTTTTGTATGGGGCTCTTGGATTTTCTATTGTTGAGCTTCACAAATGTTTTATAGATCCTGGATATTAGCCCTTTTCTAAGATATTATGTAGAAATTCTTTCTCCCATTCAACTGGGTTTCTTTTGTTGTTAGTTTGAACTTCCTTTGCGGTGCAGAAGCTTTTTTATTTAATGTAGTCCCGTTTGTTTATTTTTGGTTTTGTTGTCTTTTCCTCTGTGGTCATCTCATTGAAAATACCTCAGACTTTTTTCTTGGAAAGTTATACCTATTTTCTCCAGTGTATTTAATGATTTGCTTTTGTAAATGGTGTGAGATATGGTTTTAATTTTATTTTTGTACATGTTGCTATCCAGCTTTCCAAACACCACTCATTTGTTGAAGAGATTTCATTTTCTCTCCTTCATATATTTAGCTCCTTTTTCATAGATTAACTGCCCATGAATCTGGGGTGTTAATTTTGGACTCTTAATTCTATTCCACTGGTCTATGAGTCTATCTTTATTCCAGTCCCATATAGTTTTGACTTTATAGTACAATTCATACAGCTGACCGAGGTTTGGTTCTTGACACCACACACAGCATGAACTCCACCAGGCATGATCCCTAAAATACAGAGCCAGGAGTAAAATCCCTGAGTACTAAACTTCCCAGTCAGTTGAAATAATCAAAGATGTTGCATAATAGAGAGGCATGAAGAGGGATTTGTTACATCTATTGAGAATACAGATGCTTATTCTGTATAATAGACCACAGAAGAAATCTTGCAGATATGACTAAATCAAACTACATGTCAAAACAAGGAAATGAAAAATTAAAGTGTCAATTTGTAGTAAATGCATACAAAAACTTTAAAATATAATAGAGTTCAACACTGCACGGTAATCTGTGGGCTTAATTTACAAATGCTATGGAAAGGACGAGTAACACTCCCAGTCTTTAATTGACTCTGATGGTAAAGTAAAATCATTGCCATTGTGTAATGAAGAATCATTGCCACAAAGTAATGAATAAATTTTTTTTAAAAACTCACCTAATAGAGGCTGAAGCAATAGCACAGCGGGTAGGGCGTTTGCCTTGCAGGCAGCTGAACCAGGTTCGATTCCCAGCATCCCATGTGGTTCCCCGAACACCACCAGCAGTAATTCCTAAGTGCAGAGCCAGGAATAACCCCTGTGCATCGCCGGGTGTGACCCAAAAAGCAAAAAAGCAAAAAAAAAAAAAAAAGCCTCACCTAATATAGGTCTTTTTGCAGAAAGTAGACCTTATTTTTCTTTTCAGATCTTATTATCAAGCAAAATATTGAAAATGAAGATACAAAATGCAGCTCCATAGAGATTTTGACCACTCAAAGTCAGATTGAATCAAAGAACAGTGAACCAGGTAAAATTTTTAAATAAGTCATCGAGTTTATCAAGTTTATCTATATGTGAGGGAAAAGACTAATACATTTATTTACATATAAAATCTTTCAAGACAATTTTCATCTTTAAAATTATATTATTAAAATATAATTTATTGTTTCTAATGAACAAAATTTTAAAAAACCTAATATAAAAGTTGAAAGTAGCTTTTTCTAAATACTTTATTTATTTATTTATTTTTTGCTTTTTGGGTCACACCCGGCCATGCATAGGGTTTACTCCTGGCTCTGCACTCACGAATTATCCCTGGCAGTGCTCAGGGGACTATATGGGATGCTGGGAATCGAACCCAGGTTGGCCGCATGCAAGGCAAATGCCCTACCCTCTGTGCTATCACTCCAGCCCTGAAAGTAGCTTTTCTTATTTTTCTTTTTAGATCCTACTACCAATCAAAACACTGAAAATGAAGATATAAAGTGCAGCTCCATTAAGCTCTTAGTCACTCAAAGCCAGAGTGAACCAAAGAACAGTGAGCCAGGTTAAAAAATTTTAATGAATCATCAAGCTTATCAGGGTTATCATTACATTTGCAAAGTCTTGAGACGATTTTCATCTTTAAATTTTTATTATTGAAATATAATTTATTATTTTTAATGAACAAAATTTTTAAAGCCAAATATAAAATTTCTTTTGTTAAAAGTAGCCTTTCTTATTTTTCTTTTTAGATCCTACTACCAATCAAAACACTGAAAATGAAGATATAAAGTGCAGCTCCATTAAGCTCTTAGTCACTCAAAGCCAGAGTGAACCAAAGAACAGTGAGCCAGGTTAAAAAATTTTAATGAATCATCAAGCTTATCAGGGTTATCATTACATTTGCAAAGTCTTGAGACGATTTTCATCTTTAAATTTTTATTATTGAAATATAATTTATTATTTTTAATGAACAAAATTTTTAAAGCCTAATATAAAATTTCTTTTGTTAAAAGTAGCCTTTCTTATTTTTCTTTTTAGATCCTACTACCAATCAAAACACTGAAAATGAAGATATAAAGTGCAGCTCCATTAAGCTCTTAGTCACTCAAAGCCAGAGTGAACCAAAGAACAGTGAGCCAGGTTAAAAAATTTTAATGAATCATCAAGCTTATCAGGGTTATCATTAAATTTGCAAAGTCTTGAGACGATTTTCATCTTTAAATTTTTATTATTGAAATATAATTTATTATTATTTATTATTATTATTATTGACAACATTGATGAGGAATACGATCGAATGATTCAGCACCTCCATGATTGTGCAAGGAATGCCAAGAGAGAGATAACCACAAAAAACCGTCTTTCTTCGAACACTCTTGAACTTATTCGCCAACGTGGCGTGGCACGTGCCTCAGGCAACCACAAGCAAACGTCCGAACTGGCAAAACAGTGCAGAAAAGCCATCAAGGATGACCTCAAAAACAGGAGAACAGCAGTACTGGTAGATGCAGCAGAAGCTGGGAAAAACATTCGTAATGCCCGCCTGTCCTTCACCAACTACAAAACCAAGATGACTGCCCTCCGACATCATGATGGATCTATCACATCTTCCAGAAGGGCAATGGAGAAGATTATTCATGAATTCTACTCAGATCTCTTTAATAGCCACATCCACTTGCCCACATATCACATGATGGATATGTCGTTCCCAATGTTCTCCCTTCCGAAATCCAACATGCCATCTCGTCGGTAAAGAAACAAAAAGCACCTGGCCCAGACAAGATCAGACCTGAACACCTGAAGAACTTACCATCAATACTCATCAATACATTAGCTCGACTCTTCACACGCTACCTGTCTGAATGCAAGGTTCCATCCCAATGGAAAACCAGCAAGACTGTACTACTATACAAGAAAGGAGACATCCACGACATTGGCAACTATCGCCCAATCTGCCTATTGTCTGTCATCTACAAACTATTCACTCGAGTCATCCTGAATAGGATTAGCAGAACACTAGATGAAGGACAACCATGTGAACAAGCTGGATTCCGAAAAGGATTCAGTACCATCGACCATATCCACACAATAACCAAGCTCATTGAGGTATCTCGGGAGTTCAAGATGCCGCTCTGTCTAACGTTCATTGATTTAAAGAAGGCCTTTGATTCTGTTGAGACGGAAGCGGTCATGGAAGCCCTAGCCAATCAGGGCGTACAAACTCAATACATCAGGATCCTTCGTGAGCTCTATTGCGGATTCACTACCAAGATCTCACCATTCTACAAAGAAGTAATCATCCATATCAAGAGAGGGGTTCGGCAGGGTGATACCATTTCACCAAAACTCTTCAGTGCCACCCTCGAGAACATCATGCGACGACTAGAATGGGAAAACATGGGAGTGAAGATAGATGGTCGGCAACTACACCACCTCCGCTTTGCTGATGACATCGTTCTAATAACACCAAACATCAGCCAAGCGGCACAAATGCTTGCGGACTTTGACCGTGAGTGTGGAAAGGTTGGACTACAGCTGAATCTTACGAAGACAATGTTTATGAGAAACAGCCTTGTTCCTGACGCTCCATTCGCTCTCAACGGAACCACCATCTCCGAATGCAACAGTTATATATACTTAGGTCGAGAAATCAACATGATGAATGACCTGGCACCTGAGTTACGCAGGAGGAAGAGAGCGGCTTGGAATGCCTTCAAGAGCATTGAAGAAATAACTAAAAGGACAAAGAACCTCCAACTACGAGCACATCTCTTTGATTCCACTATTCTTCCTGCATTAACATATGCCTCAGAGACCTGGACCCTACGAAAACAGGATGAGAACACTATTCGGGTCTCTCAAAGAGGAATCGAAAGAACTATGCTTGGAATATCACGATTCACTCAAATGAGAGATAGAATCCGGAGTTCTGATCTTCGTCAACGCTCAAGAATCAGAGACGCTGTCTCATTTGCCAAGACATCAAAAATCAGATGGGCTGGACATGTAATGAGGTTTACAGACAACCGCTGGACTAGAGCCATTACTGATTGGATTCCACGAGACATCAAAAGATCACGTGGACGCCCACCTATAAGATGGTCAGACTTCTTCGTCAAGACCCTAAATGATCGGTTTGAGGCTCTACATGTTCCTAAAACGAACAGATACCATTGGGCTACGCTAGCACGCAACCGGGATGAATGGAGACGTTACTGGCACCCGCTCGAATAAATCGATGAATAACGGGGATTAAGTGATTAAGTGATAAGTGATTTTTAATGAACAAAATTTTTAAAGCCTAATATAAAATTTCTTTTGTTAAAAGTAGCCTTTCTTATTTTTCTTTTTAGATCCTACTACCAATCAAAACACTGAAAATGAAGATATAAAATGCAGCTCCATTGAGATCTTAGTCACTCAAAGCCAGAATGAACCAAAGAACAGTGAGCTAGGTAAAATAATTTTAATGAATCATCAAGCTTGTCACCATTATCATTACATTTACAAAGTTTTGAGGCAGTTTTCATCTTTAAAATTTGATTATTGCAATCTAATTTATCAATTTAAAAGGATTAGAATTACCCAAAAAAAAAACCTAATATGAAAGTCCTTTTGCAGAGAGCAGGCTTTCTTATTTTTCTTTTCAGATCTTACTATCCAGCAAAACATTGGAACTGAAAACATAAAATGCAGCTCTACAGAAATTTTGGGCACTCAAAGCCAGAGTGAACCAAAGAACAGAGAACCAGGTAAAAGTTTTTAATGAGGGGGCTGGAGCAATAGCACAGCGGGTAGGGCATTTGCCTTGCACACGGCCGACCCAGGTTCAATTCCCAGCATCCCATATGGTCCCCTGAGCACCGCCAGGAGTAATGCCTGAGTCCATGAGCCAGGAGTAACCCCTGTGCATAGCTGGGTGTGACCCAAAAAGCAAAAAAAAAAAAGTTTTTAATGAATCATCATGTTTATCAGGGTTATCTTTACAATTGCAAAGTTTTGAGACAATTTTCATCTTTAAAATTTGATTTTGCTTTTTGGGTCACACCTGACGATGCACAGGGGCTACTCCTGGCTCTGCACTCAGGAATTACTCCTGTCGGTGCTCGGGGGACCATATGGGATGCTGGGAAATGAACCCGGGTTGGCTCCGTGCAAGGCAAACGCCTTACCCGCTGGACAGCGGGTAGGGCATTTGCCTTGCATGCAGCCAGCATGGCCGATTGGAATTCGATTCCTCCGCCCCTCTCAGAGAGCCTGGCAAGCTACCCGAGAGTATCTCGCCTGCACGGCAGAGCCTGGCAAGCTCCCCGTGACCTATTGGATATGCCAAACACAGTAACAACAAAGTCTCCAATGGAGACGTTACTGGGCCCGCTGGAGCAAATCGATGATCAATGGGAGGGCCTTTACTTACTTTACTAAAATTTGATTGATGCGTTATTATAAACCACAATGCCCAAAAGGAGGATAGAGAAAGAGAGAGAAAGAGAGAGAGAGGGAGAGAGAGAAAGAGAAGTGCCTGTCATAGAGGCAGTCAGGGGATATGAGATATTGGAATACTCTATGACTGAAATCCAATCATGAACACCTTTGTAAAGTGTATCTCACAGTGATTCAATTAAAAAGTTCAAAAAATAAAATTTGATTAATGCAATCTAATTTATTGGGGAATTTTTGTTTTGTTTTGTTTTGTTTTCCCCACATTATTTAGACACCATTATTTACAAAATTGTTCATGATGATTTGTAATTGGTATCCAGTATTTCAGCACCAGTTGTACCACCAGTCACCTTCCCTTCATCATTGTCTCCATTTTCCCAACCACCCCTCAAGTCTACCCATGTAGCAGGCCCACAGTAATTTATTTTATATAGTTTATTATCAATACACGGCTAATAGAATGACAAAAAGTACTTTAATTTAAAAATTCTTTTTTAAATTGTACTTCACCATGGGGACATCAAGTCCATTTCTGAGGTAAGCTTATTAAGCTGTTGTTGCAAGGTGAGACCTCTGTGTTAATGTTTTTGTTAGTCTAGATTATTTGGCTTCTATGTTATATTCCTACTCAATCTGGTGTGCTCCTACTGGGATGCTAGTATTAGAGAGTTTGGAGATGTTGTTCCAGAAAATCTAGAATATTTAATTGGGCAATTTGACCAGAGTCATGGTGACAGCTGTTGGGGCATGATGAGTGTGGCTGTCTGGGCTATGGTAGGGTGGGTACTTGACCTGCCCTGTCTCCCAAGATTACCCCAGAGGTCTTAGCCAGGATTGGGTATTCTAGAAAATTTTCACTGATTTATTGTTTTTAATCATAATTGTTTTAATCATCAAAATTACCTTTTTTAAAAGTCTCTAATGTGAAAGTTCTTTTGTAGGAAGTAGACTTCCCTATTTTTATTTTCAGATCTTATTATTCAACAAAACTTTGAAAGTGAAGATATGAAATGCAGTTCCACAGAAATTTTAGCCGCTCCCAGTCAAAGTGAACCAAAGAATAGTGAACCAGGTAAAAACTTTAAGAACCATCAAGTTTATCAGGATTATATTTACATTTACATATAAAATCTTATGAGACAATTTTTATCTTTGAAATTTGATTATTGCAAGTCCAGTTTATTGCTTTTCACTGTCACTGTCCTCCCATTGTTCATTGATTTGCTCGAGCTGTAACATTTGCTCAGGCCCAGTAACATTGTGAGACTTGTTACTGTGTTTGGCATATTGAATACATCACAGGTAACTTGCCAGGCTTTGCTGTGAGGGTGAGATACTCTCGGTAGCTTGTCAGGCTCTCCAGGAGGAGCAGAGGAATCAAACTCCGTTTTTTTTTGCTTTTAATGAACAAAATTAATTTTTCTTTAAATGAACAAAATTACAGCAAAAATCTAATATAGAAGTCCTTTTGCTTAAAGTAGATTTTCCTCTTTTTATTTTCAGATACTGCTACCAAGCAAAAACTTGAAACTGAAGATATAAAATGCAGCTCCATCGAGATTTGGGCCACTCAAAACCAGAATAAACCAAAGAAAAGTAAACCAGGTAAATTTTTAAATAAATAGTAGAGCTTATCAAGGTTATGTATATGTGAGATAAAAGACTGTGACTGTGACATGTCTAGTATTATAAAACAACTTCATCTTTAAAGTTTGATTATTGCAGTTTAATATATTGGTTTTTATTTTATATGCTCTCTTTATATTTGTTACTCTTATTAAATTACTTTCCTTCTAGTACCAAAACTGAATATGTATAAAGAAAAGTTATAAAAATCAAGGAAGAGAATTGGAGGATACCACTAGCATTAAAAATGTAAATTCAATAATATAGATCAATAAATAAATGTTTATGTTTTATAATAGTTTTCGCATTCTTGCTGAACCCTTGTTTCACTTTTGTAAATTAAAAAATAATTTAACCTCCCTAAATAATTCTATCATTATTGTTAATATTATTCTAGGAAATTTATGATCTCTGAATCATCTTTTGTTTCAATGTAATGCCTAATCATGTTGTGTCTTAAATATAATGATGGAAACATTATTTAGTTACATTCATAACTGGACCACATTCATCATTTTTTTGCAAGTTAAATCATTTATTTGAAGTCATAGAAACATGTTAACTTCTTATGAATAAAGACCATATTTTCAAGAATACCCTATAAAAATACAACATAGAGCCTGCCAGCAGATAGGGTGCTTGTCTTACATGCAGGTGACGCATGTTTGATCCCTGGCATCCTATATGGTCTCCTGAGCACAGCCAGAAGTGATCTCTGAGTGCAGAGCCAGGAGTAACCCCTGAACACTGCCAGATATGGTCCAAAAACAAAATTAAATTAAATATGAAAAATATAATTCATTGTTAGGCTAGCAACTCTCCATATCTATGAAGATGAAAAGTTACTTTCCACTAATACTATTTGTCTGATGCCGTGCTCTTTAAATCCCGTGTTCTCCCAAGGTTCAGTGTCTTGCTTTCTTGTCTCTGTTGCTTTGCTTGCCTATTTTGACTCCGGAGAAAACTGCATTCTCTTTTAAATACTTACCTTTTCCTCCACGCTCATATCATTCTAAATAATTTTCAATAAAAACTATCTTGCTTCACACAGAAAATTACTATTTGGCATTATTAATATTTACTACAGAGATAAATGTATGATCTTCTAAGTAATAATAACTTGTCAGAATCAAAATCACACATAGAACTCTTAAAATTTATCTCATACGGTGATCTGGACATTAAGGGTTGGAGCAATAGCACAGCGGGTAGGGCGTATCTCATACAGTAAACTCTATAAACTTTAGTTGTCATTCTATTTAAAAATCACCACTAATAGGGCTGAAACAATAGTACAGCAGGTAGGGTGTTTGCCTTGTACACAGCTAACATGGGTTTGATTTCTGGCACCCCATATGTTCCCCTGAGCCTACCCTGAGTGCAGAGCCAGGAGTAGCCCTTGAGCACTGTCAGGTGTGCCCCCAAACAATCCCCCCAAATCACCACAAATAAAAAATGAGAAATGATATATGTATAATTCCTTATATATGTGGAAATTTTAAGACTTTTTAAATAGTTCAGATAACTCCAAACTTCTTTTTATTGAAATGTGGTAACTATCAAATGTAGTAGTTGCTTACTATGTGTTCCATTTTTGTAACTTTTGTAATTATATTATTCAGTATTTAAGTAATAATATGATAAAATTTTATGCATTTTAGCAATGTTAGAAATGCCATTAATTCCTCTGAATTTAACAAACCAACATTCTTCGGTGAATTTGTTATGTCCAGGACTTCAGAAATTTTTATTTTCTCCTGTTGGCAAAATGTGAGTAAAACTTTATCTTGAGCTCAAACTGCAATTCAGAACAAGAAGTCCTTAATTACATCATCCAATAAAAAAGCAATTTCCAAGATAACACTTTGAAAAAATATAAGCTAGAACTGTGTCTATAGTAAGCATCTGGTGTAATATATCAATATATGTATATATTTGGTTTTATATGCATAGTTCTTTTTTAATGACACACAGGAATCAGGTAACATTTGTTGTGTTGAAAAGAGAACTGGGTAACCTGACAATGTAGAAGCTATTAATTGATAGATATAGGATCTATCAGTTTTTTAAATGTAAATGAATTACCGTGAAAACTAATCAACTTGAAAAAAAATTTTTTTTATCAGTGAGACATTATGAGGTACAGTTGTAGACTTACAAATTTTTGTGCTTGGGTTTCAATTATACAATGATCTAATACCCATCCCTCTACCAGTGCCCATTTCCCACCACCACAGATCCGAAAAAAATTTTTAAATATATGATATTGAAACAGTTCCTTAGCATAGTGGCCAATGGGCCACTCACCAGTATCACTGTCTCTGTTGGCACTAAGTGTAAAGCACAGTTCCCTTCTCTACTACAACCTCAAAACATGTAAATAAAAACACTTGCTATTCACCCACACATCCACCAAGATTGAAAAATATCCAAATATTGTTACTGCCAGAACAGTAACTGGTCACTTCCTGAGAAGATAGAATATAGAGAACCTTTTCGTTTCCATAGTTCTATCCATAGCCACCAAAGATCCCAGAATTTCTGGTTGTCAGAGAATAATGTTGTCAAACTTTGTATTGCTGCTACCATTTTTCATGTTAAACACAAAAATTTCATTTAAGATTGTATCCTGTTCCTCCCTGCAGAGACTATTCTGGTGCAATGCATGGGGTTGTGCCCTGGCAGTGCTCAGGAAATTTTGTGGTACTAGACATCCAACATTGACCTCACAAAAATAATAGCACTTTGAGCCATGTCTGTGGCCCCTAGATTGTATTCTTATATGGGGCAATTTGCAGGGTTGGTGCTAGCACAGTTTGTGAAACTCTCTACTTCAGTTTAAACACGTATTAAATAGATCACTTTTTTCACTTTAGAACATTAAAAATAACTTTTCTTTTAATAAAGTTTTGTTATATAAAGATTCAATAATATTAATATATTAAATAAACTCTTTTTCAGTAGTTTGCTTACTGCTGAAGAATCAGTTAACAAATACTTGAAGGTATGGCAATTACAAAGTTGCAGAAGTTCTTTGAAGTCACTTTTGCTTACAGGTAAAGATTGATTTTGAGTGTTAAATAGAAAGTATATGTGAAAAGGTAACTGACATTCAGTAGCAATGTTTTGTCAGTTTTGTTTTTATTATTATTGTCATAAGAAGCAGATTGAAAATCAGAATTTCAAAATTTATAATTCTAATTGTGGGTTGATAATGGAAATAATAACATCAAGTAGTTGCTCTACTTTTGGTCATACATTGCTTTTTTTTATTTAGGCTAAAAAGTGATTAAATGGAGGTCTGTGGATGCAGCTCAAGTAGTCCCTATCTTGCATGTGCAAGGCTGGGTTCAGTCCCATATACCACATCACCTCCAACCACTACCAGTATGTGTGAACTTGGTGGTCATGGTAGCACCTAAGTACTTTGAAGCTTGAGTTCCATTGGGAGTGACCCTTACAAAAACATTAATGAAGTAGAAAGCTCTCTGTCACAATGATAAATGAGAATCATAAAATTTGATCAAATATATCTTCCTGTTTAGACTCATTGTAATGAATTAGAATTTATTTAATAAATATTACTTTAATTCTTCAAAATTTATGAGCTCATTAGAAATGACTAAATTGTTCCAGTCTACTGTCACTGTCACTGTCCTCCCATTGTTCATCGATTTTCTCAAGCGGGCCCAGTAATGTCTCCATCGTGAGACTTTGTTGTTACTGTGTTTGGCATGTCAAATACGTCACAGGTAGCTTGCCAGGCTTTGCCGTGCAGGCGAGATACTCTCAGTAGCTTGCCGGCCTCTCCAAGAGGGACGGAGGAATCGAACTCGGGTCGGCCATGTTGACTGCGTGCAAGGCAAATGCCTTACCCACTGTGCTATCGCTCTAGCCCTTCCAGTCTACTAAATTTGGAATAAGATTAACTTCTTGGTAATACCACAGATCAAAATAAACTTAAAGTGGCTTTCATTGCTATAATATTTTATGACATCTATAGCATTTATAGTCATAAATATCAGTATCTTAAAGACAAAATACTTCGTATAATTTCAGTTGCACTCCCCACCTTCACCACATGAATGAAAATCTCTTTCACAAGGAATTTCCAGAGTGGTTATCTTTATTGTGTTCCATTTTTGTTATTTTTTAGTGCCAAAAACTGAAGAGCCCATCAACCAGCATCCAGCTATAAACCTGAAAAAGCTATTTTCTACTGAAGAAAAAGGTGTCGTGGTTAGTCCTATAAATACAGAGAGATGGAAACAAACAGGACTAAACCTGATAGTGACAGAAGATTTGGAACATCAGAATATATATTTGTGTCCTGATGATCTATCTTCTGATGATAATAAAATGAAGATTAACTTGCCTAGTAAAGAACTCCAATTAGAATGTAAGTACATAATACTAAATAACACTTGTGTCAGCACTTTTAGGGAGAAAAAATAATAAAAACTAGCTTTCCATGAGGTTATTGAAAAATATAATTAGGTCCAAATACTTAACATTGACTCTTGTATGCCAGAATGTGTCTCTTTTTAAAGATCATGATTTAAGCACTAGTCATAAATTTCACTTTATTTAGTTGGTCCAATAGTCATTTCATTTTTTTCAAATAAACTTTAGGAGAGTTGTAAGTTTCATAAAATGAAATTTTCCTAATTATACAGTTTGGTGCACTTTAATAAATATATATATCGAAGACCTACCACCATAATTAAGGCATAGACTATGCCAGAAAAAGTGAAACTGGAATTGTATGGAGTAGTTTTCCTTTAAGATACTGATATTTGTAAAGTCTAAAATATTATAGCAATGGAAGCCACATAAAAGTTAATTTTAATCTGCAGTATTGCCCACTGCATGGCAGAGTCTGCAAGCTACCCATGGCATATTTGATATACCAAAAACAGTAAAAATAATGGGCCTCATCCCATGACCCTGAAAGAGCCCCCAATATGGCAGCGTTTAAGAGGGATGAGTGAGGAGAGGCTGATAAATCTCTGGGCTGAAGAAAAGTGAATGGACTATGTGTTAATCCATGGTACCGTGCATCGCCGGGAGGGAAGAGGTGTTGCTCCCTTCTGCCTCTTTCCCCCTGGGCAGCAAGATGGCAGCCGCCTCAGAGCTTTTTGGAACTCCAGGTATGAGCTGGCTGTGACAGACAACTGCAACCTCATGGGAAGGGTGTGTTCCCGGCTCGTCCTTCACGCCCTACTGAGGTCACGAGTTGCCCCCCACGAGCTGCTCTCCAGCACGGCCATGGCTCCAGAGCCACAGAAACCAATCTCGTAATTAACTGGCTCTTGGCAGAAATCCCTCTAGACTTAATTAGTAAAATATAGAAATATAAAATCATCATATGGTTCTCATAATGAGCTGTAGAAAACAAATTACTTCACAATGCTTTTTCAGCAGTTCTGATTGTTGGGTGCAAACTAAACAATAAAGGTGCAGCTTTTGTAGAAATAATGAATGTAATCAAAGTAGATAGAGAGTTAAGTAGAATTCATCTTCCTCACAGGCATTGGGAAGGGTGGGAGGGGAGGTATATTGGGGTTCTTGGTGGTGAAAAAATAAATACTGGTGAAGGGAAAGGTGTTTAATCATTGCATAACCGAGACTTAAACTTGAAAGCTTTATAACTTTTCCCACAGTGATTCAATAAATAAATACATTTTTAAAAATACAGCTTAAAAAATCTCTGGGCCGAACTAGGCTGCCAAAATGAAGAAGGACTAAAATGACTGTCTACTTTCAATGCACTTATGCTGGCATCAAAAAGATCCATCAAGGAACTGATGGTGCAAATGCAGAAGATCAAATACAACATCATTGGTCTGACCAAGACGAGAAAGCATCAATCACATAATGCTATTTTTGACACTGGAGAAGAACTGTTCCTCGGAACATGGGACAATAGAGGTGTTGCTGGTGTCTATGTCCTTGTCAACACAAACTTGTCCATGAGCACTGATTCATTTGAATGCCTAACAACTCGAATCGGATGATTGCACTTGAATAGATGTGGCTCACTACCAGCAGTTTCTATCTTCATTGTCTACGCACCAACATCCAACTACAATGAAAAAGAAATTGAGAAATTTTACATGGAGCTGGAGAAGTTCTATAAAGAAGTCCACACCTTCTACAAGATCATTGTCGGTGATTTTAATGCCAAGATAGGACCAAGAAGGTCGCACTAAGAACTCCACATCCAGACCAATGGCCTAGAATGGAACGAACAGGGTGAGAGACTGTCTAAGTTCATCATGTCAAACAAGACCATCCATGGTAACTCACAGTTCCAGAAGGCCGAATCTAAATGTTGGACATGGGAGTCTCTCAACGTTTTTGAGAGTTTTTTAGACTTTTACAAAAATCATGGAAGTTCTACAACAAAATTGACAACATCATATTCAATTGACGGTTTTGCCTGATCGATGTCGCTGTTGTCCCAAAATTCCAAACAGGATCGGACCACCGTGTCCTTTGTGCAAAATTCTACTTCACAGAGTGTGGAGAAAGGACTGCAAAGTTTAAGAAGAGAACTCCCAGAATTACCACCAACTGGGAGCTCTTTGGCACTATTGCGGCAATGTGGGAAGACTCTGTCATTGACAACATCGATGCGGAATATGATCAACTGGTTCAGCACCTCCATGACTATGTGAGGAATGCCGAGAGTGAAAAAAACACAACCAGACACCTGTCTTCAGAAACTCTCTAGCTTATTTGCAACGTGTTTGGTGCAAGCCTCAAGCAATCACAAGCTAATGCCTGAGCTCGCAAAGCTGTGCAGGGAAACAATAAAGGAAAACCTCAAAGAGAGAAGAGTATCAGTGTTGGCTGATGAGGCAGAAGTCAGGAAAAGTATTTGCAACGCCCACCTGTCCTTCGCCAACTACAAGACCAAGATGACTGCCTCTGACGTCCTGATGGATCAATCACATCTTCCAGAAGGGCAATGGAGAAGATTATCCACGATTTCTACTCAGATCTCTTCGATAGCCACGTCCACCTCCCCACATACCAAATTTCGCAAGATGAATATGTCATTCCTAATGTTCTTCCTTTGAAATCCGACACGCCATTTCATCCTTAAAGAAGCGTACTGCACTTGGTCCAGACAAGGTCAGACCCTAACACCTGAAGAATCTGCTGCCAGTACTCATCAATACACTGGCTCAACTCTTCACACGCTACTTGTATGAATAGCATGTGAAGAGCTGATGGAAAACTAACAGGATCGTTCTGTTATACAAGAAGGGAGACATCCACAATATCAGCAACTATCTCCCCATCTGCCTGTTGTCCTTTGACTACAAGTTGTTCACTGGAGTCATCCTGAATAGAATAGGCAGAGCACTAGATGAAGAACAACCATGCAAGCAAGCTGGGTTCTGAAAAGGATTCAGCACGATTGACCACATCCACATAGTGACCAAGCTTATTGTAGTTTTGCAAGAGTTCAAGATGCCTCTCTGTCTAATGTTCATCAATTAAAAGGCCTTTGATTCTGTTGAGACTGAAGCAGTCATCAAAGCCCTAGCCAAATAGGGTGTTCAAACTCTGTACATCAGGATCTTCCGTGAGCTGTATTCACCACCAGGATCTCACCATTCTACAAGGAAGTGTTCATCGATGTAAAGAGAGGGGCTCGGCAGGGTGATACCATTTTACCGAAACTCTTCACTGCCACCCTTGAGAACGTCATGAGACAACTGGAATGGGAAGAAAAGGGAGTGAAGATAGATGGTCAGCAACTACACCACCTCTGCTTCGCTGATAACATCATTCTAATAACACCAAACATTAGCCAAGCGGCACAAATGCTGGCTGACTTAGACTGTGAGTGTGGAAAGGTCAGACTGCAGCTCAATCTCACCAAGACAATGTTAATGAAAAATGAACTAGTCCCTGACGTTCCATTTGCTCTCAACGGAATGAATATCTCCAAATGCAGCAGTGATGTGTACCTGAGTCAAGAACTCAACATGAGGAATGACGTGGCACCAGAACTGCGCAGGAGGAAGAGAGTGGTGTGGAATGCCTTCAAAAGTGTCGAAGAAATAGCTAAGAGGACAAAGAAACTCTGGCTCTGGGCACTTCTTTTCGACTACACCATTCTTCCTGCACTAACATACACCTCAGAGACCTGGGCCCTGCGAAAACAGGATGAGAACACTATGCGAGTATCCTGAAGAAGAATCAAAAGAGCTGTGTTTGGAATATCACATTTCACTCAAGTGAGAGAAGGAATCCGGAGTTCCAACCTCCACTGACAATCAAGAATCAGGGACGCTGTCTCATTTGCCAAGGCGTCAAAAATCAGATGGGCCAGACACGTAATGCAATTTAGAGACGACCACTAGACTAGAGCTGTTACTGACTGGATTCCACAGGACGTCAAAAGGACATGTGGCTGCCCACCTACGAGATAGTCAGACTTCTTCGTCAAAACCCTGAACAAATGGTTTGAGGCTTTTTGTGTTCCTGGAATGAGCAGATGTCATTGGGCTACACTAGACACAACAGGGAGGAATGGAGACATTATTGGTGCCTACTCAAGCAAATCGATGATCAACGGGATGATAACTGATACATACAAGTGACAAGTGGAATTATCAAAAAGTCAAATTACTCTAAATTTAGTATAATGGAACAATTATTTTGACTTGGTGGTAGAGTACTTGCCTTGACTGTGTAAGGCACTGCGTTTGATCCCTGACACCACATATACATAAAAATATATAGAATATTTCTATAGCCAAAAAGTTTCCTTGTGTTTGTTTGCCTTCTGTTTTCTCCCCTATTCCTTATCTCTGCCTACAAATATTTATCCTTGATTCTAGGTGGCCACTGGTCTATTTTCTGTTACATTAGTTTCCTTTATCCTAGAATTTCATTTAAGGAACCATACAGCATAAACTTTTATGTATCTGGCTTCTATTCAGCATGACATTTTTGAGATCTGCTCATGATGGTGTATATAAATATAGTATGTTTATTTTTATTACTAAGTAGATTTTATCATATGGGTGTATCACAATTATTCAATTCTGTTTTTCCTAGTCTTTTTATAGTTATGAATAAAACTATTATAAATATTCCTCTCAAGTCTTTTTGTGGATGTATGTTATCCTTTTTCTCGAGTGAATATCTAAGACAAATTATTGGACCTTATTATATGTGTATTTTTAATTTTATAACGTACTATTCAAATGAGTTTTTTGGTACCATTGTACATGACACCAGTATTGTATAAAAGTTCTAGTCATTCTGTATCATTGCCAGTACTTGGTATTGCAGTCTTTTCAGTTTAATCATCCTAATGTGTGTTGTGGTATCTTATGGGTTTAATTTGTATTTTCCTGATGATTAATGATGAAGAGCATTTTTTACATAGTCCTTGGCCTTTTGTGTCTCTTCTTGGGGGTATGGTGTAGTATTTTGGCTACACCTGACTGTGTCAGTATTTACTCCTGGTTTCTATCTCAGGGATAATTCCTGGCAGTGTTCAGGGGACCATATGTGGTGCTGGAGATCAAACCCAAGTGGATTGCATGCCAGGTAAGCACCCTACTCACTGTACTCTATCTCTCTCTTTCTCTTTCTCTCTCTCTCTCTCTGTGTGATAGATAAATAAATATATACATAGTTAAAATGTAATTTATATATCATTAAAATACCCATTTAAAGTATATCAGTGGTTTTTAACATATACATAAAGTTGTATATTCATCATCACAATTAAGTTCTAAACATTTTTATCACCCCCCCCCCAAAAGAAATCTAGTGCCTGATCTCAGTCACTCATATGAGTTCCTAGTTGTGGAATCACTGATCTAGTCTCTTTCTCTATATACTTGCATATTCTAGATGTTTCATGTAAATGGAGTCATTCATTGTGCAAGTTTTGGTCTTTCACGACTATCTCCTTTCATCTAGCATGTTTTTTAAATATTCACCTGTGTTGTGGCATGTGTCTATGAAATATTATTTAAATATTTGACAAATTTTTTCTTTTAAAATATTGGTACGAATTAATTGTATAATTGATATATGGGTTGATATAGTCTTTCTAAACTATCTGTATTGCAGGTTTTTCTTCTAAAATATGGCTTGCTTGAGAGATAAGTTTTTGAACCTCAGGAAACTCTTACTACCAAAGCTATGACATATGTGCTTTTTACAATAGGGTTTTTCTGTAATTACTTATTTACCTGGTAAACTAGCTACTAAAGTAGAAATAATGTGCTAAATTTTTATTATTTGAAATATAATATTTTATTCAAACCAAAAGTATAATTTCAAAGCAGTAAACAATTGTTTCCCAAAGTGGGTTATATCACACCCCCAAACCCCCAGGGAAGGGTAGAGGTGGGGGCAATAATAACCTTGGTGCAACTAGGGGGCATTCTCTGTTAACTTAAAGGACATGTATTTCCAGGACGGCTCTAGTGACTATTTTTTCTAAAAAGAAGGCAGTAGACAATAGCAGTTTGAGGACCTCTGAAGTAAATAGAGTATACTTAGAATCATATTATATTCAGAAACCACAACTTAATATCCAAGTGCTACTCATTTAGTCATAGAAATCATCCAAATATTTCTATTCTGTTTTCAGCATGGCAAGAACATAAAGGTTGCCCCTCATCTATTGTACTTATTGATGAGAAATCTACAAATGATCATTTATCTCTTCCACAAAAAAGTTTATCTTTGGTAGAAGAAGTACCAGATCTATGTTTTTCTGATGATGATATCTCTGTTAAGACACCAACAAAAGAAGAGAAAGCAAAAAATGATGTGGAACTATCTTATAGAATAATTGAAAATGAAAAAAATAAAGATTGCAAGGAACTTTGCCACACAGTACCATCATCTCTTGAGTCACATTCTTCTCCAATAATTGAAAAAACATCTTTTAAGAATGGCAAAAGTTGTGGGAATAATTTGGACCTTTTGAGCGACTTTATTATGCTTCGAAAAAAATATAATACTTGCATCTCAACTGATCACAGTGATGGAGTCTTAGACAATGATAAAAAAGATGGTGGGTAATTTTATAATATTTTAGCGTAGACATTATAGCTTCAAGGCCTAGTATATATTATTTATTATAGAAATAAACTCAACTAAATTATATTTTTCAAAATGAAAGAAAATGTCATTGATTTATGACACTTATTGTGTAGATAGTAATATGAATAGAGGTAGATAATGCATTCTTTAAAAAATTTTAAAGTATATTTGAATTTGTATGAAAAGCTGCTACTTACAAAATTTGCTTTCTACAACTTAACTATATATATATAGTGTTTCTAACTTTTGTTGATTATTCTTCCGTTTTTTTCTTTCTTAACTGACAGTTATATCTCAATATTATACTAGTATTGGGGGTAATATTTTATCTGTATTTTACTTCTAGTCTTATTTTATAGTTTATCAGGAGACAAGAAAAAAGGCAACTTATTATGCTCCCTCAAAACTCTAAAAAGTACCATGGGCGGGGGGGCAGGTGGTCACACTCAGCATTACTCGAGGGTTATGCCTGTCTCTGTACTCAGGAATCACTTCTGTTGGGCTCACATGACCATATGAGATGTCAGGGATCAAAACTGCGTTAGTAGAATGTTGTGTCAGTATAGCAGAATGTTGTAAGTGCCAGGGCAAGGGGATTCACAGGATCCTGAAGAAACTAAAAGGAAGGACACATTGTTAAATTTGAGGTCGAGTGGGTAGTCACATGTTGAACGTCTTATAGAAATGCCTGGTATATGTTTAAACTAAAGAAAGTAGTAAGATAGGAGTGGACATTACCTATTGGTTAAGGGATCAACTGATCAACATATATGCACCAAATTAAATGGCATTAAAGTTAAAGCAACTTCTAATAGACCTGAAGAGATCATCAATAGGAACACCATAGTGGTGGGACACTTTAACACCCCACTTTTGACAGTAGACAGATTAACTAGACACACCAGTAAGAAAACAAGATTCCTAGATGATAAATTGGATGTCCATACTCTCCTTTATTATTCAGCATAGTCTTAGAAGTCCTTGTCACAGCTGTGAGGCAAGAAAAAAGAATTAAAGGTATCAAAATTTTAAAAACTTAAAACTGTCACTATTTGCAGATGACATGATAATATGCATAGAATACCCTAAGGACTCCACACACAGAATCAAAACCTCTTACAATAAATAAACCAGTACAACAAAGTAGCAGACTACACAGTCAATACACAAACACTGACAGATTCCACATGGGGTAAGACTTTGACCTTAATACACAACTGACCCCAGTTTCTTCTTTTGCACCACATATGGTTCTCAAGCATCACCAGGGCTGAATGGCTGAAAACAACAACAATAAAAATATTTTTAATTATTTATGCAAATAATAAAGAATGAGAAAGGATAACCCCACTTGAACATGTGCCAGATTTGAGCTATTGTGAACAGTGCCGCAATGAACATAAGAGAGACAACTACTGTATAGATAGATCTGGAGAGTATCATGCTAGAATGTATAATGTTAGTCAGAAGGAGATAGAGGGAAATGAACACTTGGATGGAGGAGGGTATGGTGAGAGACTGAATTATGCATGAAACCCTATCATTAACAGTATTGTAAAACATGGTGCCTAAATTTTTTTTTTAAATTTTTATTAGTGAAACACCATGAGGTACAGTTGTAGACTTACAAGTTTTTGTGCTTGGGTTTCAGTTATACAATGATCGAGTAACCATCCCTCTACCAGTGCCCATTCTCCACCACCAATGATCCCAGTATCTCTCCCACCCCCCAGCCCCTCCGTTCCACCCTCCCTCTGTGGCAGGATATTCCCTTTTGTTCTCTCTCTTTTTTGGGTGCTGTGGTTTGCAAAAGAGACACCGAGTGGCAATCATGTTCGCTCTATAGTCTACTTTCAGCATGCAGCTCTCATCCTGAGAGGATCCCCCCAACACCCTTTATTTGGTGCTTCCTTCTCTATCTGAGCTGCCTTTTTTCCTAGCGTGTGCGGCTGGCCTCCAAGCCATGAAGTAAACCTCCTGGTACTTATCTCGGCTATTCTTGGGTCTTAGTCTCCTATTTTGTTACTTTAGGTTCCCCAGATGAATGCAATCTTTCTATGTCTATCCCTCTCTTTCTGACTCATTTCGCTTAGCATGATACTTTCCATGCAGTACCACTTGTATGTAAATTTCATGACTTCATCTGTTCTAACAGCAACATAGTACTCCATTGTGTAGATGTACCAAAGTTTCTTTAACCAGTCATTGGTTCTCGGGCACTGAAAAAAAATTTTTTTAAGGTGTCCCAAAACAACAGATACATAGATGTGAAAGACTTAATTACTGAAAACTGTACATCATTTTGAAAGAAGTAGGAATAGCTACCGGAAAATGTAAAAATGTTCTGTAATCATAGATTAGAAGAATTAACATTGTCAAAATGACCATCCCACCCAAAGTATTATACAGATTCAATGAAATTACCATAAAATTTCTGATGACATTCTTCAATGACTTAGAACAAAATTGTCTAAAATGTGTATGGAATCATGAAACTCCCTACACAACCCAAAGTCCTTCTGAGAAGAAAAAAAAAGATGAGAGGTATCTTATTTTCTGACTAAATTTTATATAAAACTATAATAATCAAAATAGTACGGTATTAGCATAAGGAGAGGCTCTTACACCAGTGGAGTAGAATAACTAAAGCTTTTATGTGACTGAGTGATCCCACATGTGAGCATATACTCCAAAATCCCAGAAGTTAATTCTGAAAGATATATGCACACCTATGTTCATTACTGCACTAAGAACAGTAAGCCAATATATGGAGATCACCCAAGTTTCAATGATAGATAAGTGGATAAAGATGTTGTATATATACACAATGGAATATAATACAGTCATAAAAAAGATGAAATCGTACAGTTTGTTGTCACCTGAATGGACCTAGAGGTTATTATGTTAAGCAAAATAAGTCAGAGAGAAGGACAAGAACTAGATTATCTTACTTATCTGTGATCCACAAAGAAAGAAAGGAATAGACAGTGTCAAATGATAGCAGACTCTTGGCCCTGATTACAGAATTAAGAGTACCAAATGAGGAAGAAGTAGTTGCAGAGGAATTATATGGTTAACTGTACATAGTATAGGAATATCTTGGGCACTTTGGTGGCTCTGAGGTTAGGTAACTGTGTATATCAAAACCATAAACACTGATACTATTATAAACATGACAAACTATAATAAAAATTGTCATATAATACAGTTGAAATATCTTCAAAAGCCTTAAAGATTTTACAAACTTTTATTCATTGGTTGGTGAAGAAGGCAGAAATTTAATTTTACAGGCTAGAAAGGAATTCTGGGAACTGCAAAAAAATTAAATACTTGGGGCTGAAGAGATAGTGCAGTGGGTAAGGCACTTGCCTGGCACACAGCCAACCCAGTTTCCATCCCCAGTATCCCATATGGCCCCAGGCACTACCAGGAGTAATTCCTGAGAAACAGGAGTGAGTAACCTCTGAGCATTGCCAGGTGCGACCCCCAAACAAAAATCATCCCCCCCTTCAAAAATGAAAGACTTCTTTTTCTTTTTCTTTCTTTTTTTGTGGGTCGGAGGGGGAGGGGGAGAGGACTTGTAGACTGAGAGGAAAAGAAAGATTTTTATGGGCAGAAAGGGGTAGGATAATGAAGTTATACTAGCAAATTGCTTTTTGTGGTAAGATTACCTTGCTTTTGGAAATGACAAGAGCCGAACAAGCAAATTACCTCACAAGTGCTCATGAGTTAATTCCAAATTAACTGGTCTAAGGTTTATTTCTTAGAGGATAAATGTTTTTAAGTTAGTGTTAAATTCTGTAGAGATTGAAACTTGTTTTAAATTAGTATTAAGTCTTTACTTGGTACCTTTAGGGTTTAGCACGTGCGTCCCATTTTGAACATAATCTTTCTGTTTCTGTTTCTGTCTCTGTCTCTGTCTCTGTCTCTCTCTTTCTCTCTCTCTCTCTCTCTCACACACACACACACATAAACACAATCTTTATAAAATATTTAAAGTAGTTCTGGAATGATAGTACAGTAGGTTGCCTAGCACACAGTCGACCCAGGTTCTATCCCTCACATCTCATATGGACTCCTGAACCAGTAGTAGTTCCTGAGTGCCGAACCAGGAGTAATCCCTGAGCATCACCAGATGTGACCCAAAAAGCTGAAGGAAAAAAATATATATATATGGATGTATATATATATACACACATATATAAAGTAGATGTATATTTTATATTTTCCATTAAAGAAACTGAGCCAGTGCCATAATGAAGCTGAACACTGACCTAATGCCAATGTTCTTTCCTATTTTACCAGTCAGCTTCATATCCACCATAGTTTTAAATCCATTGACCTAAAATTGTTTGGTACTATGTTTTTAACAAGAGCTTTGGCAATTGTGATCATATCTAAAGAAAATTTTAAAGTAAATCAGTAGTGTTTTCCTGAACAATGAAAATTAATATTTTTATTAGAATTTCAAGGTAAAGAGTGTTCTTGGATGCTTCAAGAAGAAGGTATGAATAAAACCCTAGAAAAAGTCAATCAGGAGAAAATGGAAGACAATGTCACTGAAGATAATGTCACTGAAGATAATGTCATTGAAATTCAAGCATCAGGTAAGTTTTAAGCTTTTAAATTGCATTCAAATTCAAGAAAATTTGAAAACCCTTTTCTTAGATATCTAGGACATACACTTTTTTCACACATTTATCTTCTCTTGTTTCAGCTATTTTCTCATTCCATTCCTGCTTTCAACTTATGCCAAAGCTTGGAATACCCTCTTTATTGCCTTTTGTCCTTCCCATTGCCCTACTCCTGTCTATCAAGTGTTATTTCTTTCTCAGTTTAAATTATTGCTTCCCTACATTAATCAAAGAGGTAAAGGTAAAGGTAAAGGTCGATTTGCTCGAGCGGGCCCAGTAACGTCTCCATTGGAGACTTTGTTGTTACTGTGGCTGGCATATCGAATACTCTCGGTAGCTTGCCGGGCTCTCCGAGAGGGGCGGAGGAATCGAACTCGGGTCGGCCATGTTGGCCGCTTGTAAGGCGAACGCCCTACCGCTGTGCTATCGCTCCAGCTCCAGAAGATTAACATAAAACTTGTTGTAAGGGAGTGCCACAAGACATAGATGAATGCCACTGAGAGACTGAATTGGCAATCTCTATCACAGAAGCAGCTAACACAAGCAGACTAATGTTCCAAAGAACTCATGACCCCAAATACAGTCAGGGACAAATTTTAAAAGCAAAAATCACATCGTAGTCAGACAAAGGGTATATTAGGTAAGGGATTGTGGGAGCTGAAATCAGCAAAGCAAGTTATAGAAGCAAAATAGCCTAGTTAATGGTTAAGCTGGCTTTTAGTCATGGAGAACAATTGGCTTGCGGTTATGGAGAGACAATCACAATTGGGGAGGTAGTGATTCTGGGAACTGAACAATTCGTTTATGGGCTGTACTTGTTAATGGGTAACACCTAACCCTTGGAACAATGGAGAGGAGTTCCCTTCCTGCTGACAGGCTGAGAGAGGATTAAAAATGGAGCCCCTGGGGCTGGAGTGATAGCACAGCGGGTAGGGCGTTTGTCTTGCATGCAGCCAACATGGCCGACACAGGTTCAATTCCCAGCACCCCATATGGTCCCCTGAGCACCGCCAGGAGCAATTCCTGAGTGCATAAGCCAGGAGTAATCCCTGAGCATCGCCGGGTGTGACCCCCAAAAAAAGCAAAACAAACAAACAAAAAAAAAATGGAGCCCCTTATGTCAGGAGCCCTTTGCTCATTCTTGGACTCTTGTACTTAATCGAGAAAATGAACTGCTAATGGTTGCTTTTCTCTTTCTTTTACTTTTTCTCTTTATCTCTCCCTCTCTCTGTGTCCCTTTTACTATCAGGTTAATGAAAATCATCTATTGTTAATTTTTATATTGATGACACTGTTCAACTGTAAAGAATAGTATTTGACTTCTAAAGAACAGACCATTTATTTTTAAAATCAATAAGGTCATGTCATTTGTCCTTGAATATCTTATCATTTTGGTTAAATTTTATTTATGACCTTTAATTGATTGTACAAGTCTTTAAATAATGACCAATAACCTATTGAAAATTAGAAATAATGTATCTGTTATAAATTTGTTTGTCATGAAGTTGTAAGCAATGGAAGAAAGAAAAAAGAAAGAGTAAACTATACTTGTAAAAACTGTATTTAGTGCTTTTATTTTTGCAGAGAGCCAGTGCCAGGCATACTGTCTCCTAGAAGCCACAGCTACTCCCATTTTAAAAGAACTTGTACGTCTCTCTACTCACCAGGCTGTTAGTTGGAAATTTGCCACTGTAATTTTTGATCAAACAAGGTTCCTCTTAAAGGAACAAGAAAAATTAGTAAGTGATACTATTCCTCAAGGTGAGTACAAATAAAAGTCACATTATTTAAAGAGCTATAAAACATTTAAGAGAATGTGAATTTCTGTATTGTGTGTGTGTGCCAAATTAGTACAGCAGGTCTAGCCTTGCACAGCTGCCCACCCCTGTCTAATGCCAAGCATATCATTTGGTCCTTTGAGCTACCAGGAGTAATTCCTGAATACAGAACCGGGAGTAACCCCTGGGCACTGCTGGTGTGACCCAAAAACAAAACCAAACCAAAAAAAAATAGTAAAAATTGGCTATAGAAATTGCAGAAATGAATCATGAATGAATATAATCGGTTTAACCTAAACTTAGAGTATCAGTTAAATAAAGAGAAAAAAATTTAAAATGTCCTGAATCCTGTCAAACTAGTTCTACAGCCCTGACCAGCCTGACCTAGTCACAGAAAATGAGACAAACAAACACGTAGAGACAAACAAACACACAAGGACTGTCCAAGCTTTAAGATACCCTAGACAGCAATGTGTGGTCTCACAGGCAGGCCATTTATTCAGTCATATCACTGCACCACCAGGACTCCAACAGGTGAGCCTTTGTATAAGATGACAGAGACTTTAAGGACAGTTAGTAAGTGCAATAGGTACATGAAAAGCAGAAGCTGGAGTTATTTCACCTAGCCAAGCAGCAGGCACCCTTAAAGTATAAAGTCAATTTTGTATTCTCTTTTTACCCATGTTGTCCACTCATCTAAAGGGCTGGAGCGATAGCACAGCGGGTAGGGCGTTCGCCTTACAAGCGGCCAACATGGCCGACCCGAGTTCGATTCCTCCGCCCCTCTCGGAGAGCCCGGCAAGCTACTGAGAGTATTCGATATGCCAGACACAGTAACAACAAAGTCTCCAATGGAGACTTTACTGGGCCCGCTCGAGCAAATCGACGATCAACGGGAGGGCCTTTACCTTTTTACCTTTTGTATTCTCTTTTTACCCATGTTGTCCACTCATCTAAAAGGCACTAAGCTGTTTTATTCTTTACTTTTCTCAGCATGTATTTGCAGCTGTCCTCTGTTCATCCTCCATTTACCCTCTATTCTTCAGTTCCTTACTGGGTATACACTTGCAAACCCTTTGTATTCTAAGACCTAACCTGTTTTATCCAGTGGACTATCCTAACCTTGGGTGTTTTTTAGTAGAAGAATTTCCCACAGTAAAAAACCAACAAACAACAAGAACAAACACACACACACACACACACACACACACACTATCTGGCATTATTTCTCAGTAGGCTCCTAATTTTAAGTGTTCGCTGGACTCCACGCTAGACTGTTTTCACTCGGGGCACCCCAGATGGGTGAGAGCCCTCCCCGACCCAAGGGACCCAGATCCTGCAGTCACCTCCACTACCCAACTGCTGTCACACTCCAGGCCCTTTCCAGACACTCCAGCCAAGCCTCACATATGAGTGAACATATTCCTGGACTGCGCAGCTGCGAAAGCAGCCCGACACTCCTTACACTCCGACATCATAAGACACTCCTTACCCATTTTCCATAATTACTATACCACATTTGATAGAGAAATATATATGTATATATAATATATATATATATAAATTTTGGAGAGCCCTGCAAGCTACCGAGAGTATCCCGCCCGCACAGCAAGGCCTGGCAAACTAGCCCAGGCATATTCGATATGCCAAAAACAGTAATAATAACGAGTCTTATTCCCCTGACCCTGAAAGAGCCTCCAATATGCTGGGAAAGATGAGTAAGGATAGGCTACTAAAATCTCAGGGCTGGAACAAATGGAGACATTACTGGTGCCCGCTGGAGTAAAACAAAGAACAATGGGATGATAGTGATACAGTGATACAGGCTCCTAATTTATATGTATTTCTTGAAAGATTTCTGTTGCAAAAATCAAATTAGGCCTATTATTATCAGTGTGTAAACTGCCTAAGTTCCTAAAAAAAATTTTTTAAAAGGCCAAATATATTAATTAAAGCTAATCCTGGATTTTCCTTCTGGCCAAAAGTAACAGCGATTGTATTTATCCTCCTGCCAGAAATAATCCCCCTCCCAAAAAGACAAAATATATGAAACTAGTTTTAAAGATGATATGCACTAATAAAAAATATAAAACTTGAAAAAAAATTTAAAATAAAAAAAATAAAGACAATAGACACTAAAGTTCAATTATTCCTGAGATATAGGAAACACGTTAAATGATTCTTTTCATTGCCTTATTATTATTATTATTTTTTTTTTTTGCTTTTTGGATCACACCCAGCTATGCTCAGGGATTATTCCTGGCTCTGCACTCAGGAATTACTCCTGGCGGTGCTTTGGGGACCATATGGGATGCCAGGGATCGAACCCAGGTCGGCCACCTGCAAGGCAAGCGCCCTACCCGCTGTGCTATCGCTCTGGCCCTCATTGCCTTATTTTAACATGTTTCCAGATCATGACACAAATGGTACTTCAGACAGAACCTGGAAGAAAATCTGAGCTGGGGAAAGAGCTGCGTATGTAGGGAGACCAATGAAGCTAGAGTTCAAGTGACAGAACAGCAGAGAGCAGAGAGTTTCACACAGAGTCTGGAGATTGGAAGAATTTCTCTCAATTATTCAGGAGACTACTAATCAAAGAATTGATGTGAGAAAACTGTATACGACCAGGGAAACAAACCATCTAAAAGGATTTGAGAGAATAGAATTCTGCATTCACACAATGCAGGGAATATTGCCTATTCTCACCTGGTAGAGTAGAAAAGCTCATAATCCATGAGATAATGAGTAAAGTACTCAACAGTGATGTCTTGCCTTACCACTGAGGAATAATTACCCCTAGATTAAGTATTGCTCTGGGCTTGCCTAACATTAGAATATCAAGATCCAAAGGATATAACTATTTTCAAAGATCAGAGTTATGTCCTAGATCAAAGCCAAGGCGAATTTATGTAAGTACAAAAATATCTAGTATCTAAGAAGATACTGCTGGAGTGATAGCACAGCGGGTAGGGCATTTGCCTCACAAGCGGCCAACATGGCCGACCCGAGTTCGATTCTTCCGCCCCTCTCGGAGAGCCCAGCAAGCTACCGAGAGTATTTCGCACGCAGCAGAGCCTGGCAAGCTCCCCGTGACGTATTGGACATGCCAAACACAGTAACAACAAGTCTCATGATGGAGACATTACTGGGCCCGCTCGAGCAAATCGATGAACAACGGGAGGACCGTGACCGTGACATCTAAGAAGATAGAATATACAATGTCTGGCATTCAATCAAAGATTGCACTGCACTGCACTGTGTTCCCGTTGTTCATCGATTTGCTCGAGCGGGCCCAGTAACATGTCCATTGTGAGACTTATTGTTACTGTGTTTGGCATATCGAATACGTCACGGGTAGCTTGCCAGGCTTTGCCGTGCGGGCAAGATACTTTCAGTAGTTTGCTGGGCTCTCGGAGAGAGGAGGAAGAATCGAACTCAGGTCAGCAGGGTCAGTCGCGTGCAAGGCCTACCCGCTGTGCTATCACTCCAGTTCAATAAGGCTATTAGCATCATAAAAGGACATTAAAACTCATCATAAATTATATTAAATAGTCAACAATTTCAATAAATTCAACATATAAAATAGATCAAACTTTCAGAGATGAAACCATAGCACACGTTGATGAAAAGTGCAACAAGGCTTGCTCTTCAAGCCTGTGTTCTCCCTCAAACACGTTTCTTGCTTGCTTGTCTCTATGTTTCTTTGCTTGCTTATTTCTACTCTGGAGAAGTTTGTGTTCTTTCTTAAATACATTTTCCCTCTTTCTCTCCCCTCATCTTTCTAAGCAAGTTTCAATCAATAAAACTACATTGCTTCAAAAAAGAAGAAGAAAAACAAAGGAAAGGAAAGAAAGTGCAAGAAGTGTAGGCCAGCTGCAGCTTAGATATTTCAGAAGGAAGGATTGGTTTGCTGAAAGATATAACAATGAATATTATCTAAAATAAAGCAGGTGGGGCTGGAGCGATAGCACAGCAAGAAGGGCGTTTGCCTTGCATGCGGCCAACCCGGGTACAATCCCCGGCATCCCATATGGTCCCCCAAGCACCGCCAGGAGTAATTCCTGAGTGCAGAGCCAGGAGTAACCCCTGAGCATTGCTGGGTGTGACCCAAAAAGCAAATAAAATAAAATAAAATAAAGCAGGTAAATGTTTTTAAAAAGGAATATCAGTGGGTTATAAAACAACTTCAAGAAGATAGCACAGCGGGTAGGGCGTTTGCCTCACAAGCAGCCAACATGGCCGACCCGAGTTCGATTCCTCCGCCCCTCTCGGAGAGCCCGGCAAGCTACTGAGAGTGTCTCGCCCGCACGGCAGGGCCTGGCAAGCTCCCCGTGAAGTATTCGATATGCCAAACACAGTAACAACAAAGTCTCCAATGGAGACGTTACTGGGCCCGCTTGAGCAAAAATACAAATAATTAGAATTATCAGAAGCAAGAGATTAAATTAAAAATATTTTAAGAAATAAAGATTGCAGACTTTCCAAGCTTCATGAAAACCATAAACCCATAGATTCAAGAATTTCAATAAATCCTAGCACAAGAAGTGCAAGACAGCTACACCAAAGCACATCTTAATAAAATTGCTCAGTGGGGCCAAAGCCATAGTGCAGCAGGCAGATTTGATCCCCGACCTCCTAAAGGGTCTCCAAGCCCTCAGGAGTGATACCTGAGCACAAAGCTAAGAGTATACCCTGAACATGCCAGGTGTGCCCCAGAACGAATATTATAAAACTGTTCAAAACCAGTAATAAGAATAAATCATAAGCTCAATCAGAATGAAAAAATGTTATGCTACATGTGAGAAACAAAGATAAGGATGACACGAGATTTCTTGTCAGAAATAATGCAACTTAAAAGACAATGGATACTGAAAAACTGAAAGGGGAAAATCCACCTACTTTTCTAAACTAGGCAAATATATATTACAAAAACAAGGGTGAAATAAAGACTTTTCCAGACCAACTAAAGCTGAATTTATCAGCTGCATGCTCTTTATAATAGCAAAGAATAGATACAACCTAAATGTTTGATGATAGGTTAGTGGATAAGGAAACTGTGGTATATTCACAAAGGCATACTAGTAGGCTCTAAGAAAGTTGAAATTTTGCCTTTTGCCACATTATGGATAGAGCTTGAAGATATAACGCCAAGGGAAATAAGTCAGAGAGAAAGGACAAATACTAGATAATCTCACTCATATGCAGTATATTTTAAAAAACAAAACAAGAGAATACAGTATGTAATAATGAGTCCTTGTTGGATTTGAACCAAGTGATGCAAGGAGAGGAGAGGGTTTGGGGGAAAATGAAAAGGCAGACGAGGAGTGACATATGGGCATAAGGAAGCATAAAAGTTGACACTACTGTAACCTGATCTACAAAAAACAACCATTAGAAGCATACCTCTGTTACAAGAAATATTAAAGAAACTCCTTAAGCCAGAAGGGAAAAAAATAACACCAAATATGGTTTCTCTCTTACCTTTTTCAAGTCGTGATTGATTTGTTCCCACAAGTCCTTCCAGAGGCTGCATATACCACCCATAAACAATTCTCCTGTTGCCTGAACCTTCCTAGATGCCTCTAGATTCTCAGTGACTCCATATTTGCCTTGATCTTCACTATTATCTTGCAATTTTCAAATTTTTTAGCAGAGCTCTTTGAAGAATTTCATGGGATCCCAATAAATAAAACAGACAAGTAGCACTTTTCTAGTTAAATTGGGGCAGTAGACTGAGTTCACAAAGTGTGGGTGCTACGGTGTGTGCCTTCAGTGGCCAAGAGCTGCCTTCCATTCTCCCCAGGCCTCCCCAGCAGAGACAAAGAGACAGGACCACAGACTGATGGTTAAAAAGGCCCATTCGAAGCAGAACTGCTAGCATCTTTATAGAAACATCTGAAGGGATTAGAGGTATAGGACTGCATGTCTGTGTGGTTTAGAAGTAAACATTTGGCAGAGGCAATTCTCTGGGGAAGATTAACACAAGGAGATACTCCCAGAGACATCTATATTGCTTTCCTCTTTCCCTCTAGTCTTATATATCAAACAATTAAGCCAAACAATTAAGTCTAATTCTTACCAATACTTGTAGTTGTTTGGATAAACACAATAAGAGAGAAAGATCCCAAACAGTCTCTGGGCTCTTAGTTCTCTGAGAACAAGCAAGGCTTTTACCATAAATCCCAGACAAAGTTCTCAGGTCAGTTCAGATTGTCCTTCCCAATGAGGTTCCTGTCTCTTAGGTCATAAAAGCTTGCATAAAGACCATCATATATGATTTCCAGAATGTCTCATTTAGATGCCGGAGGTAGTTTTGCTACTCGCCCCAGGTCCATCCCAGACCCAAGGCAGGACCTCCCTTTTGGGGTGTCAGGAACTACATCAACCAAAGCCTGAATCAAGTAATAATGATGGATGTCTGGGAGTAGATATGTTTCAGAGTCAATCAACTTCCAAGTATTAGGAGTGTAGCGTTAACAGTCTGTCTGTGTTTAAGCAAATAACATTGTTCTATTGGGCTGGAGCGCTAGCACAGCTGGTAGGGCGTTCGCCTTACACGCGGCCAAAATGGCCGACCCGAGTTCGATTCCTCCGCCCCTCTCGGAGAGCCCGGCAAGCTACCGAGAGTATTCGATATGCCAGACACAGTAACAACAAAGTCTCCAATGGAGACGTTACTGGGCCCGCTCGAGCAAATCGACGATCAACGGGAGGGCCTTTACCTTTACCTTTATTGTAAAATATGAAAAGGCTATAGGGGAAATAGAAAAGCAAGTAGTTCACTAGGCATACAAAATCCAGAATTACCAGAAAGTTTTGGCTTATAAGTAACCAAGACTGACTTGGGGAACTGTGACAATGAGAGGTAAAACACAAAGGATAGATTAAAGATAAGCTCAGTGGATTAGGGATGCTCTGGGAGAAAAGGGGGCAATTCACTGATGAAGCCTAAAACACTCAAAGTTAATATTCAACAGTAGACCTAGAGTTCTCCCTTCTTGATATCACTTTTATATACAGTAAAATTCAATGTCCCATCTCAAGAAACTCTGGAACTATATGAGCACATTATACATTGGCCCATCCCTTGTTTAAGTCATATCTTTAATCACTTACAGGTACAGAACAGTAGTACAGGGTTAGGGCATTTGCTTTACATAAGGCCACCAGAGTTTGCTCTCTGGCATTTCATATGGCCCTCCGAGCACTGCCAGGAGTAATTCCTGAGCATTGCTGAGTATGACTCAAAAACAAACAAAAAAACAAATAAATATTCACAGGAATCAACCTCTTTTGCAAGGTATTGCTTTATGTTAAAATTATCTGGCCTCATTTCAACCCATTGGCAAGTTATATATTTGATTTTATTCTTGTTTCAGAGCTGGAACTCATTATTTTCCCATCAAGAGTATAAATAATTATATATTGTTTGAAATAGCAAAATATGAACTCTAAGACTAGCTGCCTGGACTTAAATGTCAGCTCCACCATTTAGTCACAAAATACCCTTAAATAGTTACTACTTGTTAATAATTACTAATTGTTAAGACCATTTTCTCATCCATAAAATTATCATCATAATCATTCCTGATATGGTTGTTGTTGTGGAGTTAATTAAATAACAAGCTTAACTATATACCCTCACGCATAGTAAGTATAAAATAAAATTTAGCTATTATTGTTAATTATTTTGAGATATATGCTAATGTTCTAATTGTACATTCTGTTTTTAACTATGTTTTGCCTAGGTACAAGTAATGAAAGAGAGACAATATACAAGTATGCTTCTCTCTTACACCTTCTGGTAACAATTAGAGATGTACTTTTGACATGTAACTTGGACACAGCTTTAGGTTGGTGGAAAAATATTTTATTTCTCCCCAATTATTCCTATTGAAAAATGTTATTCTAAATACTTTTTACTTTTAAGGAGGGATTGGGAGGGAAAATGTGCCATATAAGATATATGTAACCTACTTTTACTTCCACATGAAACATATATTGACATAACTATAAAATTAAATATGTTTTCTCTTTGTATTAATTAAAAAAATATCTTTAACAATTACCATCAACTGAAAAAAACATTTGTACCATAAACTAGGTAAAGGATTCTCTAATATCTATATGAATTACGGAGTACTAGTGGATTTATACAGGTTTGATTATCTAAATATCAACCACTACTTTAAAAAAAAAAATCTCAGAGCCAAAGCAATAGTACCGTGCGTAGGGCACTTGCTTTGCATGTGGTCAACCCAGATTTGATCCCCAGCACCCCATATCATCCTTCAAGTCCTGCCAGTATTGAGCCTTGAATACCACTGGATGTTGTTCCAAAAGAACAAGCAGAAAAATATCTTCAGCTCTTTTTATTTGAAAATTTTTTCCTGCTCACCATTCTTTGATCTCTTCTGGTTCTCTATTTATTAATGTTTTTTTCTATTGGAATTATATTATGCTACAACATAAGTTCGAGGTACATACACTGCTTTTTAGTATAAGATGTGACATAGTATTTCAAGTCCTCATAAATGTTTGTATCTTTGGATCATTGCTAGACGAAAAACAACTACATTAGGGTCAGAGAGATGGTACAGCAGGGAAGATTCTTGCCTTGCATGTGGACAACCCAAGTTTGGTCTCTGGTACCCCACGTGGTCCCCTGAGCACCTTTAGGAGTGATCCCTGAGTGCAGAGCCAGGTGTAAACCCTGAAGCCATTTAGGCATGCTCTCCCATTAAAAGAAATACAACTAAATAAGAAGTAACAAGATGGGGGGCTGGAGCAATAGCGCAGCGGGTAGGGCATTTGTCTTGCATGCGGCCGACCCAGGTTCTGATTCCCAGCATCCCATATGGTCCCCTGAGCACCGCCAGGAGTAACCCCTGTGCATCGCCAGGTGTGACCCAAAAAGCAAAAAAAAAAAAAAAGAAGTAACAAGATCTTAGTTGTAATGTAAATTTGGATATATATTACTTGAATAATCAAAATAAAATTATTTTAAATGTATTGAAAGCTTTTAATATCAAAACCATTTAAATATCCATCTTATTACATTACTCTTTCCTTTTAAATAAGGTTTCTCATTGCAGAATTATGTCAACTTGTTTAATAATGCTATACTTAAAATATTCTTTTATGATTTAATTTCTAGAATATATCCACACTATTATTTAACTTTATAGTTAAAATATCCTTTGATCAATGACTCGGGTGTTTTCTTTTATCTCTAACTGCCCCCAAAAGTTATTTCTCTATTCCAAGGTTTTGATAAGTATTGAACAGCAGTGAGCCACAATTATTATGCATCTCAGTGCTGTGAGTTAAAATAATTGGCTATTATTTATTGGTTAAATATTATAAGCAAGTTATAACCACCTTTAGAAAGTGCCACGTGGTGCTTTTTCTTTTTTTGCTAATGTTTCTGCTGGATTGTTTCATGTCCGTCCCCTACCAGTAGAAGATTTAGGGCTGTCACCCCATTTTATAGTATCTGGAACTAGCATAAGGGTGTACCTTTTATTCTTTAGTTCTTTTTGGATTTTACAAAAGATTATCTATCCATACTTAGACTCACTTTTGAAACATAATAGTAAGGCATACTACCAAGACATAGAAGATCCAAGATCTCCCTGTGCTATTTATTGAGAGTGTAATGTTGACTTCCTGTCCCTCAATATTTACCAAACCTTCAGTTAGAGAAATTCTATCTATGCCAGATGCTTGATGGGTAGTCACATTAAGTGCTTAATAATTTACCCTAGGATTAATTGGGACTATTGCAAGCTATATATCAAGACAGAATTATTTTTGATCCTCAAAGAAATGCATTTACAAAACCAAACTTTGGCATTACTATTTGGACTACATTGGGGAATACTATGAAAGTGAAATCCTTGTGGGATATAACTCAAGCAGTAGAGTTCGTATGCAAGTGCCTAGCATACATAAGGCCCCACATTTGAGTGCCAGCACCACATAGCCCCCTAAGCATCGTTGTGTTCCTGGTGGCCCCAGGCTCTGCCCAGTGTGACTGCCTATTAAAATTAATTCAGTTCTTGAAACCAAGTTCTTTACTCTGAAGATTACACAGATTAGGTCAAGCTTTAAAATAAAGATACTTTGATACATATTTTTTTCAGTTTCACTTAATGGTAAGGTTTTTATTAGTTGAACTCTGGTCAAAATCAGAAAAGGATTTAAGGAAACTATCATTGTCTGCTATTTTCTTTTGGAATTTTACATGAAGCTTCTCAAAGAGCAGAAATAAAAGCTTTTCCCCACTACTTTTGTTTTTAACAGGATATTTGTCAAATGCGAAAGATATCTACCAAAGAATTTTAGGCTCTTACTTAGACAATGTTTGGAGACAACTGACAATTATACAGTTTATTAAGGGGAAAAATCCTGAAACCAATTATAAGATACAAGAATTGCAATGTCAGATACTGAGTTGGATGCAAAATAAAGAGCAAATTAAGGTTAAGTATTAAAATAAAGAAGATGAAAGTAATCTGTTTAAATAAGAATCAGATGTAAGATAAGTATTTGCGTGGCTGAATTTATGAAATAGTTATCCCTGGCTTTTAAAAGCTGAGTAGCACACCACATGGGACTTGTGTAACTGGATGTTGGGATCTTGAAATTTTTATTTTAAAATAATGTTTTTTATTATTGATAAATATTTTCTTTTTGTACATATTTTATGGGGGAGTGATAGCACAGCGGGTAGGACATTTCCTTGCATGCGGCTGACCGGGCTGACCCGAGTTCGATTCCTCCTCTCCTCTCAGAGAACCAGAGTTCAACTAATAAAAACCTTACCTCAAGCTACGGAGAGTATCTTGCCCCCACAGCACAGCCTGGCAAAGCTATGACGTATTCGATATGCCAAACACAGTAACAACAAATCTCACAATGTTACCGGGCCCATTCGAGCAAATCAATGAACAACGGGAGGACAGTGGACAGTAGACCTACTTTATATACCCATGAGCACATAAAAATTTCTTGGATAAAAAAGGATAGCAAATGGAAAAAAGTTTAAGAAGCCCTGGTCTGTGCTGTTAAATCCCATCATAATTTTCTCCCAAAGTTAGTTAAACATTATTAACTGTTACTAATGAAACAGAGAGAAAGAATGATTTGCATCATAATTTGTATCTTAAAAGTTTTAATATTTTATTTTTATTAGACAGTTTTTTTCTGTTCTAGTTCTTTAATTCTCTTATAATTTCATGAGGATATATCCAATGTAGAAGTATAATTTTTTTATATTTAGATTGAGCTAGAATCTCACATCATTATACCATAAAATCACTTGGATTATTATATCTGGGATTCTATTTTGCCTGCCCTACCTGCATCTGAATGTCAAATTAATAAAAATATTTTAAGTGCTTTTTAAAGTCATACTAAGCAAAAAGTATTATAAATGTTTTAACTAAATTTGCATTTAACTTTGAACTTTTTATTTTCTTGTCTGTTCCCTTGTATGTATTGTTGTTTGTTTTGGGGGGCACACCTGGCTATACTCAGGGCTTACTCCTGGCTCTGTGCTCAGGGATCACCAGGATTGCATGCAAGGCAAGGACTCTACCCCTGTACTATCTCTCTGCCCACCCTTAATTTTTTATTTCCAATTTTATGTTTACTGGGATAACATTTAAGATAGTAAGATAAACTAAATCAATCATTAAGAAAATTTTAATTAGGGGCCAGAGCAATAGTACTGCCAATAGGGTGTTTGCCTTGCACGCGGTACACCCTGATTCCATCCCTGGTACCCCATGCTCCTCCAGGAGTAATTTCTCAGTACAGAGCCAGGAGTAACATCACTGGGTAGAACCTAAAAAGCCAAAAAAAATTTTTTTAAATTATTTGTTGTTCCCTGTCGACCTGCCAAATGTTGTAGTGGTAAGTAGGAAGATAGAGCAGCAAATCATTATTTTTCTCCAAAAAATATAAACTTGTGGGGCTGGAGTAATAGCACAGAGGGTAGGGCATTTGCCTTGCACGCAGCCAACCCAGGTTCAATTCCCAACATCCCATATGGTCCCCAGGAGTAATTCCTGAGTGCAGAGCCGGAGTAAACCCTGTGCATTGCCAGGTGTGACCAAAAAAAAAAAAAAAGCAAAAAATATAAACTTGTCAGAGTTGAACTTAGAACTAACAAATGCAGGTAGAGATGACTTACATATTAACAGAATCACCTATATAAGAACACTTAAAAAATACTAAGAATAGCTTACCATAAAATCTTTCCTTATTGATATTTGAATTTGATCAGAATTTATTCCTTTATGTTTAAGCATTCATATCTTATACTTTGTAAAAGTAAACACAAACTTTTACTTTGTAGTCATTGTCACTAGTTTCATATCATCAATTAAATTAGCTTTTTTTGGTTACTGTAGCCAAGTTATATAAAAGAATATTATTCATATAACATGTGAAATTGTTATATTTGATTAGGTATTAATTATATTAAGGATGGAATCAGATGGTGAAAAAGATTTACTCATTAAAATCCTTAAGAAAATGGAAGGTAGGAAATATGTAAATATATAATGAATTTATGTATAGTTATATGTATCTGTTTAGTTTTGTGATTAAAAATAAAATTAAAATTATTTATGACATCTTTTTATTGACTATATTAGTTAAGTACTTAACATTTATAACTTTATGAAAATATTTTATTAGCTCAATTTTATCATAAACGAAAGATCATAAAGATGATGTAGCATAGCAAATCTCCTAGATTACTGAGGGAATCAGGATTTGAAACATGTAATATTGTTATTTTGTTCTCTGCCACCCCATTTTGTCATCACCTAGTAACCTCCTGTACATTTCTCATCATCTATGGAAAGTTGTGCATGTGACTCATGGCATTCTCTTCAATTCTAATGCTTCCTTTATCCTTTGTATCTTTAATAGGAATGATTCATTCCATTTTCTCACCTTATAATTTCATTGACTTCCACTGCAAAAATGTCATTCATTCCTTCACCAGGCCATTGACAATGTGACAATGCAGAATTGTCCTACCTCTGGACTTTAAATTCTGATACATATTCTCTATCTCTCGGAGAGCCCGGCAAGCTACCGAGAGTATTCGATATGCCAGACACAGTAACAACAAAGTCTCCAATGGAGACGTTACTGGGTCCGCTCGAGCAAATCGACGATCAACGGGAGGGCCTTTACCTTTTTTACCTTTATTCTCTATCTAAAACTTCTCTCTTTCATGATCGTCAGGATTTTAGAGCTACACAATCTCTCTACTCTTTTTTGCAGTGTGAAGAAATGAACCCAGGAACTCCCTCACCTCACATATGTAAGGAATATGTTATACCAAGCCACACCCACAGACTGCTCATTTCATTTCACTCGTTTCTTATTTTTGACCAACACTGTAATTCTTATGTTCCTATGTCTTACACTTAAACATCAACTCAGAATCAACATGTCTAACCTCAGTATTCCTATACATAAATTATTGAGCATTATTGGGAAAGATAATTTAGGCTGACACCACTACAAACTCATATTTTCTGAACTTAAGTATAATATTTCCTACCATATTTCTATATACTTTTAGTTCCATTCCTGTTCTCCTAATGGATTTACTGAAGTCCCCACTGTGCCATCCGCACCTTTTTTTTTTGGTAGGAGTACTGCTATTTATTCAGCCACTGATTAGCTGATTGAATTGTGCATGAACTCCACAAAAAAAGAACTTACTTTTTTTTTTCCATTTTTTATAGTGTTATTTATTGAATCACCGTGAGAGCAGTTACAAAGCTTTTGGGTCTAAATCTCAGTCATACAATGAAACACCCGTCCCTTCACCAGTGCCCATTCTCCACCACCAAAAATCCCAGTATACCCCCATCCCACACCCTCCCCCTGCCTGTGGGGCAGATGATTTCCACTTTACTCTCTCTCTACTTTGATCACATTCACTATTTCAACACCAGACCCACCATTATTTGAGATTTTACCCCAACACTCAGATCTGCTGAAAAGGCAACACTAGACAATTTGTGTTCTATTGCTGGTTATGAATAACATATGATGTCGTGTGGCTGCAGTAGGGCCATGTGGTTTTGAAATTCCGAAATTTTAACACTTAAATCTTGAGGGATTTCTGCCAAAAGCCACTGGGTTTAGAGATCTGCTCCTGACTCTCTGGGATCATGGCCATTGAGCAGCTTGATGAGGAGCCAGAGAGGCCGTTCGTGGGCAATGACTTGGGTTTGGGGAGGGGGGTGGGGAGGACAGGCCCGGCTCCCCCTCCCCCCCCATTCCGTGAGGCCCAACAAGTTTCGTCACTGCGGGCCCAAGCCTGACTGTCCAATGGCCTCTGGAGGATGACAGCCACCAAGTCGCCAAGAGGGAGCAGGCGGAGGGACCCGCACCTTTGTTTTTAGGAGAGAATTATGCCTTCTAAAGTTCACTGTATCACTGTATCACTGTCATCATGTTGTTCATCGATTTGCTCGAACAGGCACCAATAACGTCTCCATTCGTCCCAGCCCTGAGATTTTAGCAACCTCTCCTTACTCGTCCTTCCCAACGGTGCCATATTGGAGGCTCTTTCAGGGTCAGGGGAATAAGACCTGTTATTGTTACTGTTTTTGGCATATCCAATATGCCACCGGGAGCTTGCCAGGCTCTGCTGTGCGGGTGGGATACTCTCAGTAGCTTACGGGGCTCTCCGAGAGAAACTTTACATATATCTTTTAATTGTCCAAACTAGGAATTACTTCAGTACATAATGAGAGAACAGGTTAAAAGTCAAGAAACTTCCTTAAGTCTGTACAATTAATGATAGAGAAAAGATCTTAACTAAAATCTATCTGACTTTAAGGCCCGCTCACCTCCGATCTCTCTCTCTCTCTCTCTCTCTCTCTTTCTCTCTCTCTCTCTCTCCTCTTCCACACCCCTCTCCCCACTCTCCTCACTCTCCCTCCTCCTGCCCCCCACCCCCCTCTGTAGGGTTGGAAGTTTGGCCACACCCAGTAGTACTCAGGTGACTGGGGTGCTAGTGACAGAATTCTGGTTGATCGATGCAACGTAAGCACTCTACCCACAGTACTATTGCATGGGTCACCTAGAATTTTCAAAGTCATTAATTTCACGTAAATTTTAATTAAATTTAAGGTCTACCCATTTTTCTCTGTTCTACAAACTTACCTTTATTTCTTCTGTTGCTTTATTTTTCTTTCTTTTCTTTTCCAAGGAGATGAATATTCCTTTCTTAAAATCAGGCTTCAGGGACTGGAAAGATAGTGCAAGGGTTAAAATGCTTACCTTGGGGCTGGAGCGATAGCACAGCGGGTAGGGCATTTGCCTTGCACACGGTTGATCTGGGTTTGATTCCCCGCATTCTATATGGTACTTCAAACACTACCAGGACTAATTCCTGAGTGCATTGCCAGGAATAACCCCAGAGCATTGCCATGGGTGTGACCCCCCCAAAGCCCCAAAATAAAATAAAACACTTACCTTGCCCACAGCCAACCTGACCTTGATTGTTGGCATCATACATGGTCTCTCAAGCCCCACCAAGAGTGATCCCTGAGCACAGAGCCAGGAGTAAGCCCTAAGTACCATGGGGTATGGCCCCCAAACCAAAAACAGCCTTTCACTTATGCTTTAGATTTCATCCACTGTTATTTCCTAGACTTCCTAGACTTCCTCTCTAATGACTCTTTCTTTAATATTTGAACCCTCCCATGTCTGGACAAATAAAATACCACCCTTAGGGGCCAGAGTTCTGTGCAGTGAGTAGGGCACTTGCCTTGCATGCAGCCAATCCAGTCTTGATCCCAGACATCACAAACGGTGTCCTGAGCTCTGCCAAGATTATATATATATGATAATATATATAAATATATATATTGCCTTTTGGCCATTTGAATTTCTTCTTTTTTTTTTTCAATTTTTATTAGTGAAACGGGCCAGAGCAATAGCACAGTGGGTAGGGCGTTTGCCTTGCATGCAGCCAACATGGCCGACCCGAGTTCAATTTCTTCGCCCTTCTCGGAGAGCTCAGCAAGCTACCAAGAGTATCTCACCCGCACGGCAAAGCCTGGCAAGCTACCCATGACGTATTTGATATGCCAAACATAGTAACAAGTCTCACAATGTTACTGGGCCCGCTGGAGCAAATCAATGAACAACGGGAGGACAGGGATAGTTAGTGAAACACCATGAGGTACAGTTGTAGACTTACAAATTTTTGTGCTTGGATTTCAGTTATATAATGATCAAATACCCATCCCTCCACCAGTGCCCATTCTCTACCACCACTGATCCCAGTATCCCTTCCACCACCCATCCCCCCCATCCCACCCTTCCCTGTGGCAGGGAATTCCCTTTTGTTCTCTCTCTCCTTTTGGGTGCTGTGGTTTGCAAAAGAGGCATTGAGTGGCAATCATTGTTCGGTCTATAGTCTACTCTCAGCACGCATCTTCCATCCTGGGACATGCATCTCCCATCCTGGGAGGATCCTCCCAACACCCTTTATTTTGTGCTCCCTTCTCTATCTGAGCAGAATGATATTTTATCACAAAACCAAGAGCTGAGCATTATGACATCTAGACCAAATTAAAACAAACAAAAATACTCTTTGGCTATATAGCTTCTCTCTATAAACTACATCTTTTATCATCTCCCAAACTTTCTTTATTAAAACCCTATGATAATCCTTCTAAAATTTAGTTAAACTGGGGCAAGGGGGATACAACCTTGCCTTGAGCCAACTGTAGTTTGATCCCCATACAGTTAGTTCCCTGAGAACAGCCAGAGTGATAGTTGTGTGCTGATCCAGGAGTAAGCCCTGAATATTCCCAGGTGTGGGGGAAAAAAGGTTAAACCATTTGTTCAGATATCCTTGATTTAAATCATTTCCCTCTATACTCTCAGATTCTTAACTGCATATTTCTAAGGTACCGTTTGCTACCCTGGGGTATAATAATATATTCTCTTGTCTTTTTTCTCACCATGTCAGCTGCGGTGAATTAGAACCATGCCCTAATGTATATTCTCAGCACCCATAAAATTTCTAAAATTCACGAATGCACTTAATAAAGTTTATCAAATAAATCAACAAGACAATGTGTTTATTTTTAATATAGAATGAGAGTAGTGAAAAGTACTGAATTGAAATACAAATGAACATTGTAAATCAATACCAGCTTATCCGTATAGCTTATAAAGATAAATTATCATAACGTGAAAATGTAATGTTCTTCAAGCAGAGTCTTACAAGGCACTATGTCTAGAGTTGGAATTTGCAATCTTGGATATTAATATTTCATTCAGCTCCTGAGGCCTAGGAAAAGAAGTTCATAGTTACCAAATTTATAAGATCTTTACAAATATCAGTGTTAGGGCAATAGTTGACTGTGAAATTAATAAGGTAAAGGTAAAGGTAAAGGCCCTCCCGTTGATCGTCGATTTGCTCGAGGGGGCCCAGTAACGTCTCCATTGGAGACTTTGTTGTTACTGTGTCTGGCATATCAAATACTCTCGGTAGCTTGCCGGGCTCTCCGAGAGGGGCGGAGGAATCAAACTCGGGTCGGCCATGTTGGCCACTTGTAAGGCGAATGCCCTATCGCTGTGCTATCACTCCAGCCAATAATGCCACAGTTATCTGGAATCAATGAAATTGGGGGAAAAATTTTAAGAAAGTGATGAGTCATGCTAAATTGTAAGAAGAGTTTGGGTAACTAAAGGACTGGTTTTGTGACGACCCTAGAGAAATTTTTTTGTCCCAAAAATACTTTAACCTATTTAATAGGGCACCTTTTCCTTTATTACTATTTAATAAAATTATTTGATAAATCATTACTGTAAATATCACTTATCTAGGCTTAATGCCGAATAACACTAATTCTTTTGGTATTTGGGGTTAATCAATACTACTCTTACTAATTTTATTTCAAGGAGATATACTGATATAAAAATATTACCTCTAAAAGCTAAAAAACCCTTTTTATTGTTTCTGATTGGCAACCACTGATGTCTCTCCAAGCTAGATCTTTTTTTTTTCTGTCAAGCATTAGAAAATAAAAATGTGGTTCCATGTGATTCTCTCTCCCTCCATATATACATTTACATATATACACTTATATATACACATATATGTATATTTATATATATTATATACTACTATGATCTTGTAATCATACATATGTATATGATTACAAGATCTTGGTAATGTATCGAATAAGTAATTTGTTGTGGGATCATAGCTAATACAAATAATTTAAGAATTTTTTTAATTAAATCACCATGAAATACAGTTACAAAGCTGATAGAGTTTCAGTTATACAATGATTAGACACCCATTCCTCCACCAGTGTATCTTTCCCACCACCAATGCCTACAGTATCCCTCCCAACACCCTCACCCCACGCCCTGTCTGTATGTCTTCTTACTCTCTCTCTATTTGGGGGCATTATGGTTTACAATGCAGGTACTGAGAGAGGGTGGGTCACATTCAGCTGTGCTTGGGGCTTACTGTTAGCTGTGTGCAGGTATTACTCCTGACCATGGTCTGGGTACCATTATGCAGTGCTAGGGATCTAACTGAAGTTAACCACATGCAAAGCAAGTGCTTTACCCCTCGTACTATCTGTGGCCCCATAGATATTATATTTTAGATAATATGAATTCTCTTATAAATAAAAAAGAAATACTTCTTTTATATTTTCTTATTGTTATAAAAACTGATTTTATAGCAAGTCAAGTAACCATGAAATTATTAAGCATTTGTTCCATCATTACTATGGCATCTTTGTGGAAATTTACATATAGAATCTATTTTAGGTAGAATCATCTACAAATAAATTATATCTGCTCAAAATAAACTATATGGTGGTAAAGAATTTTTTTAATTGTAAATTATAATTTAGAAGAGTAAATCTAAGGATCAGGTAGTTCCCATTGACCCTTCTTGTCAGTAGAAAGGGAGAAAAGGTATTACCATTCATTGAAATGAAGCTTCTTTCTGTTTAATTATGAACTTAAATTTTGGGCAGGAGACAAAAGGTGATTTACCATGATTTTTATCAAAATAAAAGTTATTACACAGAACTGGTGTTTCATTTGATTACCTTTAAATTTGTTTTCTCTTCCATTTTTTCTACTTCACCTAATAAATTCAGAATTTACATACAACGTGCACACACAAGAGAAATAGCTGTGATTTATACTTTCTGATACTCTAGACTTGAAAATGCAATCTAGCAAACTGTATTTTAAACAGTTAATTTGTTCATAGACCTTAAGTTCATTTTTATGGTAGTAAAATATATGACACAATAAAAAATCTACATATGAACAAAACTCTAAAAGAAACTTTTGTATTACCCCTTCTTGATCCACAGGTTTCAAATTGACTGTCTTACATCCGAATGAAAGGAAAAAAAATTTGGCATCCAGAGATGTTTTAAATGGGTAAAAATTTATGTATTTATTGTGGAGAACAGATATATCAATCCACATAGGAAAAGCACAATTTCTTCTAGAATTTAACCTTTACAAATGTTAAATAAAACCTGAAATCTGTAATCCACTTAATGTTATAAGCCAGTATTATTTAATTTTTAAGTTTAAAAATATTTTATTGAAATAATACTGCATTACATTGTATGTTTTATGTATGCATCATTATAAATCGACATCTGTAAGTATTAACAAAAAGGAGCAATTTTTTTTTAGATTAAGTCTACAAATTCTAGCAGAAATTTTTTTCCTATTTCTATTGAGATGTTGCGGTTTAAAGTAATTCTCATATTATTGTTTTATACTTGTGATGCTGCTTCACCACCCCTACCAACAGAATTAATAATCCTCCCTTACTCTCCTATTGTCCCTTCTGCAGCATATAAACTTTAAGATAGGGAATAATTGATTCTTTTTCACTCGAGATTAAAAGGAAAATTACATAACAACATGGAGGACATGAGAGGTGGAGAATCCTGGGGACCAATTAGGGAAAAATTAAGTTTAATCTCTTATACCACATATGGTCCCCTGGGCACTGCCAGGAATGACCCCTAAAGAGTAAGCCCTGAATACAGCTGCATGTGACCATAAAGCCACCCCCCACCAAAAGCTTTGATTTTTACCCTATTTTATGGTGAAATTACTTCTTTCTAAATTTGGCCTTTAAGTAATAAAGAGAAGTTGTGAGTCAAATAATAGTTCATAAAACTATAATACTTTTCATAAAAGTTCATAAAGCATAAATACTACTTATTTTCTAGATTGATTTAAATAGAAAGCAGCAGGAGTTATATAAAATTTGAAGATGGGAAAGATAATTTTCAATTTAAGTATCTATTTTTGTTGCTAAATTATTTGTGAGTCCCATTGAGAAAACTAAAATTCCATTCTAAGTTTTTATATTGTCACTGTCCTCCCGTTGTTCATCGATTTTCTTGAGCGGGCCCAGTAACGGAGATTGTGAGACTTTGTTGTTACTGTGTTTGACATATCAAATACATCACGGGTAGCTTGCCAGGCTCTGCCGTGTGGGCGAGATACTCTCGGTAGCTTGCCGGGCTCTCTGAGAGGGGCGGAGGAATCGAACTTGGGTCGGACATGTTGGCTGCGTGCAAGGCAAATGCCCTACCGCTGTGCTATCACTCCAGCCCAAGTTATATAATCTCTATTAAGAAAGTCTCATATTGATAAGAAAATGAGGTTGATTTGTCCTGAAAATTTGTCTATTATTGGCAGAACTTAGGTCATAAAATTAGGGTCCCTTGAATTTAAAGAAGATGGGGCTGGAGCAATAGCACAGCGGTAGGGTGTTTGCCTTGCACACAGGCGACCTGGGTTCGATTCCCAGCATCCCATATGATCCCCTGAGCACCACCAGGAGTAATTCCTGAGTGCATGAGCTAGGAGTAACCCCTGTGCATAGCCGGGTGTGACCCAAAAATAAAAAAAATTAAAATTTTTAAAAAGAAGAGGAAGATTTTTATATCCTGCTTTAAAAAGTTTTCACCATCAGAAGGAAATAAGAAAGAATATTAACACAATTGGAGAACAAAATAGAAAAAATAATAGTACCTTTCCAAGATAATTGCATTTAATAGTGGAATAGCAAAAAAAAACAGTATCTTTTAATATGTCAAATTAATAATTACCCAAATATAATAATTCTGTATTCTTGACTTTCTTTTCTCTTCAGTACAAGTTCCTGTGTAGTTGTACATAATCAATACATTGGAGCAGATTTCCCCTGGAGTAATTTCTCATTTGTGGTGGAATACAATTATGTAGAAAATTCTTGTTGGACCAACCATTGCAAAAAACTGAATATTCCTTACATGGCTTTTAAAGTATCTCTTCCAGACACTGTTTTAAAGAGTAAGGATATGAACTAAATGTCTTTTTTTTGCTTTGTTATAATAAAAATTTTCTGTTTTCTGTTTCTGATGTAAGAAGAGAGAATAAGGTATGACATTAAAAGATTCAATTCAAAGCTCTAATCTCACAACTATGTGACATTGGTAATATCCTTTGAACTCATACTTCGTATTCCTCATTTGTAAAATACATTTTGGATTTTATTTGTCTTCATCCTATTAGCCTACAGATATTTTACTTATACAGCACAATTTTATTACAATTCTATCTGACCTTAATCTTATATGCTAATGCAAATTAATTGTTAATTAAGTTATAGGGGAAATGTAACCATGAGTTAGAATAATTTTAATATGCAACATTAAACTGCAAATAATTAGAAAATAATCGTGAAGTTCATGCAAAATTCAATCAGCCTAATCAGTGGCTGAATAAATAGCAGTACTCCTACATAAAAAAAAATAGTCTAAAGCTACTTCGTGTATAATTAGTTTCTTTTGTGTTTTGTGTTCACACTTCACATGACTAAGTTTGGAATTCTCAGATCCGTTAATTAAAAAGTCCATGCTGTACATTTTTAGATCCATCTCTTTCAATTCTTGCCATAAATTACTTTCTGTCCATCTCAAGTATGTATAGGGAGTCCAAATTCTGAGATATTCCAACACAATGCTAAAAATGCAATCATTATACAACTTTGATTTTTAGAATCGAAAGGGTTTGGGGATTGGACAACATCTGGTTGTGCTCAGCATGGTTCTTGGAGTTTGCTCAAGGCAGTGCTTCAGAGCATATGGTACCAGGGATTGAACCAGGACCACCCACAATCAAAGCATAAGCAGGAGCCCTTAAAGAGATTTCTCTAGCCCCTGTGTACCTATTCTTTAGTAAATTGCATATTTTGATAAATAATCCATTTCTCTAGTGAGGTACTTAATCTTTTCCTTTTTATTTGTATCATTCCCTTTATATTATTATGCAACATTTTCGATTTCTATATAAATCAGTACATATACACACAAAAATTCAATAAACTTAACTAAGTAGATTTTAACATTCAGGTAGAATATGATCCTATTTGCTTTTTTCCCCCTTTTTCGGTCTGAGTGTACATGTGTATTATAGATAAGCGTATGCAAAAGTATCTGGAAGTACATAGCAAACTGGGTTTTAGCATAGAGTGGTTTTGCTAGCTTTTATCTCTAAGTAGTAGAATAACATGATTTTTCATTCATTCTTGAGAACTTTGTTCTGATTTCTAATTTTTACAGAGAATATTGTTTTTATTTTCCTCCTTGAACTTAATTATGCCTATTATTGCATATTTAGTTATAAAAGAGATACGTGGGGGTGAGAAAAAAGAGAAGCATTCATAAATTTTCTTTTTTTTTTAGGAAGCACCTTGTTGGATAGATTTGGTGGTTTCCTTTTAGAAATTCAGATTCCTTATGTGTTTTATGCCTCTGAGGGAATTCTTAACAATCCAGAAATACTTCAGTTGTTAGAATCCAGGTAAGTGCTTTAATTCAAATTTTGAAAAAAAAATCTCTCTACATATATATAGACATATTCCACTTATTTAAATATTACTCTTGGGGTTGGAGCGATAGTACAGGGGGTAGGGCATTTGCCTTGCACGAGGCAACCCTGGTTCAATTCCCAGCATCTCATATGGTCCCCTGAGCACTGAGAGGAGTAATTCCTAACGCAAAGCCAGGAGCAACCCCTGTGCATCGCCAGGTGTGACCCAAAAACAACCACAACAAAAAAAAATATATATATATATATAAATAAATATTACCCTTTTCATGTGATACTATTATGATTCCAGCCTGGAATTATATGACTAATTTCCGAGATAATTTGCCAATTTATACTTTCCCTATAAAGTACACCATCGAGCTATTGAAGATTATTCCTTTTTGTAATATATAAAATAAATATTAATTTGTGAGAAATATTATTATTGAAAATTAATTTTGAGTGCATTTATTTTGTCACCAGAAAATATTAAAGTGTCAGCATGGGAATTATTTCCCTGTGAATTTTTATATGGTCCATCTTTGGATTATTGGTAATGTGGAGGAACTTTTTTTTGTGGAGATAATTTTAAATACTTCCTGAAGAATAGACTATGAAGATCTAAGTGAAGTCTCAAGTTATTATACATCTAGTTCTCAAGCATTCTGTATCAAATTTTGAACATTTTTGTATCAAACATTGTGTATCAAACATTAGGCATTCTAAAATCATAGAAGACTTTTTCTTAGCACACAGTTGCTAGACAAAGACTATTTATATCGAGGCATTATAATTGTACAGTGCCCTTTATTAAAATGCAGGTCTATTTTTTATGTTTGTTTTTATATATTAAGTTTGTGGGGAAAATCACAGAAAACTCTGAGTTTATAAAACAATTTTATGTTGGCCAGTGCTAAGGGAGAATAAATAAAAGTTCTGGTAAGTGCTGAATGTTTTGTATTCATAAAAGTGTTAGCTTTTATGAATACATATATAAAGAGCTAGAATAAATTGATCAAGATGTTGGTAATATTATAAACTGTAATATTTAGCAGAGTCACAGTCCTCCCATTAGTCATCCGTTTACTCGAGCAGGCCCAGTAACATCTCCATCGTTAGACTTGTTGTTACTGTGTTTGACATATCAAATACGTCACAGGGAGCTTGCCAGGCTTTGCCATGCGGGCGAGATACTCTCAGTAGCTTGCTGGGCTCTCCAAGAGGGGTGGAGGAATCGAACCAGGGTCAGTCAGGCCGGTTGCACACAAGGCAAATGCCCACCACTGTGCTATCGCTCCAGCCCTTTAGCAGAGTAACTGGAGAAAAACACATCTCAACTAACTTGTTATCTATACTAAATAAGCTGATCTCATTCTTCAAACTTATATATATGTATATATGTGTACATATATATATTCATTTTGTTTTGTGGTCACACCCAGCAATGCTCAGGGGTTACTCCTGGTTCTGCACTCAGGAATTACTCCTGGCGGTGCTCAGGGGCCATAAGGGATGCTGGGGATCTAATCCAGGTAGGCCGTGTGCAAGACATGTGCCCTAACCGCTCTACTACCATTCCAGCCCTTCATTTCTCAAATATATGAAGTAGAACAAATTGATATATAAAAGGCAAAGTACAGTGATTCAAATAATGTAATACACAGGAGAATAATACAGTTCAAAGTATTGTCTTTTGGGGACTGGAGTGTGTAAACGCAAAAGTGGAGCAGCGGTGCTCTACTCTCCCACCGCTGCGTTCTGTAGTCTCACGCTGCTTCCCCCACCCCAGGGAGGTCGATGGCAATGGGCAGGTGAAGGAAGGAACGAGGGCTGGGCTGGTTGGTCTCAGCTGCAGTTTATTCCAATCTCATCTCCATTCACTACTGTCTCTCTCCCTCTGCTTCTTCCCCAGCCCACTCTTTAAGCCTGGTTAAATCCACCCCCCTCACCCCACATGAGGGGTTGGAGCTTACACATAGATGTGGTCACAATCAATAGGGGTAAAGTTCTTTTCCTCAGAGGATATTTCTAGGACAGATACTCTATCAGCACCACCCAAGAGCGGAATCCCATGAGTATGTTTTTCCTCTACTTGTCCAACAAACATATAAGCATTCATAATATTAATCTTTTTGTATGGACACAGTAAGAGATACATTAAGCTTATAGAATTGCTCTCCTGGGGTCATCTCAATCTCAGACTACACTGCTCAGATCTTATTAGTCTTTCCTATCCCTAGCAGGGTCCCAGTCTCGTTGTTACTCTTGTATCATGACAACATTTGTCCATGATCAAGCTCTTAACTTATAGTTAAGAATTATGGTGCTAGAGCCAGGAATGTGGCTCCGCGACAGAGCATTTGCTTTGCATGTTTGAGACCCTGGGTTCAATTCCTGACACTGCAAAAAAAAAAAATTTAAAAGTGGCTGGAGCAATAGCACAGCGGTTAGGGCGTTTGCCTTGCATGCGGCCGACCCGGGTTCGATTCCAGCATCCCATATGGTCCCCTGAGGACCGCCAGGAGTAACTCCTGAGTGCAGAGCCAGGAGTAACCCCTGTGCATCGCCGGGTGTGACCCAAAAAAGAAAAAGAAAAAAAAAAAAAGAATTATGGTGCTTTGGCCTAGCCCATTTCGATGCCAGGGTAGCTCACAGCTTTCCCTGGGTCTATTCAGTTCCTCGTTGGGACTCTGCTTTTGGGATGCTAGGAACTAAGGGCTTAAGTCGAGGAGTGAATAATATTCGAAGCCAATTAAATCCTAAATTACAAGAACATAATATTAACTGTCTTCCTGTGTTTATACAAAAAGGACATTGCTTTAAAGTAAACTATTCAAAAGACATAAGGAGAGGAGAAAGGCAATATTAGCTTACAATATAACTTCAGTGTCCTAGAAGGATCTGACCTTACAAATTAAGAGTCTGATTAGGGGGAAAAGCTGATTAACTGGTTGGGGAAGAGAGCATAGAGAAGTAGTTACAGATAAACAAAGGATTGGGAGTGACTCAAGAGCACTGTGATGGGTGTAACCTGAAAAACCTAAGCTCCTTGTGGCCAGGGAGAAAGGAAAAACCAATGCCATCCTGGAGAGATAATACAAGTGTTAAGGTGCTTGCTTTGCTCACGGGCAACCCTGGTTTGATCCTCTCGACTGCATACAGTCCCCTGCGTACCACTAGTAGGGATCTCTGAGCACAGAACCAGCAGTTAGTCAAATAAACCTCCCCTGAAAAAAATGTTCTTTTTTATTTCATTGTTTAACTCACAAATATTTTATTTTACAGTTATAATATCACCCTAGTGGAAAGATGCTGCAGTGAGTCACTAAAGCTTTTTGGAGACACAGAACATTATGTAGTAATGACAATTAATGAACATACTGCCATAGTTTTGCAGGTAAAACTATATAGTAAAAAATTCAAAATATACAACTGTATGTATATTTTGATTGCATACAGCTTAACTGTAATGTATTAGTTATTCTTTCCAAAACTGTAAATGAGCCATGGTGCTAAAATTATCATAGTTTAAAAGTAACTAAACTTCTTTAATTATCTTTATTATTTTTCCATACTTTAGTAAAAATGAGATTAGGCCAGAATCTATAAAATATACCAGAGACATACAGACAGAATTCTCCAGGATGAGGACTTCAGAGGTGTTTTCAGTTGTTTAATTCCATTGGAAAGATAACAAATCTATGTTTGGTAAAGCTGACATCTGAGTTGATGAACAAATGTAAAAATATAAACTGTGTGGAAACACAGAGCTCTGTTAGACATCCGTTTAAAAAAATTATTTTGGGACCTTTAGCTTGCTGCTCTATCATCTCAGGTGATGCTTGCCTCCAGCTGACATCACTGGGCCTACTATGGACTGCTCAGCCACATGCAAAGCAACTTTCTAATGCCAAGCACAAAAGTCAAATAAAAGTGGATTTTAAAGACTTATTATCAGATATGAATCCATAAGGTACATAGAGGAAAACATTAGCAGAACTCTCCATGATATTGAAGCTAGAGGTACCTGAAAGGATGAAGTCTCACTGACCAGGCAAGTAGAAGTAAAGATTAACAAACAGGACTACATTAAATTAAGGAGCTTCTGCACTTCAAAGGAACCAATGACTATAATACAAAAACAGCCCACAGACTGGGAGAAATGATTCGCCCACCACTCACCTAATAAAGGGTCAATATCAGGACATAGAGCACTAGTAGAATATTACAAGAAAAAAAAATTCAACTCCACAAAAAAAAATGGGAGAAAAGATGAACTACTTCCTCAAAGAAGATATACAGATGGCCAAAAGGCAAGTTTTTAAAAATGCTCTTCATCGCTAATTATCCAGGAAAATCAAATTAAAACAACAAAAATGTTTCACTTCACCAAAGAGACTGACACTCATCACAAACAAACATCAACCAGTTTTTGTGTGGATGCAGGGAAAAAGAGGACTCTCATTCACTGTTGGTTGGGAATGTTAACTAGTCCAGCCTTTTTTGAAGACAATATGGACATTACTCAAAAATCTAGGAATTGATCTTTCATTTAACCCAGCAATTCCACTCCTGGAAATATGCCCTAAGGGCCTCAAAACACAACGCAGAAAAAATATCTGCATTCCTATATTCATTGCAGCATATATATACATATATATATATATATCAACATGATACTCTCCAAATCCATTCATGCATCAGCAAATTGCATGTTTTCATCTTTTCTTACAGTTGAGTATTATTCCACTGTAAAAATGTGCTATCATGCTGAGTGAAATAAGTCAGAGGGAGAGGGATAGATACAGAATGATCTCATTCCCAGGCAAGATATAAATAAATAGTAGCACTGTCCTCCCATTGTTCATTGATTTGCTCGAGTGGGCACCAGTAACATCTCACAACAAATTGTAGGAGACTACATAAATCCCAAAGACAAAATAAACAAAGAGCAGGAGAATTGGTCCTCAGTACGAAGCCTGCCAGTTAGTTGAGAGTTAGGTCAGGGAAGGGACCACTGTTACAACGATGATGAAGATAGTGGTCACTCTGGACCAGGACTATGTGCTTAAAGGAGGTAAAAGTGATATGCAAATCATATTGTGTAAAAAGGGATGGGGGGAAGGAAAAAAGAAAAAAAGTACCTGCCATGGAGATAGACTAGGGGGTGTGAAGGAAACTGTGGACACTAGTGGAAGAAAATTGACAGTAGTCAAGAAATTGGTGCTGGAACATTATACACCTGAAACTAAATCATGAATAACTTTTTAATTCCCAGTGATTCAATTGTTAAAAAAAAATGAAAAAAGACATTTTCACCCCTATGTTCCTTGCAGCACTATTCACAATAGCCAAAATCTGAAATAGCCCAAATGAATAGATGACTGGATAAAAAAAACTATGGTACATGTGCACAATGGAATAGTACTTGGCTATAAGATGAGATTATGCAATTTTCAAATACTTGGATGGATCTGGAGAGTAGTATACTAAGTAAAATTATCCAGGAGAAGGACTGACACAAATTATCTTTCTCATATGTGGAATATAAAGAAACATGGTAGGGAGGATTTAAAAAAAAAAAACGGTTAACAAATGCACAAGGAAATAGTAACTGCTGCAAACTGGTTTCCAGGAAGAATCTCACCATAGGGGAGAGAAGCTGGGGGGTGGACATTAGATGATGGTAAATGAAGGTAGGCACTCAGGTGGGAACACTCTGGGGGTGTAGTGCTAGAATTTTTATGTATGAAACCTCAATCATAAGTTTCATTAGCCAAATTGTGTAAACTGCAAAGAAACAAAACAAAAACCTTTCAGTGTAGATTATTCATGACTTTTAAAACATACTTTCATTGAATTGCTTTAAAAGTTTTATTAATGACAGATAAAACATGATTATTACCATAACAAGACCCAAGTATAAAATAAAATTTAATGTAATATACTTTAGATTCCAGAGTTGAAAACGTATATATATATATATATATATATATATAAATGAGATAGGCATTTTATTACAGTGTATTAACTGCTTTTAACTTTCTTATTTACATTGTTCAAAATCATATAGTAATCACTGATTGGCCTTTGCTTATTTATTTTCTGATCATTCTATATACCAGGTCCTAAAATTTTGTTGAAAGAAGCAATATAAAGTAAATTTTTTATGTGCCAAAGGGGTCAGGTTGGGATTAGGAGGGAACCTGGGAATATTGGTGGAGGGAATGGTTTTGGAGCACTAAATGCTTGAAACAACTGTACAATGAACAACTTTGCAAATCAGGGTATTTTAATAATATTTAATTTTTAAAAAATAACTTACTTTGGGTTCTGTATGCTGTTTTGTCATATATAGCACTTTGGGAGACATATGAGCCCTTCTTACTGAAGAGCCCATTAACTATACCCCCACTATTTCCAAGTGTGACTTTAATTTTTCAGTGCAATAGAAACCCATTCATATGTTTCTCCTCAGATTATCATTTATATGACATAGATTCTAAAAATATGGTCACAACAATTACATAATAATTCTTTAATCAAGAAAATATTTTTATTTCTTGGCAGGACCTCGAGGAATTAAATTCTGAGAAGGCATCAGACAATATTGTTATGAGATTAATGGCATTGTCATTCCAATACAACTATTGTTGGATAATTTTATATTCCAAAGACACAATTAACTCAGAGTAAGTAAACATTTCTTCATCCAAAGTCATGTTCATAATTGAGTTACTCAGTTCTCCTCTGGAGCAGAAGTCACTGTGCCAATTTTTCACTTACACATCCAGTTTGTTTTAATTCAGAGATTCCCAAGATGGATGACATGTTCCTAGAAAAATAAATTGGAATTATGGCATTGACATATTTGCCCAGAAGTTCCACGAAAATCATTTTCCTTCCTCCATCTCACTAAGCATCTCTGCTTTAAGTATTTCTCTCATTATTTTTTAATTCTAAACCAGTCTTTCTCAAAGCAGATGATACAATCCCTTCGCTCCACCCTCTTCAGCACTGGAATAATGCACTGACTAATAGTAATCTTGGGAGCACTGGGGGGCACTTTGTTTGCTCAAAGAAGACACATTTCTAGAGCACTGAGTAATTTCTTTTTATAAGATGGGAGTGATAAACTAAAAACGTTTGGGATTTTCTTGTTTTAGACATTTTTTTAAATTAATTTATTCTTAAATCACTTCTCTCTAAAATTTTTACTAAGTCTACCAACTAAATGGCATCTTGCTATACTTTATTTCATTGATGAGTTAACTGGTAATCAAAATTTAAAAATTCATGTCAGACATTGGTTTTGAAGAGTTATTATATAACTCTTCTTTCTCCTATCTTTTATGCTCCTAAGCTACTTCCACTGCTCCTTCTCTATAACCTGGATTTCCTTCCTACCTCTACTGTCTCTCAAAGGTCACTCATAACTGTGTCTCTCTTGTACTCGAGGGTTTTTTCTCTGTATTTTCCAATTTTTAAAAAATTAAGGTAACTGTGGTTTATGGAAACAAATTTTTATATTTTAATAGTATATCAAAAATAATTTCTCTTTCACTTCTATGGAGTATAAAGGTCTATTGTAAGTGTTTTTTTTTTTTCTGGAAACTTAAATTCCATGGGTTTTTTGATGTTCTACAATTAATCCTTCTTTATTTAACTATTTTTCCTTATCTCAGTCTCCCTACAACTAATCCTTCTTTATTTAACTATTTTTCCTTATCTCAATCTATATCTGAACTCCTTTCTTTCTCTCCTATCAAATGAAAGGCCTATCCATACCCACAATTCAGTTATCCTTCTTCTATAATCACATCCATATTTTGAACCACAGTCTCACTTTGAAACTTCTGATATGTATCTCTCATTTTCTGTTAAATATTTCCACTCTCATTCCACAGCTATCCATCTTGACATGTTTAAGTATGAATCAATTTTTACATCCCCTCAAAAAAACCGATATCTTGTTTTTTATTTGTTTTTGGACCACACACAGGAGTGTTCGCAGCTTACTTCCGGTTCTTGCTTAAGGAATCATTCCTAAAGAGGCTTGGGGAACATCTAATTGAGTATCAGAGATCAAATCCAGTTCAACTGCATGTAAAACAAGCACCTACTTGATGTAGTCTCTTTATCTTTGTCTTCTTCATTGCTAAGGCTGAAAACAAATACTGTAGATTCGGGCACAAACTTTTTTTTCCCTTTCTGAACCATAGTTCAGATTCTCATTATTTTATGTGAACCATTACAATAGACTACCAGTGTTTCCCAGTTTCCCACCTCCCAATGGGTCATTGGAACTCTCCGTAATCTGTTGTGCACTCAATATTCTTTTTTGTTTTGTTCTGTTTTGTTTTCAGGCTCACACCTCGAACTGGTGCTCAGTTTCTATACGTGGCTCTGTGCTCAAAGCTAATTCTTTTTTTTTTTTTTTCCCCCTTTATTTTATTTTATTTTTTTTAAAGTTGTAGATTTACAATTTTTTGTGCTTTGGTTTCAATTATACAATGATCAGATACCCATCCCTCCACCAGTGCCCATTTTCCACCACCATGGATAATATCCCTCCCACCCCCATCCCCCCATCCCCCCGTCTCTGTGGCAGGGCAATCCCCTGTGTTCTCTCTCTCCTTTTGGGTGTTGTGGTCTGCAAAAGAGGCATTGAGTGGCAAACATGTTCAGTCCATAGTCTACTTTCGACATGCATCTCCCCTCCTGGGAGGATCCTCCAAACATCCTTTATTTGGTGCTCCCTTCTCTATCTGAATAGCCCTTTCTTCTAGGATACCCGGCTGGCCTCTAAGTTATGGAGTAATCCTCCTGGTGCTGATCTCAGCTATTCTTGGGTATTAATCTCATACTTTGTTACTTTATATCCCCCAGATGAATGCAATCTTTCTATGTCTATCCCTCTCTTTCTGACTCATTTCGCTTAGCATGATACTTTCCATATTGTACCACTTGTATGTAAATTTCATGACTTCATCTTTTCTAAGAGCTACATAGTACTCCATTGTGTAGATGTACCAAAGTTTCTTTAACCAGTCATCTGTTCTTGGGCATTCAGGTTTCTTCCAGTTTCTGGCTATTGTAAAGAGGGCTGCAATGAACAAACAAGTGCAGATGTCACTTCGACTATACATTTTTGCCTCTCTGGGATATATTCCCAGGAGTGGTATTGCTGGGTCAAATGGGAGCTCAATTTCTAATTTTTTGAGAATCGTCCATACTGTTTTCCAGAAGGGCTGAACCAGTGGACATTCCCACCAACAGTGAAGGAGTGTCCCTTTCTCGCCACATCCACGCCAGCATCGGTTGCTCAAAGCTAATTCTTGTAGGACTAGGCAGTTCTGGGAATGGAACCTAGGTCTTCTGCATGCAAAGCATGTGTTTCAGCCACTTTGGCCTTCTTTGAGCAATAAGTTCAACACGAGGGTCTAATTACTCCACTCTGATAAAATGTGTCCACTGACTTCCCTATTTTCTACTGAATATATACAAACATCTTGCCATAATATTTAGTCTTTAGAATATAATCCAACCTATATTTTCAGGCATAATTCTCACTGTTATTCATTTCAACCAGACTGGTTATTGGCTCACAAACATGATTTATTTTCCCAGTCCTACTTTTGCTTATATTTTCTCTATCTTAACATTATTCTCTATTTTGCCCAACTATTTCATCTTCTGAAATTGTGCCTGTTTTTTCAGGATATCCCAAATAATATTCCTTTTTCCTACCTATTTTTTTTCTTTTTTTTTTGGTTTTGATTTTTGGGCCACACCCTGCTCTGGGGTTACTCCTGGTTCTGCACTCAGGAATTACTCTGAGCAGTACTAAGGGGACCATATGGGATGAGGAGGATACAACCAGGATCTACTATGTGCAAAACACTCTACCTGCTGTACTATCACTCCAGTCCTTACATCTAATCTTTTCTAAGTATAACAGTCATACACACAAGTATTTAGTCGTGACCATCCCATTCATTGAATTCCTAACACTATATATTTTTTCCTATTATTAACCACATTTTGCTTTATATTATCATTTGGAGTACTATCCCTAGAGAATCAAGCACATTGTTTGCATTTGCTAGATACTTGGTAGTTATTGATTGAATGAATGAATTTCCATGCTAACATTCTTTTAAAGGATGAGTGCTTGGGATGGAATTAATTAGCATGATCAGCCTTCAAATGAGTACATATAAAATAATAATTCTTTTTAGGTACCATCTTACAGAGAAGACCCATCAGCACCTAGCACAGATTTATGCAGCTTTGGTTTCCTGTGGGCTAAAATCAGAACTGGATGTAAAGGTACAATTTTTCTCATGTTTGTTCATAAATCAAAATTATACCCAAACTCAAGTACCCAGTAAGAAGTATTAAATGAGTAAACTAAAAACTGCTAAAAAGTCAAATAAGAAACAATTTCAAATTTAACATTCTTTCTTAAACTTCTGTTCTAAAAGCCTTTTTTAGTTTATGGGAGGAGATGAGGGTTATACCCAGTAGTGCTCAGGGCTTAGTCCTGGCTCCGTGCTCAGGAATTACTCTTGGCAGGCCTCAGGGGACCATATGGGGTACCAGAGATCAAACCCAGATCGGCCACGTACAAAGCAAGTACCCTACCTGCTGTGTTCTCTCTCCAGCCCCTAAAAGTTTTTACTTTGAAATCACATTTTACTTCTAATTACTACATAGATTATTTTCTTTTTAGTGCCTAGGAATGGACTCAGGGCTTCACACATGCAAAGCATGTGCTCTACCACTCAACTATATCCCTTCCCCCCATCCAGACGTTTTTGAACCACAGAAAAACATGAATAAAAATAATTATTCTTTGACAAAAACAAAACAAAGCAAACTGTTCTTTTTTTTTCTTCTTTTTTTTAATCATTTTTTTTTATTAGTGAAACACCATGAGGTACAGTTATAGACTTATAAATTTTTGTGCTTGGGTTTCAGTTATACAATGATCAAGTACCCATCCCTCCACCAGTGCCCATCCTCCCCCACCACGGGTCCTAGCATCCCTCCCACCTCCCATCCCCCCCCGTCCCACCCTGCCGCTGTGGCAGGGCATTCCCCCTTGTTCTCTCTCTCTTCTTTTGGGTACTGTGTTTTGCCAGAGAGGCATTGAGTGGCAATCATGTTTGGTCCATAGACTACTTTTAGCATGTCTCTCCCACCCTGGGAGGATCTTCACAACACCCTTTATTTGGTGCTCTCTTCTCTATCTGAGCTTCCTTTTCACCTAGCACATGTGGCTGGCCTTCAAGTCATGGAGCAAAATTCCTGGTACTAATCTCAGCCATTCCTGGGTATTAGTAAAGCAAACTGTTCTTTTAGGACCAGGAATATAGCAAAAATCATAGAACGTATGCTCTGCATCTGTGAGGTCCTGGGTTTGATCCCTAGTACCACAGGCCTGTTGGGTGTGACCATGGTTCCCAAGTACCAACTACTGGGTGTATTGGAAACAAGAACAAAATGTTCTTATACAACATGGACAAAGTTCTCGGGTCCACTTTGATAGAATAGGTGGTAGGGTGCTTTCCTTGCATCCAGCCATCTGAAATTTAACCCCAGGCACCCCATATGATTCCCCATCCAAGACCTGCCAGAAGTGATCCCTGAGTACAGAGTCAGAAGCCCTGAACACAACTTGGTGTGTGTGGCCCAATAAAACAAAAATTAAAAAAAAAAAATTTTAAGTTCTTATCTGGTGTGTAAAGAAAATCTTCTGACATAAATAATTTGATCTCTAATTAGTCTCCTTTCTGTGCCCTTTTTCTCAGTGTCCTGCATTGAAATTTAAACAATCTTTTCCAACTTCAGGACTAATCTCTCTTCTAAACTAAACTATTATTTCCTTCATAAAATCAGATATTCTCAGAAATTCAGTTTTGTTTTTTTGGTTATAATTCTTAAATTGTTCCTGGCTTATGATTCCATGCCTATATTCTGGCATTCTACTGGAAATCTTCACAGAAATGTTCCATTGGTACCTCAAACTCTGCTCTGCATATCTAAAACACAACTTCATATCCTCTCCCAAATTTATTTTATGGTATTACTATCCCATTCACTTCTGGAATGTAAGTTTTGGAGGGAGATTGGGAAACCTTTATTTATTGTTTTATTTTTGGTCTAGTCCACATGTGCCAAATTGGCTCTTGATAAATATTTGTTATTGAGTTGAATTTCCTTGTTCAGATGCTTTCCATACCTTCCTACTTCATTCAAAATAAGAGTTGAAACTCAGCTGACTTCAGACTCCACCACTGATTTCACCCCTGATATAACTTCCTTCTGCCTTGCTCTACTCATCACTTTCTGACTATCCCCTCCACACTATCACCTCTGCCACTGCACATGTCACAAACCTGACATTCTGGCCTGTCTTCCACCAAGAAAGCCACTTACCTCCTCTCACTGCCATCCTTCCTAGTTCCTAGTTCTTTTTCTGCCCACCTCAAAAGCACTAGTAATAAGATGTCCTTTTACCTTTTGAACCTCAAAACATTTTGAACAACAGCCCTTGCATGTAGGAGGCCCCCAGTTAGATCTTCAGCATCATGTGACAACTTCCCCACTCCACCCCAACCCTGCCATCATCAGTGGGTATAGCTGTGGAGGTCCCTGCACTGCTTGGTGTAGCCTGTATTTCTTCTGGGCCAGTCCCAGCAGCACCGTCACTGGCTCTAACATCCATCCAGCAGAGCCTCACTTAAGTTTGCATATTGCTGAAGTGACCCACACGCACATTGCTAGACAAGCCTTGATTAAAAAAAAAAATAGGGGGTTATCTGTGATGAACTGTAGTTTTATCTCACTAATCTTTCTAGTCAGTTTTTACTTTTTAAATTTTGTTTTAGGGCCACAACCCAAGCAATGCTCACAAGTTACTCCTGTCTCTGCACTCAGGAATTATTCCTGGTGGTGCTCAAAGGACCTTATGGGATGCTGGGGACTGAATCCTGGTTGGCCGTGTGCGAGGCAAATGGCCTACTTCTGTGCTGTAGCTCAGACCCTCATGATTCCCTATTCACTCAGTTTTGCTTCTTAGCTAATAGTAAGGTGTTATAGACAAAGTACACTTTATTTTTTTTTATTTGTATTAGTGAGACACCATGAGGTACAGTTATAGACTTACAAATTTTGTGCTTGGGTTTCAATTATACAATGATCGGGTACCCATCCCTCCACCAGTGCCCATTTCCCACCACCACGGGTCCCAGTATCCTTCCCACCCCCTATGCCCCCCATCCCACCCTGCCTCTGTGGCAGGGCATTCCCCTCTGTTCTCTCTCTTCTTTTGGGAGTTGTGGTTTGCAAAAGAAACATTGAGTGGCAATCATGTTTGGTCTATAGTCTCCTTTCAGCATGCTTCTCCCATCCTGGGAGGATCCTCCCAACACTCTTTATTTGGTGCTCCCTTCTCTATCTGAGCTGCCGACAAAGTACACTTTGGAAGTCATTTTATTCCTTAATACACAGGGTGTACAACACCAGTTTTGTATCATAAATCTTTTTTATATATACCTGTGTGTATGTATGTGTGTGTCTCAGGTATACACTTATTTTATGTCTATTATTCATGTGAAAGAAAAAGTCATAGTTTATTTTAAGGTTCATATGGACTGTGTTTCTTAAACTTCCCACAGTACAGATACTTTTATTTCTAAGTATGATTGCTTAAGGCATTGTCTTTCTGTCCACATTAAACTCCTCATGCGTGAACTGTTTTTCAGCCAAATCAAGAAGATGAAGTAGATGATAAAGATAGTAGACTGCCTTTCAGGTGGTAGTGAAAGGGAGAAAAGAAAGCTGCCATTTCCAAAGAGAAAGAGGCACCAGGGACAGAATAGCACTGTAGCTCTGTCCTCCCGTTGTTCATCTATTTGCTCCAGCGGGCACCAGTAACATCTCCATTGTGAGACTTGTTGTTACTGTTTTTGGCATATCGAATACCTCACAGGTAGCTTGCCAGGCTTAGCTGTGTGGGAGGAATACTCTCAGTAGCTTCCTGGGCTTTCTGAGGGGGCGGAGGAATCGAACACAGGTCGGCCATGTGCAAGGCAAACATCCTACCTGCTATGCTCTTGCTCCAGCCCTCCAGGGACATAATATTAAGAAAAATTATTTTAGTGTGAAGTTTGGTTATTTTGTCACACACATTCTTAGAAGGGTATCTGAGTATCAAGGGAGCCAAAACTGAAAGAACAATCCCCAAATACAAGCAATGGGTATTTTAAGTCAAAACCTTTTTTTTTCTTTTTTGTACACAGCACCAAATTCATCTGTAATTATACTTTATTTTTTTTCAACTTTGTTTTAAAAATTCCTGCCCTATAATAATTTCAGAACACTATGTGTAGCCTAGAAAAAGCAAAATATTAATTAGTCGTAGTGATATTTAAGTTGCTTTACTTCTATTATAGATACACTATAACACTAAGTATACTTAAGACTACTATTAAGTGCCAAATGAATATGAAATAAATACTGCATTACAAAATTTGAATCTAGAAGGAAATCATATTTAGGGAAGAAAATTGTTTTTCCTCAAAAATAAAATGCCTGCCATGGCTCCAGAAGCACAAGGACTTAATGCAGAGCCCAGCAGCTTGCAGCAGAAAAATGAATGGACTATGTGTTAATCCACGTCACCATGTCTGCCCGGAGGGGAGAGGGTGTTGGCCCTTTCGGCCCTCTTCCCTCTGGAAAGAAAGATGGCAGCCGCTTGGGAGCTTTGTGGAAAGCCAGGTATGAGCTGGTCGTGATGGGGAGACTAAAACCTCACAGGAAGGGGGGCGTTCGCGGCTTGTCCTTCACGCCCTACCGAGGTCACCAGTTGCCCCCCACGAGCGGCTCTCCAGCACGGCCATGGCTCCAGAGCACAGAAACCAATCTCTTAATTATCTGACTCACAGCAGAAATACTTCCAGGGTTAATAAGTAAAATAGCAGAAATCCAAAACATCATTTAATTCTTGAACCCAGCTGTAGAAAGCAAATCATTTCACAATGCCTTTTCAGCATGTCTGATTTGGGGGTGTAAACTCTAAATAATAATGGTGCATCTTTTATCGAAACAGTGAATCTAGTCAAAGTAGATAGAGTGTTAACTAGAACTCATCTGCCTCACAGGCATTGGGAGGGTTGGGGGGGTGGGGGTTTATTTGGGTTCTTCGTGGTGAAAAATAAGTATTGGTAACGGGAAATGTGTTTGATATTTGCATGACCAAGACCTAAACCTGAAAGCTTTGTAACTTTTCCCACAGTGATTCAATAAATAAATAAATTTTAAAAAATAAATAAATAAAATGCCTGAATTTTACATAACTTGATAAATTATATCTAAAATAATATTCACACAAGTCGGAGAGAGAGCAGTTGGGACAGAGAAGAGACTATTATGACAATGATAATTGAAAATGATCATTCTGGACAAGAACTGAATGCTGAAAGGAAGTGAAGAGATAAACATTATAACCTTTCAGTATCTTTATTGCAAACTGTAATGTCCAAAAGGAAAAAGAGAAAGAGGGAGAGAGATACAGACAGACAGGGAGACAGAGAAGAAAAGTGTCTGCCATAGAAGCAGGCCAGTTGGTGGGGTGGAGGAAAGGGACATGGGGACATTGGTGATGAGAAATGTACACTGGTAAAGGGACGGGTATTGAAACACTGTAAGAAGGAAACCCAGGGGGTTTCAGAGTGATAGTACAGTGGGGAGGGCATTTGCCTTGCATGTGGCCGACCTGGGTTCGATCTCCGACATCCCATACGGTATCCCAAGCACCACCAGGAGTAATTCCTGAGTGCAGAGCCAGGAGCAACCCCTGAGCACCGCTGGGTATGACCCCAAAAGCAAAATAAATAAATAACTCTTTAAAAAAAAAAGAATGAAACCCAATCATGAACAACTTTGTAACATTGTATCTCTAAGTGACTCAATAAAAAATTAAAAAATAAAAATAATGTTCAAAGAATAAAATGTAATTTTTCCTTACAATCAAAAATTTTGAATGATATATTTTGCTTAATATTTCTTATAATCTAACATGTTAAAATATTTTTTAGCTTATAATTTCCCCAGGAGTAGAAGAGACTGCACTATTAATTCGACAAATAGCTGACCATAATTTGATGACCTCAAAAAGAAATCCATATGACTATCTGGATAAATCCTGGTTTGAAGTTTCACCATCTAAGGTTTATTATCTAAATAAATAATTGATATATTTTCAAATATATATAGATGTACTTTTTATGGTTGCATAATGTCTAATAATACTTGCATGAATATTGATAACAGTAATCATAATGCTCAACATTTACTTAGATCATTTTCCAGAATCACCTGCAGTTTTAATCTGACAGAACTAGGTACAGGAATGGTAGCTCAGCAATAGAATACTTGCCTTGCTTGCCCGAAACCTAATCCCTGTCATCAAAAAAGGAAAAAGAATAAAAGAAAAATCTGACAGAACGATTTTAATTGCATCTTTCATAATGACTTTTAAATCTAATTTACCAGATAGCTAATGATTTATTTCAATATATATATTATTTTAAGACAACGCCTTTCCTACTTTATTTAAGCAATTAAGAATAGTAAATATATTTAGAGAATAGTAAAATTCTATATTCCACGATTTATCAATATTTTTCATTGAAATTGAAAGAAGACTTATAAAATATTTATAAAATAGAAAATACTTATAAAATAGAAGTACTTTTTGTTAAAGTGTAATATATCTTTGCTCTCAAATCTACAGTGTTTATTTTAAAATACAGTTAAGGGGCTGGAGACACAGTCCAAAGGATTGCAGTACATGCTTTGATGGAGGAAGCCTGGGTTTAATCCCAGCACCACATGTTTCTAAGCACCCCTTGGGAACGACCCCCAGGCAACAACCTGGGAGTAGGCTCTGAGAACTGCTGGTTGTGGCCAAAAAATTATAAGATAAAATAATATATATTCAAATCATAAATCCATAAAGAATTATTTTCTCTGTACAAATATAGAATGTTCTTCAAGTTAAGGGGCTAGAGTGATAGTATAATGAGTTGGTGTTTGCCTTGCATGGGCCAACCCAGGTCCAGCCCCTGCCACCCCATATGGCCCCCCCAATCCCACCGGGAGTGAGTCCTGAGCTCAGAGCGAGGAGAAAGTCCTGAGTACCACCAGGTATGACACAAAAAAGAAAAAGAAAGAAATAGTAAGTTAATGAAAGCTGAAGTACAGAGCATGCAGTATACTACCAGTATATAAAACAAGAGGGGAAAATCATTATTTGAATATTATATATCTGGCCTATAGACCAAGAAATAATTGGTTTAGCTGTAGAAGGTCTGAAATAATGGAGTGGGAAGGTACTTCCCACTGTACACGTTCCAGTATTTTTTCGAATTTTGAAACATGTGACTATTTTACCATTGAAAACTATGAAATCATAAAATATGTAAACAAATATTCATGCATTAAGTCATAGAACCTTTATCTGTGAAGTAGTTCATAGTAGCATCAGTAAGTATGTGTATAATTTGTATATGATGTATATATACATGAGTACAATTTTCTTCCTACTAAAGCATGCCAGGCTACTCACATGTCTATTAGATAAAATGAAAGAGTGCGAAAAGCCATGCCCTGGTTGTGGTAGGAGTGGGGTGAGAATATGGCAATAGTAGAATAGTAGATATGGCTGCTCTGTTTCTAGACTTGTCATAGATCTATCTGAAATTACATTTTAGACTTTTGAAGTCATTTCTTGTTCGGAGACCCTATATTCTTCCTAATGCTTTTCTGAAGTTCTGTCTCAGATAACATTCACATGACTTATTTTAGTCTAACAGTGGTAGGACATAGTTTAGAGAGCTAAAGAAATCTTCTTTTTAATTGAATCACCGTGAGATACAGTTACAAAGCTTCATGTTTGAGTTTCAGTCATACAATGATCGAACACACATCCCTCCATCAGTGTACATTTTCCACCACCAATGTCCCCAGTGTCCCCCTCCTACCCCACCACTCCCTCTGTCTCTATGGCAGATAATTTCCCCTCTTACTTTTTCTATTTTGGGGCATTATGGTTTGCAATATTGATACTTAGAAGTCATCGTGTTTGGTCCTTTATCTACTTTCAGCGCACATCTCTCATCACTGACTTAGTGATCCCTTCTCTATTACAGCTCCCTTCTTCCTGAGCTTATGAGGTAGGCTTCCAACTGTGGAGCAATCTTCCTGGCCCTTGTCTCTGCTGTCCTTAGCTAAAGAAATCTTGAGGTATAAAAATTAAGTCTCAGGACCGGAGAAATAGTAATGCAGGTGAGGCACTTGCCTTGCACGCCACTGGCCTGGGTTCGATCCCTGGCATCCCATGTTGTTTCCTTAGCTAAGGGCAGAGACAGGAGTAACCCCTGAGGTGCATTTCCCCGACTCCTGCCTCAAAAGACATTAAGTCTCTTAAAAGGTTTCCTATTAGAAAATCTGTTAGATTAAAAACAACCTTCATTGGAAAGAAAGAAACTATAATAAATCTTTCTGAATCAATGATTTAGACTGAATGAACTTTAAAATCCTTCCCAGTTCTGACAGCATATAAGTCTTTACTGCCAAAGAAGTTTCTTTTCTTCCTGGCCATACTTGTCCCCTTAGGGATCTCAAAGGTGTCAAAGATGTAATCAAAATAAACATTTTGATATGCTAGAGTTAAGTACAATGAAACTGGTCGCTTTCAAAACACCACTGACTAACTGTTCCTTAAACTCTTTTCTAGGAAGAAATGTATTTACTTGATTTTCCATGTATTAATCCGTTGGTGGCACAGCTCATGTTAAATAAAGGACCCTCACTACACTGGATATTATTAGCAACTCTTCCTCAACTTCAGGAACTCTTACCTGAAGTTCCAGAAAAAGTGTTAAAGGTTAGTTATTTGAGATGCTTATGAGTTTATTTGCTTTCAACCTGAGTGTCTAGTTTTACCATAAGGGGTTTCAAAATGAAGTGATCTATTTGTTTTGGACTTCACATAACAAATCAGTGTCACTTGAATTAAATTTCTTTTCAAATTCTCACTGCAAACACAACATACAGTTTTAAAAAATTTTTTATTTTATAAGGTAATTCACAATTGGCCATTCAGACCTTCTTTAGGATATCACTAACATGTTGTTAAAGTGAGTGAACAACATACAATTTAAACCTATTAAATGTGGACAATACAATGCAGTTTAAAACACTTATGTAATTCTGAAATGTTTTTGCATCCACAATTACACACCATATTCTTTTGTTTTCACATTATCTTTTCCAAATAATCATGATATTCTTCATTGTAGTGAGGGACCTGTAGCCTTATTGGTAATATTTTCAAGTCTGTAGCAAGCAAAAATTCACAAATAACTTGTGTAACTAAAAATTCTGCTGAATGATCAGAAAGTAAATGCAAATTATAAAAACTTTTTCTTTAAGTAAAACCTAATCATATTATGTGTTTATTACATCAATTTTTGCAATACTTATGAATAGGTTAGTTATTTGATCTTGCCTTTCTTTTAGATAAGCACCACTATTTATGTTTACTTATTGATTTTTTTTCACTTTTTTAGCAGTTTTGTGACATCACTTCCTTATTCAGGATCAGTTCTTCTCCCATAAAAGAATCACCTCAAATTTCATCACCTCCAAAAAACAATAATCAGGCCTTTGCTTCTCAGAGTTCAGCAACTGGTTCCACAGACTGTATCATTCAAGAACATAATGAATATTATCAATATATAGACTTAGAAGAGACAGTACAGAAAGACACAAATATGACTTCAAATTATGACACTTCTTTTATGGAATTAAGAAAAATATGCCTTTCACCACCTGCGACTTCTTATAATCAGACAAGCTATTGGAAAAACTCCAGTTATAATTCTAACATAATGCAGAACAATTCTTTTCTGGCTAACAGAGAATCAAGAAACATGGCTAAGAACTCATTTTTATATCAGAATAATTCAGAATCAGATATATTTTCTTTGGGTCTGAAACAATCAAATAGTGCACCCACATCACCAGCTGACACTCAGGAGATACTTGTCCCTGGATGTATAAATGACCAGAGAAGGCGGCTACCCAAAGCAAAAGAATCTATAAATAAAGAAGCGTCTACTGCAACTCCAGGGTGCTCTCATTGGAACATCAAAAACAAGGTTCAGGAACAACATTACTCATTCAGTTTACCAGATAGGACAGAGCAGACTACATGGAACAACAGGTTCTCCCAGGAAGACCATTTATTCACTGATCAGCAAAAATGTCTATTGGATGAATCAGGAAGTTTCATATATGAAAGTTCAAATTCTGGGACTGAGAAGACTGTCTGTAAAGAATTGCCATTTGCTCCCAGTATGGATTTATTTTGTGCTTCTGATTCTCATGTAAATCAAAAAGAATTCAACAATTTTTATTTTAACCAAAGTGCTGAAAAATGTTTAGGACAGAAAAGGCACTCTGAATTTTCATCTACCTCAAGGGAAAATGAACCATTAACAGGTAACATTATCCAAAAGTTGATTTAAAAAAAACACTCCCAAATAGAATTTTATTTTTATTATTTTTTTTAATGTAAGAGTACTGTTATTTATCCAGCCATTGATTAAGCTGATTCAATTGGGCATGAACTTCATGTTACTTTTTTTTATTCAGAATGTTAATTTTATTTTGTTATTATTTTTCAATCACCCTATCTCAGGGTGATTGTAACTATCTCAGTTACAAAGCTTTGATGTTTGAGTCTCAATCATACAATGATCAACCACCCAACCATCCACCAGTGCACACCAAGGTCCCCAGTATTACCCCCTCCCCCTGCCTCTATGGCAGACAATCTCCCCCATACTCTTTTGTATTGCTGTGAGCGAGCAGGTGCGTCTACAGGACATAGGTCAATAGTTTATTTCTCTGGAAAAGATGGAAAGAAGGGCCGTGATCCAGAGACAGACAAAAAAATCTTCTAACCAAGAAGCTCTCTGCAGAGATGCCTCCAGACTTTAAGTTGGGCCGACTTCACGGGAGTGCCTCAGACGGGGGTAGGTGTCATCCCTCCACCTGCACCTAAAAACCCCCAGCAGCCGCCAACTTCCCGAACCCAAAGAGAAGCGCAGGTACACAGGATCAGTGATGGCAAACTCCAGGTCTCAAGGCATAGGGGTTGAGCCATCCTTCTCATCCCCCTGTTCCCCAGGGGACCCTGGAAGTCACACCCACAAACTGCCTCCGGCTGCTACTTGAGCTACTTAATGCTCTTGATCCAGAGACACACAAAGGAATCTCTGAACTGAGCAGTTTGCTGCAGATTTCTCCAGACCCTAAAAATGGAGAGATAGACATAGAAATATTGCATTCATCTGGGGAACATAAAGTAACAAAATAGGAGACTAACGCCCAAGAATGGACGAGATTAGTACCAGGAGTTTTGCTCCATGGCTTGGAGGCCAGCCACACACTCTAGGGGAAAAAGAGAGCTCAGATAGAAAAAGGAGCACCAAATAAAGGTTGTTGGGAGGATCCTCCCAGGATGGGAGAAGCATGCTGAGAGTAGACTATAGACTGAACATGATTGCCACTCAATGCCTCTTTTGCAAACCACAACACCCAAAAGGAGAGAGAGAACAGAGGGGAATGTCCTGCCACAGAGGCAGGGTGGGATGGGGGGATGGGGGGTGGGAGGGATACTGGGACCCGTGGTGGTGGAAAATGGGCACTGGTGGAGGGATGGGTGTTTGATCATTGTACAACTGAAACCCATGCACAAAAATTTGTAAATCTACAACTATACCTCATGGTGTTTCACTAACAAAATTTTTTTTTAAAAATGTAAATGATGGAGAATGGGCACTGGTGGAGGGATGGGTACTGGATCATTGTATAACTGAAACCTAGGTACAAAAATTTGTAAGTCTACAACTACCGAGAGTATTTGATATGCCAAACACAGTAACAACAAAGTCTCCAATGGAGACGTTACTGGGCCCGCTCGAGCAAATCGATGATCAACGGGAGGGCCTTTACTTACTTTACTTTACTTTACTTAATAAGGGCTGAAGTGATAGGTAGGTGTTTGCCTTGCACGCAGCCAACATGGCTGACCCGAGTTCGATTACTCCGCCCTTCTCGGAGAGCCCGGCAAGGTACCGAGAGTATCTCGCCCGCAGAGCAAAGCCTGGCAAACTACCTGTGATGTATTTGATATGTCAAACACAGTAACAACAAAGTCTCACAATCTCCGTTACTGGGCCCGCTCAAGAAAATCGATGAACAACAGGAGGACAGTGACAGTGACATTGACCCCTTTTTGATTACATATTACTGCCCCTAGAAAACTTATCCAAAGTCATAAGCAAAATCTCAATATAATTTTCCATTTATTCTATAGGTTTATATATGTGATCACTACCCTAAAATTGCCTATTGCATTGCTGTTTTTAATTTGCTTATAATGGCATCTAATACTTGGAATTATGAGATTATATGTAACCCCAGGAATAACTGAAATTTTAAATATTTTAGCTTCCCTTTTTTAAAACTGACACTTTTTTCCTCTATAAAGATTCCAAACCTAGGATATTTCAGCCAAATGTAATATATATAAAATTTTCAGGTAAGGTAATACCATATACAATTACCATCTCTATCAGAGTTCATTATGTTAGCAAACATATTATATAGCTAAGGCACAAGCTTAAGCTTAAAAGTAAGAGAAATGTAATTATCTGTGCAAAGCATAAGCATAAAAAACATATGTATTTAGCATCAATTTTCAGAATTTGGTTACTAGGTACATATGCATTTATGCTAAGAAATATAATCTTTAATAGTCACTATGTTATTCATTTGGCAAGTAAACACTGTAGACAGATGATGAAAAGACAGGATTCATTTGCGTATCTGGGGGAAAAATAGCTACACTTTATTATTACAAACAATAAAATGATTTTTCTTCTCCTTTTTAGGTGGCATGTGCTCACAATTACCACAGTTTAAAAAACGACGTCTAGTATATGAAAAAGTCCCTGGCAGAGTTGATGGACAAACTCGTCTAAAATTTTTTTGAAAGAGAAAAAGGTGCGAAATACTTTTAATAATAATGACTTATGTTTGTTGATACATGAAAAGAAACGCAGTTGTTCTTTTTTTTGCTTTTGTTTTATTTTGTTTTGGGGCCACAGCTGGCGAAACTCGGGCTACTTCTGGTTTAGGATGGCAGGAATCGAGCCCAGGTTGACCGTATGAAAGGCAAACACCCTACCCACTGTACTATCGCTCCAGGACTAGAAATGCAATTGTCCTTACATGTTCTTGCTGTTTCTATATCTTAATTCACATTATATTGTATTTTTCCCAATACTTTGCATCTTTATAACAAAAATATTCAAATTATCATAATGGCAATAAGATCCAAATATCTCCAATTTGCCTAAATAATTCATGTTTTGTTAGAAAAAGAGAAAACTTTATTGTATACACATAAAAGGGGTATGTAGAACACGCGTGTGTATGTGTGTGTGCATGAGCATGTATATGTATATATTTCTAAATGAGCTATCTATGCTTTTCTTGAATTCCCAAGTTTTTGCCAAACAGGAAAAGTGAATCAAGGGAAGATTTGGACATACAAAAAAGGCTCCACATAATTAAAGTAATACTTGATGAGTTTGAGATAATGTACAAATATTTCACTGAAGTATAAACTATCCTCTACATGTATTAAACTATCCTTCACTTTTATGCCATAATACTCTCTCTTACCACCAAAAGTTTCTTCCAACCCTCAATGTGTGTGCATGCGTGCATGAGAGAGAGGGGGAGAGACAGAGACAAAGACAGTGAGAAAGAATCACTGTCACCGTCCTCCCGTTGTTCATCGATTTCCTCGAGCAGGGCCAGTAACGTCTCCATTGTGAGACTTGTTGTTACTGTGTTTGGCATATTGAATATGTCACGGGTAGCTTGCCAGGCTTTGCCATGTGGGCAAGATACTCTTGGTAGCTTGCTGGGCTCCCCGAGAGGGGCGGAGGAAATGAACCCAGGATGGTCAGGTTGGCTGCGTGCAAGGCAAATGCCCTACCACTGTGCTATTGCTCCAGCCCAGAGAGAAAAGATAGACTATATAATATAGAGTCCACCCTCTTAGGAAAATCCCAAGAATATGATATAATATCATTAACTACAGGCACTAGACTTAACAGTACATCTCTAGGATATACTTGTCTTGTATAACAAAATTTAATAGGAATTGTTTAAAATGCCTATTGTTAAGATGACAATAGAACATAATAAAGGGTCCAATAGAGAAATTGAAGAGAAAGGAAAGAGGATAATTGATGGTAAAACATTTCAGAAGTGAAAGAGATCCAGAAATCAGGGATTAGAAAAGGAATAATTGAATGAAGACGAATGGAAGGGATTCAGATCATTTACAGTTGGAAGTGGTAGCTATTTTCATTTATAGGCTTTCATATTACTATTTCAAAGAGCAAATACAGTCAGTAATTGAGTAATTTCTGCATGGTATTTTTTCCCCACAAATTAAAAAAAAACTGTACAAGGATTTATACAAACAAAAAGCTTATCTCCCATCTGTAGATCTCACAAGCAAACAGAAATTCAAGAACACACAACACACAACACACAACAAGACAAAAAAAAAAACATTGCTCTCATAGAAAGTAATGAATCAAGCATAAATTTTATTTCCAAGTTCTTCAAAGATTTATTACAATAACAATAACATCTTTTAAAAGTATCCCAAATTAGGGGCTGGAGTGATAGCACAGTGGGTAAGGCATTTGCCTTGCATGCAGCTGACATGGCCGAACAGGGTTTGATTCTTCTGGCCCTCTCGGAGAGCCTGGAAAGCTACAAAGCCTGGTAAGTTACCTGTAAAGTTTTCAATATGCCAAAAACAGTAACAACAAGTCTCACAATTTGTTGTGAGACCTTACTGGTGCCTGCTCAAGCAACTCGATGAAAAACGGGAGGACGGTGCTACAGTGTTACATTTTTTGAAGGATAATCACAACTACAAAGTAGAGGGAATTAAAAAAGGCAAATATCAAATATGCTTCATAGACAAGATGGGTGATCTCTTACACGCCATCAGCCTAAGAAAGTTTGCTAAGAATATGTTTCATATAGTGTTAAAATTTAAACAGTTTTCTCATTAAGAAAGTTCAAAACATTATTTTGGACTTTTGAACTATTGAAATCTATTTCTCCCAATCTTATATCCTTATTTAGAAATTGTAAATTCACTTGGAAAAGAACAAGGTAAAGGTAAAAGGTAAAGGCCCTCCCGTTGATCGTTGATTTGCTCGAGCGGGCCCAGTAACGTCTCCATTGGGCCCAGTAACGTCTCCATTGGAGACTTTGTTGTTACTGTGTCTGGCATATCGAATACTCTCGGTAGCTTGCCGGGCTCTCCGAGAGGGGCGGAGGAATCGAACTCGGGTCGGCCATGTTGGCCGCTTGTAAGGCGAACGCCCTACCCGCTGTGCTATCGCTCCAGAACAAATTTTGCCATAATACAAAAATCTTATTCATGGAACAACAAATTATAAATAAGCAGTTTTTAATAAACAAGTGTTTCCCAAAAGTGTAAACATACAGTAAATAAAACATAATATTCTAGGCATACAAACACAGTAATTTACTTATTAAAGGGGTACATTTTGGAATGTATTTGACGATAAAGTACTTGTTTTAAGTACAGAGTACTTGACCAAAAGAAGGCAAAATTTGTTGATTATTATTTAAATCTGGTTTCCTTATTGACCAGAAAATCAAATTTCTATAGAATACTGCCTATAGGACTAGGTAACAGAAAAGGTCTGAAACATCTAAAAGTCATTTGACTAGAGAAAAGTGTTTTCTTGAGACCTGAAGGCAGTCATTCATTAATCTGCACTGGAAAGAATTCCTCAGCGAACTTCTTCCCTACTGGAAAGAGAATTTAGTAACTTTCAAATTAAAATGATTCAGACATAAAATTAACAGTTTTACTTTCATAGGTCCCTTAATACTCTCAAAGTAGAAAGTAGCAAGTTAATAGGAAAAAACATCCAAACCATATGACTGACTGGGTGGTATTCATGAAAATAAAAAGAAAAATGAAATGTGAACTTTGAAAACATTTTAAAAATAATTTCCAGCAGTTCTTGGAGACCATGCTGGGGATCAAACTGAGGCTCCCACATGCAAAGTGTATGGAAAAGGACCTCTTGGAACACCAAAGGGTTTTAAAGTTCATTCTAACCTATGCACTATTCCCCCCCATAGCTACATTACTTCCTTTATTAAAACACAGAATTATAGCTTTAAAGCTTTTGGGAAAGAATCTGAGCTGAAGTTAAGAACAAGTCTCCTTCTCTTTGAAATTTTTGCTCCAAGAGTAGAAAATCACTTTGAAGCATCATGTAGCAAATCACAACTTTGAGACTGAATAAGGGCTAAGAGGGCTGGATTAAGACCAAGAAATTACCACCAGGGGTGGGAGAAAATAGCAAAGGGTCTAAAGGTGCTTATCTTGCATGTGGTTAACTGCAACCTGACCCCCAGCACCCACATGGTCTCCCAGACATCTCTGGGTGCAGCCCTGAAGGTACCGATGGCACTGCCCGCAGAACCCTCGTAGCACTGTAGCCTTGAGCCCTTGCACTGAACCTGGCTGAGAATCAGCAAATGAAGCTCCTGAAAATTGCTGGGAAGACCCCACCCCACCCTTCAAAAAAGAAATTGCCACCAGGGCCAGGGATCCAACTCAATGACAGAATACTTGATTAGCATGTGTGAGGAGGCCCTGAGGTTCCTGGTCTGCACATTAATGCACATACAGAAACTTCCACTCAAAGAGCTTAAGTATTAACATTTCAGGAGTCAGTGCCAGAGGGAGTGGAGGAGACTCGCTTAATTAGAAGTATTCCCCTGGCAGGCTAACTAGAGCCACCCTTAAGGAAGATGTGCATTTAGTTCTTTCTTACTCTAATTCCCCCTGAGAATGAATGGTAGCTCTTCAAAGCTTAGCTGCCGGACTCAGAAACTTAATGATGGCACAGTATATCCCTGCTCACCTGTCTTCAGAGTAAAGCACAGGATCTGGGTTCCCGGAAGGGATTACTGCCGGCTGGAACACCGACCAGCAGGGCATCCTTGCAGGCATTCTGCATGCAGTACTGCTGAAGCTCCGCTGCTGCCTGTGAGACCTGAATAAAACAATGACATGGCAAGTTGTTCCATGATTCCATGTTCTGGAAACTGGTCCTTCGACCTTGTAAAGGTTTCACTTTGATACAAGCCCCAATTTCCTTTTGCCTGAAAGTTTTAAGAACTGAACTCAAAAAAGTGGGGGGGGGGGGGGAGGTTATAAATTTCTATGAACTTTGATTAAGCAATTTGGGGGAGGAGTTAGTTGCTTATTTACCAAAGGGGGAAAAAACCTTATCTTTGAACCACTTACAACCCTAATTTTGTGACAGAATTAGTAAAGAAATAGCTTATTCTAGTGTTTCCTTTACAAGTTTTCCAAGTTTGAAGTGTACATTGGTGGGCTGGAGCCATAGCACAGCGGGTAGGGCATTTGCCTTGCACGCAGACGACTCAGGTTCGATTCCCAGCGTCCCATATGGTTCCCCGAGCACTGCCAGGAGTAATTCCTGAGTGCATGAGCCAGCAGTAACCCCCGTGCATCGCCGGGTGTGACCCAAAAAGCAAAAACAATAAATAAATAAAATAAAATAAAGTGTACACTGGTATATTTAAATTTGCCAAGTGAACAAACCGTTTTAATGTTTATAAGGCTGGATGGAGAGTCTGCTCAAATTTAGCTCTGCCACTATCTGCAAAGCACTGAGTATGCTTCTGACCTATTCCCTCATATATTTATAGTAAACACCTTACTTTATAAGGATGATAACATAATTTAGTAAGTTGACACATTAAACACACTTAGGATAGTGCTGATACTAAGGAATAAATTTATGGCAGATTTTAAAAAGCCACAATATTTAAAAAGCCTTTCCACCCAGAGGTAGAATCTTGACCCACTCTTTGAATCTGGAATGGCCTTTAAGCTTCTTTGACCAATGTCAACATGACAGAAATAATTTCTAGTCACGTCTCTTGTTGCATTCCAGTTACCCCAAGAACACACCTAAAGGAGCTGAAGGTAGCCTACTGGAGGTTTTGTGGAGAAGAATCAGCTATCAGCCCTTAGCTACCTGCCCACCAACCTCCACACAAGTGAGTGCGGTCATCCCAGATCATCTAGTCAGCTCTCCATTTGACCATAGATGCAGGAAGAGCTAGCAAAGGAAGGTCAGCTATACAGTGGAACCCAGCTCAAATAAATGTTGTGTTAAGTCACTGAATTTTGGAGTTTTATTAGACTGTGAAAACAGATACAGTATTATTCTACCTCTTCTTCTTAAGCTTCCATATTTATTGATGCATACTTACATGGAAATCCTCCTCATTCTCCATTTTCCTCGAATAGTAATGACTTTTGTATTAAAAACTCAACATACTGTAAAAAATGGCTCCAGTTGTTTTCAGGCAATACTACTAGTTTGTTTCAATTTTCTAAGCTTCTAATAACTAGAAAATTACCTTAATGTGTTATAATTAAATTAATTATAATTAAATAATTATTTGTATACAATTATATAATGGGCTGGAGCAACAGCACAGCAGGTAGGGTGTTTGCCTTGCATGCGCCTGACCTGGGTTTGATTCCTCCGCCCCTCTCAGAGAGCCTGGCAAGCTACCGAGAGTATCTTGCCCGCATAGCAAAGCCTGCAAGCTCCCTGTGGCATATTCGATATGCCAAAAACAGTAATAAGTCTCACAATTTGTTGTGAGACGTTACTGGTGCCCGCTTGAGCAAATCGATGAACAACGGGTGGACAATGCAGTGCTACAGCGCTATAATTAAAATAATGTGAAAACTTCAAAACATATGTCATAATTATTACATTTGTCATAATTACTCCATTTCTAGACTGTTTTACAAATTTAGGTTTCACTCAGATAAGAAGTTTATTCTAGGGGCCAGATCAATAGTATAGCCTGTAACATGCTTGCCTTGCACTTGGCTGAGCCAGGTTAGATCCCTGGCTCCCCTAAGCCCTGCCAAAAGTGACCCCTGAGTGCAGAGCCAGAGAAAGTCCTGAGCACTGCCAGGTGTGACCCCAAAACAAAACAAAAAGTTTATTCTATACTCTATCTAGACTATCCTATATTCTAATAGCATCTTTAAGCTTGCTTTTCCCGCAACAGAAGTTTGACAGTTTACATAATCATGTTTGTTTTTATTATTGGTGATTATATATAACAGCTATCATTTTTAAATGGGAACACACCCCCAAAATAACTTACTAGTGACCTTGAGCACAACTTATAATCTGTGGATCTTTATTACCCACAACTATCCTTTTATAGATAATAGATAATAGTATTTTTTCCTACCTACTTCACATGGTAAACAGGTATTTGGCTCAATTTTCCTTTCCACCTTAGATTCCAGTATCATTGTGAACATGTTGAACATCTAGCCCTGGTTTCAGTTCCTTGACCTTATCTTCAAAAACCCTCCACATTGACAATGAACTGCTGGGCATCAAGAATCTTACACTCTACACCCTCTTTCCTCATCACCACCTCCCCTACCCTTCCAGGGCTCCATTCTTTCATTCTCAGAACACCTTACTTAGATCCCAAGAAGAATGCGGCCTCCCTTTATCTGGCCCGGGGCCATGTGGCTGGCTCTCTTCCTTCTCCACCCAGCCGAGATTGGGCTTCTTTCTGGGCAGACCCTCAGCCTCTTATCCCTCCATCCCAACTTCCATCTCTTTGACATACCTCCCCTGCCAAACCACTATATGTACCAGTGACTTATCACCTGAGCACAAGAGTTCTGGGTAGGCCAGGGCCCTGGGATAGTATAGGAGGAAAAGGAAGACGTGGACAACCCCTTCAATCCTTGATGCAGCATATGGTCCCCCAGCATCACCAGGGTACCACAGAGCCAGGAGTGTAAATCCTGAGCACTGCCAGGTATGGCCCCCAAATTTAAAAAAGGGGGGCACCAGACCCCCAAAAATTAGTCCTAAGTGCTACTGGAGAAAGGAAAAAAATGCAAGTAATGGACAATGAGACTCCAATCTCACAAGCTGATTTTAAAGCTACCTACGGATGTGTCTACTACAAGGGCTCACTCCTTCCCCCAAAGGACTTCCCCAAGTGGCCACTTCTGTGACTGCTGAGTTTCCTTTCCTCTGTCCTGGCAGAAAACTTGGCTTCCTATTTCACAAAGGAAAACATCACCATGCAGGATCTGAAGCCCATAAGTAGAAACATCTCCTGTAACTTCTTCCAGTCTCAGAAGCCGCCCTTCCAGTCACATGCTCCCCTACAGGTCCTGTCTCCTCTATTTCCAATCCTTTGTTCCTTCCCTCTAGCCTAAAAATAGTTTGTTCCTTCTTCCTAACTTCAACATTGCTTTCTCATTTCCTAAATTTAAAAGTTTCCTCTTTAAAACTAGACTTTGTAAAGTCTGTCTATCCTCTATTACAAAACCCAGGTTCTGTTTCTTCCATTTAGTCAAACTTTTCTGCATTCCGTAACTCTTCTTCACCATGTTTTTATCATGCTCACATTACTGACCATCTCACATTTTATTGGTACAATTCTGATGTGGCTCATTCCTCACAGTAAGCAACTCACTGGCAAGGGCCAGTGTCTACGAGTCAGCCCGGTTTCTTCAGAGAGAGCCTCAGTTCCCCGCAGGTCAAAGGCTCGGTCCCACGGACCCCTCTAAGTGCAGGCGGCCAGCGGCCAGCGGCGCTTCTGACCTATGAGCTACAGATCGGCGGCTCTAATCAGCCCTTCTTGGGTTTGCTTAACGTGCGAGGGCGGCTCAGAGGAGCATTTACGAGATGGCTGGTTTATTACTTTAAAAGGAGAAATAAAAGATGTGTAATTCCGGAACAGCCAGAGAGCCGGAGAAAGAGCTGCTTTAGCCACGGTGTGGAGAAGAGGAACTGAGCTTCCAGGCTCGCTCCAACTCCACGCTCTGCTCCACCAGCTCCTCCGCCCGGTCGCCCAGGCAGCCGATGAGGATGGAAGAAGGCAAGAAGGACGCCTTTACGCATCACCGAGGAACTGTGCCAGACCATATGCAGTTCTAATTCTACGCCACAGTTGGTTGCTATGTTCGCGGCTCATCCTCCCTGCAGAATCCACCTTCTTCCCAGGACTCGGAGCGGGGCCAGCTACAGAGCACGGAGCGACTGAGCCGAGGCTGGCAGAGCCGGGGGCCAGGCACACGCCCCCGGCCACAACCCCCGCCACTCTACGCAGCGCTGGCCGCTGGACACGGCCGGGCAGCAGAGGCTGCTCGGACAGCAGAGCAGGAACACCGGGCGCGCTAGGCCCCACCTCTGGGAAACCCCCTCCTTCTGCCTCGCTTCTCGCTGCCCTTCCCCAGCCAGCGCCTCCGGGCCCCGGCCCCGGGTTCCGTCTGGAATGCACATTTTTCGTCGTGGTACCAAGGCGTACGCCCTCCGCCCCTGCTTCTCGGAGCTCCGCCCAAGCCCGATCCCCGGCCCGGGTCCCGCCACCCCATCCCTGGCGCCCAGGCCCCGCCGCGTCCCGATCCGTCCCGCTCCCATCCGGCTCGCGGCCGCCCTCCGCCCGGGACCCCCGGGATCGCTTTCCCAAGGGCCACACCCCCCGGGGGCGGGCGGGAGAAGCCCGGCCGGGTCCCCGTCGCCGCCGCCCAAGCCGGCTCCTCCGCCCCCACCCGCCACCCATCCGACGCCGCCGGGCCGGGCGCGCGTCTGCGGGGCCGCGGCAGGGAGAGGCGCGGGGGCCCCACCTTGATCCTCTCCACGGCCGCCTCCAGCTTGAGCTGCTCCACCAGGCGCTGCAGGGCGCTCGCGCTGGCCCCAGAGGACATGGCGACGGCGGCGGCGCTGGGGCGCGGGGAGGCCGGGCAGCCCCAGCCGCGCGGCCTCGGACGCGGGCGCCGCCCCGGGGCGGGGAAGCCGCAGCGCCCGCCCCGGAGGGGGAGTGGGTGGACCCGCACCCCGAGCCCCCGCCGCCGTCCCCAGCCCCCGCTCCCGGCGTGGCCACGCTGCAGCCCGAGCCCCGGGCGGAGGAAACGCGCCGCGTCCCGCCCGCTGCTGGCCAGCGCGCGGCGGGTCGGACCCCGCGGGCACCGCGACTCCCCGTAAGGAAACGCGGGCCCGCCGGCCCGTGGCCACTTTGCCTCCCGAGCGCGTCCTCCAGGCCCCCGTTAGAGCTTTGCGTCCGACCGGCCACTCCAGCGGGGTCACGCGAAGAGGAAGTGCGAGGCGAAGGGTCGGCTTGTGCCGCCGAAAAGCTCAGGGACTTTTTAAGGAGTTTCATCTGCTCGTTCCCCGTGTCTCGGCGCAGGGCGGGTCGCAGCCCGTCGCGGACAGCTCGGACCCCGGGTCCGGGAGGGAAGGACGCTGGCCTTCATCGCGCCCGCGAGAAAAGCGAAAGCTCAGAGCCAGCGCCCCTCTTTGCTCTCTAGACGTTCCGACAGAAAATCCCCGGGCGCCCCGAACCTGATCACTCTTTGGGACCAGGGGCTTGGAGTTGGGGTGTTGAGATTATTGAGGAGGACGAGGGGTGGTGGCCAGTCCAGTTGATAGGCCTCGACTTCTCCTTTTGATGAAAGGGGCAGCTGAGGCTCTGAACGAAATCCCATTCCAGGAGGTTCCCTTAACAAGCGCCACCCAGAAACAATCCAGCCCAGAGAAAGAAGCATCATTTGGTTGTTTTGTTTTGTTTTAGTCATCAGTTCTCTGCACAAAAGAAAAATGCAAAACACCTATTAAAAAGAACAAACCAGGTATTGGCCACACCACTAAACATCCCCGCTAGGTCATGGATTTTAACAAACGAGATTCTTTCCTGTTCCTGCTTGAAGGAGAAGTTCGTTTTAGGGACCGTTACTCATGTCTTCTTTTATTATTATAATTCTGTGGTTATTACAATTCGGTTATATAAAACTGAAGTTGAGGAGCCCAGTTCCGAGGTTAACCTACCCACAGTCAACTAGGTAGGGGCAGTTGCAGAACCACAAATCAAACCTTGGCCTCTCTGGCTAAACCTGAGCTGGTGGAAGCCTCCTCCTGCCCCGTGCTCTCTGCTAGGGGTCATCAGAGGAGGAACTGCCCCAGGCAGCAGTTTCTCAGTCACTTAACTGTCCCTTAGCCAGCAGGAATCCATGAGGAATCCCTGCTCAATCAGGGGAAGACTTTCCTCGCTATTCCAAACACGATTGTCAAGGAGACTGAATCCTCTAAGATAATGATTCACAGATTTATGACCATGTATGCTGTTTAATGTGTTAATTTCTCAAATGAATGCAAGCTAATCTCTTACATTCAGACTTTATGTAAATGTCTATAGCATTTCATATTCTGACTTAAAAGCATCTCATTTCAAAGATGAGGAAACCATATATATATATATATATATATTTATCAAATTTAATTTCCTTAGTAGGTTCTAGATTTGGTCCTAGTTTAAATGTTGAGTATCACATTTTACAAATAAGACTGATTATAATTCATCTGCTTACAACTTTGTACCAAAATGAACATTTCTCTGCTTCAAATGCAATAATTGTAACTCGGCAGAAGCCATGTCTAATTTAATGCTGGATCTGTTTACACTACTGTATTTTTAAAAGTCATTTTGCTCATTTGTACAAAATGTTCAGATGGGTCCATGGCACTATGAATGGCAGTGGGGGCGGCTCCCACCGAAACTGCAGTGTTAACAGGGTACTGCCTTGTCAGCCCGCTCCCACCTGCCAACCCCAAATGTCCAAGGAAATGAACTATGGTTTCCTAACATAAATAGTACCAAATGGTAATTCTCTAAAGTTAACTTTTCCATATCAATGTAACATTGTAAAATCCCATAAACCAACTGTGGTGCTTGAGAGTGTGAGAGATAAAGCTATGATTCTGTGCCTGCGATTCCTAGAACCTGGGGAATTCATAGCTGAAATAAGACCTTGAGGAAAGGGGGCGCCGGTAGCGGGTAGGGCGTTTGCCTTGCACGCAGCCAACATGGCCATCGCGAGTTCGATTCCCCCCTCCCTCTCGGAGAGCCTGGCAAGCTGCCCGTGATGTATTCGATATGCCAAACACAGTAACAACAAGTCTCATGATAGATACGTTACTGGGCCCGCTCGAGCAAATCGATGAACAACAGGAGGACTGTGACTGTGAGGAAAGGGTTAGTGGTAGAATTGTTACCAGGATATTTTAAATGAATAACTTGTAGGGAATGTGAGCCTAGAACTCAACTGTACAATAAACTGTTGTGCTCTATTCAACCCCTGAACGCCAAGCAAAAAGGAAATAATAGTCCTAAAATCAGGCACAAGAATGCTAAGTTTAGTGGGGTTGTGAGATTCTCTACCAAAAATCCTTCTCCAGAGGTTTCTAAAATGGAGACATTTTGGGTTTTTAGGTGGGGCCTGACAAAGTATGGAACAGAAACACTGCCTAATGTACTTAAATGATACTTGTGACAACTAAAAGGCCCTTGCTTCCCAAGATTTTTGAAACATTAGAATTATTTTGTTGAGAAAAGAATCACAGTCCCTCTTTTATTTGGCATGGGAAAGGCACACCCAGAAATACTCCTGGCTCTGCACTCAGGAATTATTCCTGGCAGTGCTTCGGGAACCATATGTGGTGCTGGGGATTGAACCCAGGTCAGCAGAGCATGCAAGAGAAACACCATACATGCTGTACTACTGCTCCAGCCCCTCCTTTAAAGGAGAGCTCATCTTGAGCTGAGAAATGACCATAATTCCAAAAATGCCAAACTTTCCACAAGTGAGCCGCCTGCGGAAGACACTGCTAGCAATGAGATTTCTAGAAAGGAAGGAAGAAATACAGCAATCTGTAAGTAGACGAAATAACTCAAGATGTACTAATTTTATCATCTTTGTTTATAAATGCTAACATACCCAACTGTATTATTTTTCCTTATTGCCAAGTTAAAAATAAATGGCTAATCAAAGGAAAATAAAGGGGAAAAATATGATCAATCAGAATTTCTTTGGAATTTTTAGAGTGCAAAATTTATTTCTTTTGGGTCCTCATATACCATGTGGCACACACTTCTGTTCCTAGATAACTACTACTGTTATGTTAAAAATACACATGATGATTTGTCATGATGGACTGCTGACGAGGCACAAAGCATGGCCCTTTTGAAAGGCATTCTTCTATGGTTAAAAGCTGGACATTTGAGGTTTGAAACAAAAGCTTCCTCTAATTTTGAGCTGTAATGTTCCTATCGCCTCGCAAATTACAGATACCTAAAATACTCTCCTCTGAAGTTTACAAAAGCAGAATTATAGAATGTTACAACCGCAGAAGAGCCATACGCGATATTCTTTCTGGCCAGACTCCTTCCCCAGTGTTCTAGGGTGGTCCCTAGGGCCCAAACTCACAGATTAAGTAACTCTCCTAAGGTCTCTGGGATGTGAGTAAGGATAGAACTCACCCTCCTGAGGTTTTTCAAATATTCACATCTCTGGGCTAAGTTCTTAAAGGGACAGGTTTAATTCTGCTGGAAATAAACCTTGCATATTTCTGATGCCAAAGTACCCGAAAATGATGTAGTAAGGGGAGCCCAGGGAGAGCTAAGTGACAAAGGCACCTGCCTGGCAAACGTCAGGCCATGAGTTCAAGCCCTGGTGCTGCCTGGCACGCAGTGAGAGTGACCCCAACAACACTGCCATCTGGGACCCCTCCATCCCGCACTTGGCCGACACAAAAGCAAGCACCATGGCTAAGTGTGTGTGACACCACAATGACCGCAACAAAACATGAAGAGGAATACGTGTTTCAAATAATAGCAAGTGTTAAGAATAAAATTAAATGTTAAATAATAAAAATAAGATTTTTATTTTTAAAAATAAAATTGTGATACAGCAGCAGTAATCTTTTAAGGATCTTTGATTTAAACTGTCATACCAACACAGCTGTGAGACATTACAACCACTTTATCACTACGATGCAATGGGACCAAGCCTTTAAGAGGAATATTAATTTGCTGTCATGAATGTGTATTGACACTGGTACAGTATCACACTGGCTTCAGAAAAACCATGTGCGAATTACTTTCGCTTCCATACAGAGAACATATTTGTGTTCCATTGTCTGAAGGAACAGCGCGCCCACCATGCACGTCTTTCGGGGTCCAATGCACTCAACGTACAATGAATCTCATGCTCAAGGAGTCCATCATGTATGAACGACTGCTCAGGACGCGATTTCTGCTCTTACATTTCTTTTTTAATTTGTACTTAAGTGGGGGGTGGGGGGGAGGGATACAGGAGAAGCACTGTTATGGTACAAAAGGGTTTTTCACAACGTCTCTTCTGGAGAAATATTTGATGATACAATTATAGTCCTATAATGACTGCAATCGGGCTCATCCTACAAGGACATGAAGCAGATTCACTCTCCTGGAGAGTTTCTGATCTTACTAAGAATTTCATGACTGAGGGGGGGAAGAGTATAAAGATAGTCTAGCAGAAGACTCTCCCAGAGAGAGATTTTGAAGATATTTCAATCCTAAAATGACTGTAATGAAGATGGCTTGATAGTCGAAATCATTTTGGGCAAAGAAGTTTGTGTCTAGGAAGACACTGGCAATCAGGTCATTAAATACTATTATAATTATGCTTTGTGAAAATATTTGAGGCCATGAAAGCAGGAAAATGTAGTACTATAACAAAGAATAAGGAAACATTTCGGAAGAATAAAGACTTAACACGTAGAAATTTCAAATGGTATCTAATCGATTTTCTTGTCAAATCTTTAAAATAAACATATAAAATTTTTAAAAGGCAACTGAAAAATCTTCATGTCAAATCTTTTAACAAGATCCACAAATTGGTTATAAAAATTGGGACAATCATAAATGCCTTAGAAAGTTTTAAGGGAAAGTTTACAATTCTACATGATTATTTTCTCCAAAGACTTGAGAAATTTTAATTCCTGCTGAGAGAATTTAGTTATGAGAGGAATTCCCAGGCAGGCCTGGCCCCAGAGCACTCCCCAGCCCTTCAGTCGTCCACGAAAGTCAGCCGGCCCGGCCCTTCATTCTTCATCCACCGCCGGTATCTCTTCCAGCGAGGATCATTTGCTAATTTTTTCTTCAGTTCTTCTTCTTGTTCTTGTTTGTAGATCTATAAGTACAAAAACACTAACTGAATTTTTTATCCAAGAGAGAAACATCTGTTATTAGCATTACATCATTATTTGCATTTTTCAGATGTAAGGGCTGGAGCGAGAGCACAGCGGTAGGGCGTTTGCCTTACAAGCGGCCAACATGGGACCCGAGTTCACTTCCTCCACCCCTTTCTGAGAGCCCGGCAAGCTACTGAGAGTATCTTGCCCACGGCAGAGCCTGGCAAGCTACCCATGACGTATTCAATATGCCAAACACAGTAACACAGTAACTTTAGGTAAAGGTTTCTAATAAATTTGTGTATGTAGATAGGTAGATACACATATAGTTGTTTTGTTCTTTGGACAGGATCAACAATACTAAAAATTATGAGATAAATTTCTATGTAAATATACAATACACATATACTGTTTCCAAAATTAATACCTAATTTTATTTTTTAAAAAAATTACTGGTTCTTCAAAATATTTGCTTACTAAATTACCACAAACAGTTAGCAAAACCATACTATTTAAGAACAACTTTTAGTTGACGCAAAAGGAGCAAGGCACATCTGCACAACAGTTTCAGTCACATCAAATTCTAGAAACAATTTTACTTCCAAACATTACAAAGTGATGAGAAGCTCAGGCTAAAGCATCTGATCATTCAGCCCAGGAAACCCTCTCTGAGAGAGTGTTTTGTGGACTGGACTACTTCACTTACTTCAAAGAGAAAACAAGTGAATTGGTAGTTAAATAGAATGCTACCTTCAATTGCCATGTTACTTATAGGTTGGTTTGCTACTCATGTGAAAGCATTCTGGTAATTCACAGGAGGTTAAGTTATTTAAGTTGAATTCAGATTGAAACTTTACGTGAACTTTGTCAACGCCACATTAAAAAAAAAAAAGCATGTCTATGAAACTGAAAAATCAAATGGACCTCTGATGCGTAAGAAGAATTCACTTATTAAAACCACTAACAATTCATTTTACACAGCACCTAAAATAGTTTCATTATGATGAGATTGCCAGTTACTCTGAGAAGTATGCCAGGTAGCTGATCACCTGAAGTAATCGCTTCAACTGATAGTCACTGAATGTGGCCTTACTAATAAAAAGTCCAGTGTTAGAGCCGAAGATAGTGCAGTTTGTTAAGCGTCTTCCTTGCACACTGCTGACCCCGATTCCACCAACACCACACTCAAGCTCAGAGTCAGGAGTATGCTCTGCGTACCACTGGGTATGTCCCCAAGCCCTACCTTCCACCCCCTCAAAAGACCTTCACTACATTAAATCAAGTTAAAAAGAAAAGGAAAAATTCACTTATTAGCTACAGAACACCTGGACTCATTGACTCTGAAATGGTTTCAAGTTCATTTCATCTCATCTCTTTCTCTCTTTTTAAGCTCTGTGGCTAAGTTTTTCTGATTGGAAAAAAAAAATATGGAGAAGACCATACTTGGGTGCAATCAACAAAAACAGCAGCACTTGTGGGCCCAGGAACAGGTCCCAGCAATCCTTCGCCCAGGCCTGCAGTACAATGCGGAGTCCAGCAACACGGTGCTCTCTGGGCCCAGCAATGTTGGGGCTACCAAGGCCCCTCCCCAAAACGGTGGAGGAGCCATGCAGTGCTGGGGCTCAATCTCAGGTTCTCCCACCTGCAGTATCCCCTAGGCCCTGAAGTTCGCCCTTTGGGGTTTGTTTTTAGGCCATCCCCAAAGTGCCACGGACATCACTGGCTGGGTGTGAAGAGGAGGAACCCAGGTGTCCTGCATGCAAAGCACATCCTTCAGCCACTGAGCGAGCTCTCTGGCCCGTCAAGGTGGTCTTTTGAAAAGGTAAATTAGGGTCCAAGCCATAGTACCACAGACAGGGCATTTGCCTTGCAATCAGCCACCCCAGAGTCAACCCCCAGCATCCATATGGTCCTCCAAACACCACCAGGAGTGATCCCTTAGCACAGAGCCAGGAGAAACCCCTGTCCCAACTACCAGTCATGCTTTTAATAAACACACACTAGAACGTATTCTTAACTCAGAACTCAGAAATCTGAGCATAAGTCTGTGATTCTTTACCGCACATCCAATTTTAACTCGGGAAAATAACCCAAGTAATTACTCACCTCATAATTCTCCTTTATCCAGAGCTCCCGTTTAAGGAAAGTTTCTTTCTGGTGATCCTCTAGACTATCAAACTGAGATTTTGACATCTTCATAGACTTACGTATGATATAGAGTCTTTCTTCCTCGCCATATTCTTTGCCTTTGATGTTAAAGTTATAGATCCACCGGCAATACCAAACGATGTATGAGCACACGTGAAAGGGAGCGAAGAGAATTTGAAACAGCAGAAGGTCACGAATCTGGGGCTTCTGATAGCCCCCTTTGATATCTATTTTGCTTTTTATAATGTTCTTTATGATGCTCTCCTCCTCACCACGAATCTCCTCTTTGGACTTTTTGTTTCTGCCTTTCTCTTTGGCTTTTTTCAGCAATCCCTGCTGCTTGGCAATCTCCGTGGCTTGGATGCGATACTTGGGCACCGTGGCTAGGTAGCTGATTGCCTTATCATAGCTATTCCACCAGCTGAAAAACTAACAACAGTGAAGGAAAGAAAATGGGTTGTTTTTATTACCAAAATTCATCATGGTAAACACCACTCCCTTCCATCCCCCTAAACACTAAACTCGTTCTGATTATAAACAGGATCTCAGGGGCGAAGGCTATGTTGCCTGGATGGGGGCACAGAATGGCTTCCCACACAGCTGAGTGTGCCCCCCCCAATGAACAACAGTGACAACAAAATGGGGGTCTCAAACATCTTGCTCAGCAAGTAAAAGCTAATTAAGCAATATGCCCTTGTGCGTCTATGGGATTCCAAGGCTGGATGAGTCAGGTAGTCAGAGTTCAGCCCCCCACACACCAAAGGTTCCCACATTGTTCTTCTTTGGCTCTCGCCTGGCTGGAGTGATAGCACAGTGGGTAGGGCGTTTGCCTTGCATGCAGCCAACCTGGCCAATCCGAGTTCGATTCCTCCGCCCCTCTCGGAGAGCCCGGCAAGCTACCGAGAGTATTTCGCCCGCACGGCAAAGCCTGGCAAGCTACCCGTGACGTATTCGATATGCCAAACACAGTAACAACAAAGTCTCCAATGGAGATGTTACTGGGCCCGCTCAAGAAAATTGATGAAAAATGGGAGGACTGTGACAGTGACAGTGACAGTGGCTCTTGCCTAGATTAGTCAGGAAATCTGTTTACAGGGGATAGGGTGATAGTACAGAGAGGAGGGCCTTTGCCTTGCACCCAGTCAACCCGGGATCTGTACCCGGCATCCCATATGGTCCCCCAAATACCACCAGGAGTAATTCCTGAGTGCAGACTGGGAGTAACCCCTGAGCATCGCTGGGTGTGACCCAGAAAGAAAAAAATCTGTTTACTTTCTAAGACTGGAATCTATTTACTGGAGGGAGAGTTAATGAAAAAACTTAACTGGCAAGAAATTTGCTTTCCTGAAAATCTAAGATGACCAGAGTGACATTATAGGGTTTAAGTACTTTATACCATTAACTGCATTTGGTCCCTGAGCATATTGCTAGGAGTAAGCCCTGAGCACAGCCAGGTATAAGCCCCAACAACCACTACTACCTCCCAAAATAAAAATAATTCCAAGATGCAGGGGTTAGGGCTATAGCTCCAAGGGCTGAAACACAGGTTTTGCATGCAGGAACTCAAAGCACTGCTAGATGTGTCTCCTCCTCAGTAAACTGAACTCAGACAAACTGTGTTCATTCTTGTTTTTTTCCTAAACCACCTACATGAACCACAGTAATATACATGTTCTCAGACAGTATTTCCCAAGATGAGCTATACTGCCCACCCGGGAGATGCAGAAATGATCCAGGGAGTGGCTTAACCTTACAGAAAATTGGGGGGATACTTTCTGTTTGTTCACTGAAAGAAGGTTTATTTCCGGAAGCGTTCAGCATAAGAGAAGGAACACATGGAGGGTGTGGGATCCCGGAGGAAAAAAAAAAAGAAAAAACAGGTTCCAAAAAGAGCCGAGAGCACCGGCAAGTTCCAGATGGAGTAGGTGCCGCATCCTGCCTCCCCCAGATGGAACCCTGGTGACCAGAAGCCTCTACAAACACAGCTCGAGTAGGCGGGAACGAGGACTTTTTCTCAAATCTGCCGGACTACACCTCCCAGGTAACCTCTGATTCCGGAAGTCACGCCCACAGCCCGCCCCCCAGCGCCATCTTTGAAGCGTTCAGCATAAGAGAAGGAACACATGGAGGGTGCGGGATCCCGGAGGGAAAAAAAAAAGAAAAAACAGGTTCCAAAAAGAGCCGAGAGCACCGGCAAGTTCCAGATGGAGTAGGTGCCGCATCCCGCCTCCCCCAGATGGAACCCCGGTGACCAGAAGCCTCTACAAACACAGCTCGAGTAGGCGGGAACGAGGACTTTTTCTCAAAACCGCGCGGCCGCTTATGCGGCCGCGCGACATCTCTCTATATACTAAATGATCAATGAGAAGTAAACAACTCAATCTTTCTCCCTGAAAATCAGAGTTAAGTTTGGAGCACGGCCACAGCCCCAGAAACACAAGGACTTAATGCAGAACCCAGCAGCTTAGAGCAGAAAAGTGAACGGACGATGAGTTAACCCAGGCCATCATTTCTGCCCAGAGGGGAAAGGGTGTTGCCCCATTCGCCCTCTCTTCTCTGGAAAGAAGGATGGCGGCCGCATGGGAGCCTTGTGGACAGCAGGTATGAGCCGGGGATGTGGGGGCGACTAAAACCTCACGAGAAGGGGGGCGTTCCGGTCCGTCCTTCACGCCCTACCGAGGTCAACAGTTGCCCCCCACGAGCGGCTCCCCAGCACGGCCACAGTCCTAGAAGCACAAGGACTTAATGTAGAACCCGGCAGCTTGGAGCAGAAAAGTGAAAGGACTATGCGTTAATCCAGGTCATCAAGTCTACCGGAGGGGAAAGGGTGTTGCCCCATTCGCCCTCTCTTCTCTGGAAAGGATGGCGGCCGCATGGGAGCCTTGTGGACAGCAGGTATGAGCCAGGGGTGTGGGGGCGACTAAAACCTCATGGGAAGGGGGGCGTTTCGGTCCGTCCTTCACGTCCTACCGAGGTCACCAGTTGCCCCCCACGAGCGGCTCTCCAGCACGGCCACAGCCCCAGAAGCACAAGGGCTTAATGCAGAACCCAGCAGCTTGGAGCAGAAAAGTGAAAGGACTATGCGTTAAACCAGGCAATCATTTCTGCCCAGAGGGGAAAGGGTGTTGCTCCCTTCCGCCCTCCTCCCTCTGGAAAGAAAGATGGCGGCCACATGGGAGCCTTGTGGACAGCAGGTATGAGCCAGGGCTGTGGGGGCGACTAAAACCTCATGGGAAGAGGGGCGTTCCGGTCCGTCCTTCACGCCCTACCGAGGTCACCAGTCACCCCCACGAGCGGCTCTCCAGCACAGCCACGGCCCCAGAAGCACAAGGGCTTAATGCAGAACCCAGCAGCTTGGAGCAGAAAAGTGAACGGACTATGCGTTGATCCAGGCCATCAAGTCTGCCGGAGGGGAAAGGGTGTTGCCCCATTTGCCCTCTCCTCTCTGGAAAGAAAGATGGCGGCCACATGGGAGCCTTGTGGACAGCAGGTATGAGCCGGGAGTGTGGGGGCGACTAAAACCTCATGGGAAGGGGGGCGTTTCGGTCCGTCCTTCACGCCCTACCGAGGTCACCAGTTGCCCCCCACGAGCGGCTCCCCAGCACGGCCACAGTCCCAGAAGCACAAGGACTTAATGCAGAACCCGGCAGCTTGGAGCAGAAAAGTGAAAGGACTATGCGTTAATCCAGGCAATCATTTCTGCCCAGAGGGGAAAGGGTGTTGCTCCCTTCCGCCCTCCTCCCTCTGGAAAGAAAGATGGCGGTCACATGGGAGCCTTGTGGACAGCAGGTATGAGCCGGGGCTGTGGGGGCGACTAAAACCTCATGGGAAGGGGGGCGTTCCGGTCCGTCCTTCACGCCCTACCGAGGTCACCAGTTGCCCCCTGCGAGCAGCTCTCCAGCACAGCCACGGCCCCAGAAGCACAAGGACTTAATGCAGAACCCAGCAGCTTGGAGCAGAAAAGTGAACGGACTATGCATTGATCCAGGCCATCAAGTCTGCCGGAGGGGAAAGGGTGTTGCCCCATTCGCCCTCTCCTCTCTGGAAAGAAAGATGGCGGCCACATGGGAGCCTTGTGGACAGCAGGTATGAGCCGGGAGTGTGGGGGCGACTAAAACCTCATGGGAAGGGGGGCGTTTCGGTCCGCCCTTCACGCCCTACCAAGGCCACCAGTTGCCCCCACGAGCGGCTCTCCAGCACGGCCACAGCCCCAGAAGCACAATGACCTAATGCAGAACCCAGCAGCTTGGAGCAGAAAAGTGAAAGGACTATGTGTTAATCCAGGCAATCATTTCTGCCCAGAGGGGAAAGGGTGTTGCTCCCTTCCGCCCTCCTCCCTCTGGAAAGAAAGATGGCGGCCACATGGGAGCCTTGTGGACAGCAGGTATGAGCTGGGAGTGTGGGGGCGACTAAAACCTCAGGGGAAGGGGGGCGTTTCGCTCCGCCCTTCACGCCCTACCGAGGCCACCAGTTGCCCCCCGCGAGCGGCTCTCCAGCACGGCCACGACTCCAGAACACAGAAACCAATTTCTTAACTATCTGACTTTCAGTAGAAATACTTCCAGGGTCAATAGGTAAAATAGCAGAAATCCAAAACCAACATTTAATTCTTGAACCCAGCTGTAGAAAGCAAATCACTTCACAATGCTTTTTCAGCATGTCTGATTTGGGGGGGGGGAGGGTAAACTCTAAATAATAGTGGTGAATCTTTTATTGAAACAATGAATCTAATCAAAGCAGATAGAGTGTTAACTAGAATTCATCTGCCCCACAGGGACTGGGAGGGGTGGGGGGTGGGGTTTTATTGGGGTTCTTCATGGTAAAAAATAAGTATTGGTAAAGGGAAATGTGTTTGATATTTGCATGACTGAGACATAAACCTGAAAGCTTTGTAACCTTTCCCACAGTGATTCAATAAATAAATAAAAAAAAAAAAAAGAAGGTTTATTTCCAAGGGCACTAAGTAACTTTTTTTTTTCTGAAAAGGGGCACAGGCTTGTAATCTTTAGGGAACCTCTGTTCTAAACCAAATGATTCAAACGTCTGAATTTGCCACTACTTGAACAAGAAAATATTGACTCCATAATATTTATTCAACCACACAGGACTTTACTTTTTTCATTTTTCATTTCATCATCCTGTTATTCGTCGATTGCCTCGAGCAGGCCCCAGTAACGTCTCTTTCATCCTAGCCCTGAGATTATATTCAAGGCTATTTAGGAGAATGAGACCCATCATTGTTACTGGTATTTGGCATATTTGGTACGCCACGGGGAGTTTGCCAGACTCTGCCCTGTGGGCAGGCTACATTCGATAGCCTACAAGTTTGTCCAAAGTAGGAATAAGACAATAAGATGTCATAAAAAAAGTTTTGTTAAGCTGTCGCGCGGCCGCATTTGCGGCCGCGCGGTTCCGGGATCTGGATTTTATAGTCTCTGAGTCTTGGCCGCTGATGGGATTACACGGCGCCAGGGGGCCAGGTGGTGGGTGTGACCCCCACCTACTGGAATTTGGAGGATCTGGGTGGAAGATGCTCGACTCCAATTCGAGTAGGCTTGGAGGTCTCGGCCCCGGAACCCGCGTGGCTTTGTCCCTCTGCCAGTACCTTCATGTGTGCGGAGAGTGGTCTCAGCATGGTGGTGGCTGGTCCTGGAGGTCTTCGGCTGCAGTAGCCCTGGTCGGGGCGGGGAGGAAAGCTCAACCCGCTCCCCTCCAAGGGACTCCGGGAAGGAACACCGAGGCGCGGGGGCAGAGACTGCACTGTTCTCGTCCGGGATCTGGATTTTATAGTCTCTGAGTCTTGGCCGCTGATGGGATTACACGGCGCCAGGGGGCCAGGTGGTGGGTGTGACCCCCGCCTACTGGAATTTGGAGGATCTGGGTGGAAGATGCTCGACTCCAATTCGAGTAGGCTTGGAGGTCTCGGCTCCAGGACCAGCCACCACCATGCTGAGACCACTCTCCGCACACATGAAGGTACTGGCAAAGGGACAAAGCCACGCGGGTTCCGGGGCCGAGACCTCCAAGCCTACTCGAATTGGAGTCGAGCATCTTCCACCCAGATCCTCCAAATCCCAGTAGGCGGGGGTCACACCCACCACCTGGCCCCCTGGCGCCGTGTAATCCCATCAGCGGCCAAGACTCAGAGACTATAAAATCCAGATCCCGGACGAGAGCAGTGCAGTCTCTGCCCCCGCGCCTGGGTGTTCCTTCCCGGAGCCCCTTGGAGGGGAGCGGGTTGAGCTTTCCTCCCCGCCCAGACCAGGGCTACGGCAGCCGAAGACCTCCAGGACCAGCCACCACCATGCTGAGGACTTTACTAAATGTCAGAAAAAGTTCTACTCATCCCATAGCATCTCCACTCATTTCAGTGGCTGTTTTAATGATAAATACAACAGCGATGCCAACAATAAACACCTCCAAATATTATATGAGCAATTATTATAAATAATAACAAAAAAAATATTAGGGTATTACATTAGCCAATATTTATCAAAAGCAGATGCAATTAAAATATACAACTTCAGTTTTAACAGGAAGTCATCTATCTATCTACTGTGAATCTTGGGGCTAGAGAGAGAGTACAGGAGGCAAGGCACTTCAATCCCCAGGAAGCCATACGGTTCCCAGAGCACCGCCAGAAGTTAACCTCTAGGACTGCTAGGTGTGGCCCCCAAAACCCAAAAAGTAAATAAAATAAAGTGGATCTTCTTCCTGAAGCTAAGCTGGAGATGAAAATTCTATTCCAGTCACATGACTATACTTCCTCTGAAGGAATATATAATGTATTAGCTTTTGAGGAGAGCAGAAAAACTCACTTCAGATTGGACTAACATTTTTGTGATTTAAAAAAAAAAAAACATAAAAAGTGGATCACAGCAATAGTACAGCAGGTAGGAGGGCGCTTGTCTTTGCCCAAGGCCAATCAATTCAGGCTCAATCCCCAGCCTTGCCAGGCGTGATCCCTGAGCACAAGAGCCAGGAGTAAGCCCAGCGCACAGCTGGGGTGGCCCCAAAACTTACATAATATAAATATATAAATTAAGCTGTAGAAATTACTCCAGGGGCTAGGGAGACCGTCTGAAGAGTTAGTGCATATGCATCGCATGCGGGAGGCCCAGATTCAATCCTCGGCACCCAGGCAACACAGACCCGAGTCCCTGGGGGTGGGTGTGCCCCTACCCCCAAGTTACAGGAGGTGATGGGGATGCCTAGGCATGTGCTGTGTCCTGAAATGATTCTTCGGCACTGCACCACAGCACACCACCCTCACGGCCCGGCCCTGTGAATGATGCCTATTTACAAAAATACTCTAGTTCTTTTATCTCTGCAGCGTTCAAGCCAAATATGTCTCAAGATTATTTTTTTGGTTATACGAAGGTGGCAAGCACTACTGGCGTTTGATGTACAGGTGACAAGAATGATCGGGAGTATTTAGTTCAGATCATTCCCAAGTTTAAAGGGAAATCAATGGAAAGTCCTATAAAATGAACATATGATAGCTAACACTCACCCTGGCTGAACGAATAAAAAATACTCCGGGGGTTGAGGGGTGGGGAGGGAGGAGGGGAGACAATGAGAAAAAGTTATTTGGGTTTTTTTTTTCCCCAAGGGGCACAGGGCCCAGCAGTGCAGGCTGGGCAGTCCAGTGCTCGGCCAAGGATGTGGTCCTGCTCTGCCACGCAGTGCCAGAGCTCGAACCTGGGGCCTCTGCTTGTGCTCCAGCCCTCTGAGCTATCTCCTCGGCCTTTGGGCTTATTAAATAGCAATTATACTCCATGGCCAGGGAGAAAAAGGTACTGCCAGTGTGCTCAGGGGCCACCAGGGCCACATGCAGGGGACAGGACAGGCCTCATCACTTCATCAGACCACTAGCATACAAAGACTGACATCCCAGCGAAAGAAAACTCTATGGCAGACACTCACTTACCTATAACACTTCATCTCTGTCTCCAGCTTGCTGTCTCTCAAACTGGCGTACTAGATCTTCCTGGGTCTCGAGCCTGACTGTCCACTTTATATATTTATTTTTTAAATTTTTTTCTTTTTGGGTCACACCTGGCGATGCACAGGGGTTACTCCTGGCTCTGTATACTCAGAAATTAACCCTGGTGGTGCTCAGGGGACCATATGGGAAACAAAACTCTATGGCAGACACTCTATGGCAGACACTCACTTACCTATAACACTTCATCTCTGTCTCCAGCTTGCTGTCTCTCAAACTGGCGTACTAGATCTTCCTGGGTCTCTAGCCTGACTGTCCACTTTATATATTTATTTTTTAAATTTTTTTCTTTTTGGGTCACACCTGGCGATGCACAGGGGTTACTCCTGGCTCTGTATACTCAGAAATTAACCCTGGTGGTGCTCAGGGGACCATATGGGAAACAAAACAAAAAGAACTCAAGGTCTCACACATCCTAACTGATCTATCTCCCTGGGACCCTTTGGGGAGACACTGGTAGCTATATAATGACACCCATCAGTTTCTTGGATTTCTCACTAAAGATGATTTCATTTTTACCAACAAGCTGAATAATCTGTTAGTAACGTTTAAAAGTATCATGCCAACTGGAAGCAAAGTTTTAGAAAACAGCCCCTCTAGAAGTGGGCAGCATGGCCAGCAGGCCGTACCTGAAACAAAGAGATAGCACACACGCTGATCAGGATGACCACGCTAACGTCCACCTTGGGGGCCAAGCGCCAGCTGTAGTAGTGGTAGTAGTGCCGGAAGTACTCTTCAGGGTGGTCCAGCATGTAGTCATAGTCCCGCCGTGTGTCTTCATCCTGGGAGAGACACACAACTTTCAGAAGACAGCCGAACTCTCTGATGTATGAAGTCAGATCTAGAATTGTGTAATTATGCACGAGACTTCTGATTAAAAGGAATGTCAAAAGAAACAATTTTAGAATCTCTTAATTCCTCAACAGCACCCAGAGCACAAAGATGAAGTATTAAGCACCACGAAAATACTTCCCCAAGGTTCTTGAGTACTGCTAATCCTTCTGGGAAGAAAAACACCTTAATCAAACCATTACCCATGGCTCTTGAGTCCGTGCTTTGACAAGAAGGCTGCCTGATCCACAGAACTTAGGTGTGAGCTGACTGACTACCTCTCAAGAACAGTCAGGAGGGGAAAAAGAAAGTTTGGGGTGGGGGTAGGGGGCAGGGAAAAATGGTTACAGAGAGGGGAGGCAGTGTTTCTCTCTGTTGTGTATATTCAGGATCATTTTTCAGCTGTGTGTAGAAAATTTTCTGTTGAAAGCAAAGATTAAGACCACAAAAAGTAGACACAGCCGATCTGTGTCTACACAAAACAAAATGAATGCTCATCTCAAAGACGAATCAGACCCGGCTGTGGAAGAATGGTCGGTACGAGACCAACTGGGTGACACTGTGCAACATCTTCAGCCTGTCTGAGCCTCGAGCTTCTCTGTCTGTCTAACTGAAGTCAGAAGTTAGACCTGCTAATAACATTTGCCCTGCTGATGTTACTGGAGTGTTCTGGAGTTATCAACTGACATTCATCAGGCAGAAATATGGAACAGATATCTAGAACTTTGCTTTTTTAACACTGTCCCAGCCCAGTTCAGAAATGAGGGAACAATACGTAGCTTTTAATCACGCAAGCCAAGATGAAAAATGTAGAACACTGTGAGGAACTACTCTGAATGTTCACAACTAAAGCATTTTTTTAAACTTCTTTGATTTTAATAACTTTCTAAATACCAATCTCATAAAGCAACCTATTTCCAACTTGTCCTGCATTCAATCACTGTTGTAACAACTAAAAGCATGACAACCTTTTCAGGTTGTGAGTATACAGAAGTCATGAAATTACCAAAAATCTTTCTCAACCAGACTTCCTTCTAGAATAAATCATTCAACATGAAAAGTTACATATTCTTAGCCAAAACATCTCCAAAATCTATACCAAATGTTTTACAACTGCGGATGGGTGATCTGAAGTCTGTTTAGGGCTTTCTCTTAAGTCCTGGAATACTCAGCTTTCAGAAGCACTAGTCTGCAAAGAATGAAATATTCCCTGTATAGAAATCTTCCCTGAATAGAAAATGTGTATTTTCTATTCAGAGTTCTTAAGCATAACACTCTCCATGACAGTTCTCTCATGCTCAAACTACTTTTTTTACCTTTGATTAGAATTTGAAACTATGCACACTAATAGGGCTGGAGCAGTAGCACAGCGGGTAGCGTGTTTGCCTTGCACACGGCCAACCCGGGTTCGATTCCTCCGTCCCTCTCAGAGAGCTCGGCGGGCTACTGAGAGAATCCCACCCGCAGGGCAGAGCCTGGCAAGCTCCCTGTGGCATATTCAATATGTCAAAAGCAGTAACTACAAGTCTCACAATGGAGATGTTACTGGTGCTTGCTTGAGCAAATCGATGAACAACGGGAGGACAGTGCTACTGTGCTACACACTAATACCTCACAACTATTTCAAGTAAGTTCCATAGCACTAGCTGGAGCCCAGCACAAAAACTGTATGTTAGATTGAAATAACCACTTAGAAAGCTAAGCTCAGGTTATTATTTTCAAAGCTGCTCCTCATACATTCCCATTTCGGTCAAAACAGAATTTTCTGTTGCAACACATCAATCATGATTCCTTCTGTAAATCATTATCGTATTCTAGCACTTCTAAGAAAACTTCCATAGTCATACAAACAACTCAAAAAACTGAAGTTTCTTGAGGCATCTCAACTTGAGCACTTTGTTAATATCCCTTGAGAATTTTTCCACTGTCCCTCTTTCATTTGTTATTGATGGTTCCATTGGTTCTTTTTTGGGGGAGGAAGGGGACTCTTTCTACTAAACATTCTGCTTTGGACTTTGGATTTAATAAACAATCTCCCAATCTTCTGTGTGTGTATGGCAGGGGGAGGCTTTTATTTATTTACTTATTTATTTGCTTTTTGGGTCACACCCGGCGATGCACAGGGGTTACTCCTGGCTCTGCCCTCAGGAATTACTCCTGGAGGTGCTTGGGAGATCACATGGGATGCTGGGAATCGAACCCGGGTCGGCCTTGTGCAAGGCAAATTCCCTACCCGCTGTGCTATAGCTCCAGCCCATTCCCCCCGGGGGTCAGGGGTGGCTTTTAAAATGACATTTCTTTAAACATGATTATTCTCCTCGCTCCACCTAGACATAGCTTAGCGAGTGCCACACTCAATCAGATTCCCAGTGACCGGGAATCGTGAGTCCTACCTCAGGCTGTCAGTGCTGTGCCGGGGGAGAAATAGACAGCAAGCCTGAGTGTCCCTGACACCTGACCTTCTGTGTAGGCACCACCCAGCCAGTGGTTAGCAGTCTCGGTCCTCTATTCTTGTATTTATCTTAGTGAAGGTCGGAATACAGAGACACGCAGACATTCCTCTTCAGGCCTGTCACCCAGATCTTCCCTCAAAGTCACTATCTCCTCGCTGAGGAGACCTCCCTCAGAAAGGAGTGATCGAATAAGGCTACAGCAGGAGTAACACCCACATGCAGAACCTGGCCTCGTCACTGCAACCCGAGCCTGGCGGCCTCTTCAGGGCCTCTTCAGACGTCCTCAAATAATCGCATTCCAGAAAACCTGCTCAGGGTCAAGCCTGACATTTCCTAATTAGGATAGTTTTCTTTTCCTTGAGGTCACCATAAATATAATCCTGTTTGTTTGGGTCAGAGATAGAGACAAGAAGCTCATTGAGCTCCTCCCTAGAACATTCCTCAGCCAAAACCTCTGCTCTTCATGGTTTCCTCTCTGGATAATAAAGAGGACCTTTAGGTTGAGGCATGCAAAATGCATATTAGAAAGCAATCAAGGTCGACACAAATTGGAGAAAGAACTGAAGGCAATCTTTAATAACCTATACAAAGTGCAGAATCAACCTAGTTAAGAACACAAGGATACTCAGAATGTTGGCCAAAAAAAAAAGAAGAAAAAAGGAAAATGAAAAGAAAAGACAGGTTGGGACTCACTGGGACTCACTGAGAGAGTAACAGGTATATTCTGAATGTTACACCGTGTTTATTTTTCCTTCTGTTCATTAAGGTCTGTTTCTCCCTTTTAGTCCCCTTCCCTTCCAACCTCGACCCCTCTTTATTTTTTGGCCACATCCAGCTATGCTCAGTGCTTACTCCCAAGGCTCAAGGGACAGACCATTTGGGGTTCTAGAGCAGGGACATGCAAGGCAAACATCCTACCCGTCGCACTATTTCTCTAGCCCCCACTGCCAATCCTTCTGGGTAGTGGTAACTAAAGTCACCTCCATTCCTTTACCCAGAGCAAACATTAAAATAGCAACTTCTGGAATCTGAATCTGGTGTGTTCTCCGACACAGCCTGCTCTTTCAGACCTGTTTCTCAGAATGGATCATTTCTCACTACTCACAATACCCAACCTGCTTCCAATTAATAGGAGATATTTTATGAGCGCCTATTAATTCTCTAGGGCATAAAGGTTACTGTCTCCGACAGAGCTAGTTCACCCTGCCTGCACGTCATACCCACTTCTTACAGCACTTCTCAGACTGGAATCATCTGTTATTTTCCTTGAGTGAAAATTTCCAGAAGGCAGATGGGGTGACTGGAACTCTGTATATCGAAGGCCCCATACAGTGCCTGACACCCTCACCTCCACCCCCAGTGGCCTCTCAACCGAGCAGTGACGTCTCCCTCACTCTAACCATCTCTCCAGCCACATAGGTCCCCCTCAGAGGAGAGAACGGACGGGTGATTATGGCAGAGACATCTGACTTGGCAGGCAGTGCTGGATTCATAGCTTATGAAGAAGTGCTAACGTGGCTACAACAGCTTAAACCTTTAAACAGTTTAACATCTTACCTTTCAATAAGGTAGTACTTTTTCTTTCAGCAATTTTGTGGCTCTTAAGGTCCCAGAGTCAGGAGATTTCCAACTTCTTTCCAAAACCATAACCTTTATACTTGTTTCTTCCTCCTCTCTGCCCTGAGCCTTGACAAGCAGGGCAAGAAGCGCCTGGATCCTAAGTTCTACGGGGCAAAATGCTGCTTCTGCCGGAATCCGTTCCACTCCCAATCCTCTTGGGCATGTGCAGGAGGACTGGAACATAGCCACCAATATCTAGATCAAAAGTGAACAAGAGGAAACCCACAAGCAAAGAAAGAACGGAACCCTTCCTCCTCTTAGGAAACGGATCATCCTCCCCCTCCCCGGAGGTCAAGAACAGACCATGTGCTTGCCCTTAAAGTAGTGAGTTGTTTGATCTCATGGACTTCAAGTGCAATATGTTGATACTGCATCTGGGTTAGCACAGAAAGTTTCTATTACAGAGATGGCAGAAACCAAGTTAGGATGTTGAAGGCCAGGAAACACTAGTATGTGAAAACAGTATTTTGTTCATTCTCAAAAATAAGTATGAACCTTAAAGGTAAAGGTAAAGGCCCTCCCGTTGATCATCGATTTGCTCGAGCGGGCCCAGTAACGTCTCCATTGGAGACTCTGTTGTTACTGTGTCTGGCATATCGAATACGTCACTTGCCAGGCTCTGCCGTGCAAGCGAGATCCTCTCGGTAGCTTGCCGGGCTCTCCGAGAGGGGCAGAGGAATCGAACTCGGGTCGGCCATGTTGGCTGTGTGCAAGGCAAACGCCCTACCGCTGTGCTATCGCTCCAGCCCAAGTATGAACCTTATTTTTAAAGAAATGCACATATTTTAAAAATATGAGGTTGGAGAGATCACAGAATGGGTAGGGTCACCCAGGTTCAATCTCCAACATCCCATAAGGTCTCCTGAGCACTGCCAGGA